TTCTGAATGACAGATTATTTGCTTGTGCTTAGAGGTTACTGGCTTTTTCTTGCTTTCTGTTATGTTAAAGCAAATGGTGGAAATGTTATTTATTGATAGAAATCATTTAATAAAATAATTTTTTTGTGAACAAAAAATTAATTTGTTAGAACTTTCTTACTGTATGTTGGAAGTCATCTTGGAAAAAAAAGCAGAAAACGCTCTTCAGGCTAAATGATAATGTTACTGGCTCCCTGTGTCTTTATTTCCTTTGTTTCCTGGTGGAGGCACTTGTATTTGGCTCTTGTTGTTTAGTTGCTGATTCGTACCGGACTCTTTTGCGACCCCATGATCTGTAGCTCTCCAGGCTCCTCTGTCCTTGGGATTCTCCAGGCGAGAATATTGGAGTCGGTTGTCATTTCCTTCTCCAGCGCTCTTACCCATTCAATAACTCCAGAAGTCAAGGGAAAGCCTACTGCTGGATGTCTGGTCTGGCCTCTGGTAATGCTAATTCTGCTAATTCCCCTCTCAAGTAAAGGAATCCCATCACAATGAAAGGAACCGCTTTCCTTGACCTCCTCAGCTCTCTAGTTTTCAGCCTGCTTTGCCGGCTGCGGTGTCGGTTCCGCTTCTACCACTTAGAACCCGCTTCTTTGTCCTGGCCTCCTTCCTGGCACTCTGCCAACTCACTCCCACGTCCCAGCTCCTTCCATGGCATCTCCGGCAGAGGCCGCTGCTTGAAGAAAAGGAAGAAAGACATCCCAGAAAACACACAGTCTTTACAAAAGATAAAAATAATTTCCGTTAGAGCAGCTTGATAACTTTGCATTTGATCCTAATAATAGACACAGAGGAATTCCATCTTGGGAGAAGTCAGGGAAGCCAGAGAGGAGCTGAGTGTGCCAGCATTTCCTCCTAAGAAAGGCCAGCTTTTAATTCCTCTGGGAAGTAGAAATACCAGGAGGTGCTGTGGATTCATGAGAAACATAACTCCTCTCGCCAGGTAGGGGTTAGGGGACAGACTCTCTAGACTGGAAAAGGCATCAGTGAGGGGATTCTATCAGTTACGGCTTAGAGGTAGCAAGTGTCAGTCAGGACCGACCAGGCCTAAGCAAGGTGATTTCACCATCAGTACAGACAGCAAGGACCACAGTGCAGCTTATGGGCTGGAAGACAAGCCCAGATTGCTCATTCCGAATGAGCTAAGTATGTATTTTGGGATCTCAATAGCATCCTGACTTAACAATGTCCTCAGCTTAAACCCTCAGTAAAATAAGGTAATATTTGCCCTTATTTCAGTCTTTTTTCTTATTTTTATTAATTATAGTTGATTTACAAAGTTGTTAATTCCTGTTGTACAGCAAATGATTCAGTTATAAACATTCTGTTTTTAATATTATTTTACATAATGGTTTTTCATAGGGTATTTTTTTAATTGGAGGACAGTTACTTTACAATGTTGTGTTAGTTTCCGCTGTAATACAACATGAACTGACTATATGTATACATACATCCGCTCCCTCTTGAACCTCCTTCCCACCTCACCACTAGCCCACCCCTCTAGGTCATCACAGAGCACCCAGCTGAACAGACATTTTTTTTAAGCCTGGAAATTAAGAACTCAAATACAAATTTCTATTTACCTCTCACTACATCTAGATCCAATCTGACTTTCTTGCCGGTTCTCTGTAATTGCCTGATCTTTTTATCACAACTTTCAGGTTTTGGAAAGAAAATCTGTTCCGTTTTGATACAGGGGATTAACACTGGTAAATTACTCTTTTTAATGTGGCTGTGGTTCAGGCAAAGGTTCATTTTAGAATTCGAGGAGGTGGGAAGACAAGGTCGTTCTGTGTTTGGAGGGCAGACCTCTTACCTCGTGCTGCCCACTGGCCAGCAGACCAGCCCCCTTCTCTTCCTTCTTTCAGCTCACCTGCTGGGGAGGGGCTATGCAGACCTACTTTTCCAGCTGCTGGTCTGTGTGCCCTTCTTTGTGGCTGAGTTAACTTGGCTGGATTTTCCCTCTGAGGTCATCACTTATTTATCTTTTCCTTATAAAATCTGCTCACTGAAGAACTGACAGCCACTCACTCTTCTCTTCTGTCCTGAGAACTAAGAGAGGTTCATCCAGCTCCGCTCTTCTCAAAGACATCCCATCTGCACATTGTGCTTGCTTGCTCCTCTATAAAAGGAGGGAGAGAGAGAACAGTTGGTGTGATGTCAGTGTAAAGGCCTCTCTGAAGATAGAGTAGATAACTGGACAAAAGGCTGAGTTCTCTCTCAGCCTTCAGGGTTTGGATGTGGCTGACTCTGAGAACCTTGAATAGATGGCTGTTACATCACGTGTGTGCTATGGAAAGATCTGTGCCAAGCCGGCCCAAAGGCCTCATTCTCTGTCCCAGGGGAGCCACTCACTGTGGTCACCAGGCTCCAACAAGGACCACAGCTGACCTGTAATGGGTAGTTTTTCCTCTTAACAGTGACTATACCAACACACCTGGGTCAGGCCACACCACTGTCAGCTTCAGGGGGACTTTGAAGACTCACAGTGGGTCACTCGTGTTCCCCTTCCGTCGCTCCTGCTTCCCTGACTGTTTGGCCTGATAAGAAGCTCTGGTAGAACTTGGCTGGCAACATGAGCAAAAGCTGGAGTCAGGTGTGGACCAAGGAGAAAAAAGATGAAGTCCAGGGGATGAAACAGTGCAGATCTGTACTCCTGTCTCTGGTGTGACCTGTTTTCAGCTCCTCACTAATGCTCACCGTGGCCGGTGAGAAGTCCAAAACCCTCGAAAGGAACAGGGCTTTCTATGCTAATCCATTCTGGTTGGTCTGCTTTGCTCAATGTCCCTGGCAGGAAGAAAACAGTCTTCTGAGAGCACAAATTAAGAACCTGCTCATAGCCTAACTAAAGACTCTATAGCAAAGTTTGTTTATTCCTGTGGAGGAGAAAAGAAGGAATAGCAGATGCTCTTCCTCCGTCTAATATGGGGGGACTGAGGCATACAGCCAGGGGGCCACTTGGCTGCTCAGGGCTGATCTGAGTGTGACATTCAGACGCCAGACTCCCAGCACCAGACACTCCTCAAGGACTGAGAGTTCAGGGTCTTCTTCTTTAAAAAAAAAAAAAATTATTCTTAATTGTAGGATAATTGCTTTACAATATTGTGTTGGTTTCTGTTGAGGCAGTCCTAGCATGGGTTGGAAAAGAATTTCCAGACACAGAGCATTTCAGAAGGCAGTGAGTTTATTAAGAACAAAGAGCAGAGATAATGTGGGCACTTGCAAATGCAGTGGGCCGACCGCCTGACAGACCAGGGAGAGCCAATGCCTTTTGTGGGTTAGTGGCCAAATTTTATAGCCTCAAGACAAAATTCCTACCAAAAGGCCGAAGTTACGTGATTGGTGGGCATTTTTGCCTAATATGGGTCACAGAGTTTGCTTGTGATGATCAGGGGAACTTCTGGCAAGGTTACAAGGGGGCTCAGTCAGCTTCGGAGGTGACCTTTGTTCTGGGCTCCACTTCTGTGGCCCTGAGGCAAGGCCTTGGACCTGTGGCCCGGACCTGTGGCCCTGGGGCGAGGCCTCGGACCTGTGGCCCTGGGGCAAGGCCTCGGACCTGTGGCCCGGACCTGTGGCCCTGGGGCAAGGCCTCGGACCTGTGGCCCTGGGGCGAGGCCTCGGACCTGTGGCCCTGGGGCAAAACTCCACAGTTGCTTCCACACATCAACTTGAATCAGCCACAGGCAGATACACAAGTTGCTGAGAGTTCAGGTTTATGGCTTCTGGGATGCCTGGCTTAATTTCTCTCACTTGAGAAACGAAACTGAATTCTCCACTCACCTTATTCACTTACATTAAAAAGCTACTTAAATGCTCTTTCCATTCATCCTTCCTTCTGGTGACTGAGGCTGATGTTCAGAGCCACCCACATTCCTGTATGAACACCCACCCTCTTCTCCCCCTTCCATATAAAGAACATAACATCTACTGGTAGTCTCTTGGCTAATCATCCCGGAGTGTGGCGGGCGTGGACAGACCTCAGTTGACATGGGGGGGATAATCCATGGAACAAAAGGTGGCGGCCTCGGGGGGCAGGGTGGGGGCGGGCATGCGGCCAACCAGGATCAGATAGCTAGAAAAAACACAGCGGTTATGTAACAGTGTTTGCTCTGTCTCAGGTGGCTCTGAGAGGACGCAGGCAGCAGCCCCCCGACAAAGGTCGTGCCAGAGCCCAGGAAGAGTCAGCGGGAGGGAGGTCCCTGTCAGGCAACAAGGCAGTCGCCAGAGGAGACAGTGCACTGGGATGAAAGGAGTCTGCTCTGCTGTTGGCCACAGCCCGGCCACCTGGGATGGCCCTCCCTGACCTCAGCTTCTCCCCCGAGCCATGCCAGTTCTCTGCCCCGTCAGGCCAGCAGCCAGTGAGCTGAGGCTGGCAGGAGGGGTTGAGAAATCAGACACCTGGCTTGGGGCTGAATCTCTGGATGTCGCGACTCTTTTCCTTTTAATCTCCCACTTTTCAAAGAGAGAGGATTCTTCTCCCTGAAGATGAGCAGAAAAGGAGGCGTCAGTTTGAGTTTTCTTAGACTCTGTGCTCCCCCCGACTGCTCATCCTCTCTTCCATGAGGCTGTGGGTTGGAGGGAGTTCCTCCTTGATCCAAGTACACAGCCTCTGACTCTCGGGAGACTGATTCCCACAGGCACAGCAGGTTCTGACCTGAGACAGAAGGTGATAAGCCTGGCAGGACCTGAGGCAGACAGGCAGAAGTTAAGCAGCTCAGGTCTCTGGCAGAGCTTCCCCTACCACCTCCCACAAGTCTGTTTACTGGACTTGCCATTCCTACAGAGATGAGGCTGGTAGCCAGTCCCTGCTCCTCGCCCATGGCCGCCACCTCCCCCTTGTGAGAAACAGGAAGCTGGGACCTTTGTCGGCTCAGCTGTACCCTCTACATTAAATATTTGTCTTGGAGTCCAGGTCAGAGCCCTAGAGAATAAGAGAAGCCCACTGCTGGTGAGAAGCGGGTATGGCCAGGATTCCTGGAGTCGGAAGATCGTCAGCTTCACCATCTTTGGAGAACAAGGAAGAACATGAAAGAGATGTGGCCCTTAAACACCGGGATCCTAAGAGGTGGGGAAAAAACTGGTGACAAGGGAGATGGGCACAAGCTTTGTCCCTCAGGGAGGGAAGAGGGTGGTGCCTGGGGGTGAGTAGGTATCCAAGCACCAGGGGAAGGGCCATGCACTGCCGCCTGCACTCAGGTGCTCCCAAAGCTCCTCCCTCCTCTCTAACGCTGACTTCTGTCGGCAGAGGTTACCCGGCCCATGCCCGTCCCTCCAGCTTCCCTGGAGAATCAGAGATTCTTGGAAGGGGCCTTCAGAGTGATCTGGTTCCGCTCCCTGCTGCTATTTGGTTGCTAAGTCCTGTCCGACTCTTTTGTGACCCCGTGGACTATAGCTTCCAGGTCCCTCTGTCCATGGGACTTCCCAGGCAAGAATACTGGAGCAGGTACTCAATGCAATAATTACTTTTATGGAGAGTCCCCACAATTTGCAGACTTGGAACTCCTGAAATCATTTAAAAGCTCTTTCTTGGAGACCTTGGATCTGCTTTGGAGTATGTACCCAATGGTGCCAGGTCTGCCCGTGCGGTTTCCATGCGGCAGCCCTGCAGACACGGAAGCTAGGTGGCAGGCCACTCTCTTTCTGAAGCTTCTCAGCCTAAGCCTCCCCTCCTTCTGCGCTTCACACGTGAGATTGTTTCAAGCTGGTTTACCGCAAAGCAGGCAGCTCTCTTAACCTGAATGAGGGAATGATATAGCTAATAGCATCTGCGATGGTAGGGATTTAAAAATAAGGTTTCATCTTTCTCCATTCCCTTCCTTCTCAACTTTTGTGCTGAATGGAAAACACTCTGAAGTGCATGGTGGCCTCAGAATACCAGTCTAACTCCCAGTTATTGTTTATTTGCTAAGTTGTGTCTGACTCTTTGTGACTCTTTGGATTGCAACCTGCCCGGTTGCTCTGTTCATGGGATTTTCCAGGCAAGAATACTGGATTGGGTTGCCATTTCCTTCTCCAGGGGATCTTCCCCATTCAGAGATCGAACCCGTGTCTCCTGTATTGGCAAGCAGGCTCTTTACCATTGAGCCGCCAGGGAAGACCCCTAACTCCCAGTCGGTCCTAACAAATGGTTTCATATTTTCATAATCTATAATTGATCGCTCCCAAAATAGATCTGAGATTGCCCATCAGGTATTTACGATTTAGTTGACTTGGGGCATGGGGTCTCCGAGCCAAGCCAAGGACTAAGAAATGGTACCCCAGAGCCTGCCCACCATTCATTAATAGTAAAGCATTCATCAAACCTTCACTATAACAGGCACTGCGCCGGCACAGAGGCTCTCTCACACAGGGGAGAAGGGGTAGTGGGGATGGCCAGAGGGGATGGGAGCCAGTGGGCGCGGGCTCTTGGGACCGGTGTCAAAGCAGTGGGAACAGCGGAAAAGCAGCAAGATCAAAACAAATACGGTGTGTGGGAACACCAAGACCCCGGTAACCCCATCCCTGCCAAAGGGACCCGCCCTCATCCTCCTCAGGGGCGCGGCACGCCCAGGGGCCCGCTGCCTCGGTTCAATTTCCTCCCGCCGCTGTCCTCCGCCGGGCCTGCACGTGTGTGAGCATCCGCCCATTGGCCAGTGCACGCGTGTGTGTGTGTGTGTGTGTGCGCGCGCGCGCATCCCTGGAACGCGCACTCGTGCAAACTGTCTCCAAGAGAGGAGGGAGACGGCCGGGCCTTAACTCGGCCCACTAGGCCACTCTGTCCGTGCGGCGACCTTACCCCGGCCCCAGCCTGTCTGCATCCGGGTCCCATATCAGCGGCTGGCTCGACCCGGGTTCTTTAATCACTCCTGCCCTCTGTCCTGGCTCCGCCGAGCAGAGGCTCCCTTCCCACCCGCTGGAAATGTCGCTGGAAACTCTGAGTGCGGCTCGTGGCCCCCGCCCCCGCCCGACGCCAGCCCTGCGGTGGGGGCGGAGGAAGCAGCTGGGAAACCGGAGCGGTCTCCCAGGGGACCCTGGACCGCCTCTCCCGGCGCCGCCTCGCGGCCGGCCCGGCCCCCGGCAAGGCCCCCGGCGTCCCCGCGGCCCGCCCGCTCGCACCCCGACGGGGAGCTCTCTCGCGCTCCGGCCGTTCGGAGCCCCCGCCCTCCACCCCAGTCCGGCCCAGGGGCCAGATCACAGGGAGAGACACATTCCGCCCGCGCGCCTGCCGACCCCACGCGCCTCTCACGGTCCTTCCTCCCAGCGCTCGCCCTCGTCCCCACTTCTTCGGCCCCGCCGATACCCCTTTTCCTCCTCGGGCGCCCGGCCTCGCGGAGCCCGTCCTGACCGGGTCACGAGGGCGGACGGCACAGCCCGGACTTCTCCCTGCCCTCCCTCCCCGAGGGCCCGCCGCGGCCGCGCCAGGCAAGAGCCGCGCAGAGATGCTCCTGTGTCCTCTCGGGCGTCCGCAGTCCCCCCCACCTGCTCTCCTGGGAAGGTAGGTGCCCCGGAGGAGAGGAGGCGGGGGCTGCAGTCGGGGAGGGACCCGCACTCCAAGCCGGAGGAACGCGGGAAGCCCCTCCTTCGCGGGTCCTGGTCCCAAACTCTGGGGGAGGGAAAGAGATGCCAAGTGCCCCCTCCATCCAGATGAGGCGAAAGTCGAGAAAACCTGAAATTGTCCATGTGGATTTGTAGCTGGAAAATACCCCTGGGATGCACCTAAGGCTCAAGCCCCCAAAGTTAAGGCAGTTTTTGGAGGGAGGAAGGAGTCTGCCAACTACAATGGGCTATTGCACGTTTTTCAGCCGTTAGGGGTGAAGGGCCGCCCGATTTCAGGGAGGACCTGGGGATTTCCTGTCCCCTCTGTCCTCTGCCAGATGCGGGACCCACTGCCCCAGTGCGGCACCCATTGCCCGGTGCCTCCATCCTCCCTATGAGAAGTCCTCCTTATCACCTCCTGGTACGGGAGGAACACTCAGCCCATCCTTCCCCACCCCGCCCTGCGTATCCTGAGAGGTGCGTCACAGGGTGCCGTGTTAGGGAGGGTCAGACAGCTGGGCCACCAAGGATGGGCAGCACCTGAAGAATCAGCCCTCCTACCGGCCCCTTCCTCCTGCAGGGCAGTTCTCAGGGAGTGCAGCGGGGGATGGCAGTGAGAGGGAAGGAGGCTGGGTCAGCTGATGGTCAGGGCTGCCCGTGCTGACTTCGCATCTTGGCCTCTGTAGTCAGCTGTCCAGGGTGGGGTTGTGGCTAGGAATCAGCATGCCTCAGAGCTCCAGATCTCCTCCTTTCCCCTGCCTCAGTTTCCTGCCCAGAGTCGGGGAGAGTAGCCGGGAACTGGGGTGTGTCTGCCTGTTTTGCTTTTGGTAGGAGCTCTAATTGGATCCAGTTGGTGTGCTGCCCCTCCTCCAGCCTCAGCCATTCACTCCCCGCCCCCCCAACCCCGCCACCCCAGCTAGGGATGGGCCTGGAAAAGCTGTGTCCCCAGTAGGTCTTCTCAAATGTCCAAAGGAATTGCCACTCCCCGACTAAAGTCAGAGAGCTGCCCCCAGCTTTGTCTGTACCCTACAGCCCCGCCATGGCTGAGCAGAAACTGGGAACAGCAGTAATCACAGCCCCCATGGCATCTTCATCCCCTCTGGTCTCCACAACACTTGCCCTGCTCGTATGACCCCCCAGCTGCACACCACCCCCCACTGCATACCGCCCACCTACTATTCAGCTGAACCTCCTCTGTGCCTACAATTCCCATACTGCTCACATGACGCCCACCCCCGTAACCCTGCACAAGCCACGTCCTTACACTCCATCCAGCATCTTAAGCATCCACTGAGCTAACACTCCATGCTGCACAAACAGCACCTCACAAAGTCCTTGCCACCCTCCTGTGAACCCCTCGGCCCCACAGGCACACGCGAGCCTCTAAACAAAAGTGCCAGAACCGGTCCAGCGCCAGAAGGTGGCCAAGGTTGGCTCAGCCTCTGGCCACGTTCAACAGGACAGGCGAGGTGGGACGGGATGGCCTGGGCAGCACAGCTCTCTGGTAGCAAAGCCCCATTGCCTCCTCTCCTGAGTGTGGGAACCCTGTCTCTTGACCTCAGCTTTGCGTGGGGTGGAAGGACCCAGCTGGCCAGTCTGGCATGATGCTCCCAGGAAGACACTCTGTCCAAAAGACAGCCTGGAGGTGTAGGAGAAAGTGGGGTGTGTGCACACACCTCTGTGTGTGTGCGTGTGTGACACTCAGCACCACCTTCCTGTGAGCTGGCCAACTCCCTGCTCACCCACTGACTCGCTGCCAGCCCAGGCCCGGGCCCAAGCTGCCTGACCCCTCACTGCACCCTGAGTCCTCTGAGGCTTCGGTCTGAGCCAAGAGGCCAAAGAAGGGAGCTGATACTACTTTGAGCTCAGAACGAATGGTTCCTGCGGACTGGACATGCCCAGCCTCCCTAGAATCTTGGCCCCGCCGGGCAGTGGGCGGGTGGCCACTCCCCACCCCACTGCCTGACTAACCACTTGTGCCTGCTGGCAAGCAGATGCTCATGGGGCCTGGGGGTGGCAGAGGGAACTGAAACAAAGTCCTGGTACCCGGGCCCTCCTCTGCCAGCTGCCCCAGTTTCCTCTGCCTTCCCTCCCAGGCAGAGGGCCGCGCTGTGCAGTGAGAGCCCCAGAGGGGCCGGCCGCTGGAGGTGTGCTCCCAGCCAACCTCCCTCCTCCTCCTTGCCCGGCCTCCCCCTCCCCCTCTCCCACCCAGAGCTCCTGCCCGAGGCCTAACAAGCAGCCCATTGTGCCTCTAGGAGTCTGCACGGGCAGCCTGAAGGCGGGTGCCCACAGCGGCCTTTTTCCTGGGTCTCTCAGCTCCCACCCAGCTGGCCCGATCCCCTCCCTCCCACAGCCCCAAGGTTGAACCCAGAGGACAGGGGCAGCCTGGACCCAGCAGGGCTCCCCCTTCCTTCTTCCTTCCCCACAGAGGACACGCTGAGGAGCAGCCCTCCAGCCTTGACCCGAGCATGCAGGCCCCACCCCACAGCCTCCCAGCTGGGCTCAGCCTGGATGACTTCATCCCGGGCCACCTCCTGGCCCACGTAGGGTCATCCGCCCGGGGGACACGGGTGAGTGAGCTAGCAGGGGAGCGGGTGCTGTGGGCCCCTAGTTGGGGAGGGGGACTCAGGACAGGTGGGGGGCAGCAGGAGGATCAGCGCGGGAAGGGGGGTGGGTGACACCTCCAGAGAGCCTCGCTGGTTCACCAGACCGGGTCCAGCCCTCACCTTTCAGCCATCCCTCCGCCGCGTGCAGAACCCCTGGGCCTGAGCTGCTGCTCCTGGCCCCTCCCCACAGGTGCCCGTGATCCGGAACGGTGGTTCCAACACCCTTAATTTCCAGTTCCATGACCCTGCGCCCAGGACCGTGTGCAATGGGTATTTGCCACCGAGGAGGGATGCTTCCAGACACCCAGGTGGGTCTGCTTGGGAAAACCAGCTCCAGGGTTAGGGGTTGGGGAGGGGTTCAGTCAGAGCTGCTTGGGCTCAGCCTTCTGGCACCCACCCTGGGTCAGGTGGAGGGACAGGAGGTGGGTGAAAGTCTCTTAAGGCCCCAGGGCCAGTGAGCTCAGCTCACCACCCCTCCCTGTAGGCACGTGCTGGCCTGTGAGAGTGAAACTGCTGTGGCAGAGGCCAGGCTGACACATCCCTTCCCCTGCCTCCCCCACCCAGTGCTAGGGGGAAGGAAATGTGCAGGGAACATAGCCTCAGGCCAGGGGGACCTCCAGCAGGCCAGGGGACAGCTTGGATTGGGAATGGAGGCTGAAGGAATGTGAGCATAGGTGGGTTGAAGAGCTAGGTGGGTTGAAGAAGGCATGGGTGCTGAACTCAAGACACACCCCCAAAGGGCTGCCCCCGCCCCCCATCTGTATGCAGCAGCCCAGCAGAAGGTGCAGAGACAGCTCTGGGACTCTGCCAGCTCCTGGGCTCCTATGAGTCAGCCCAGCCCAGCCCAGCCCAGCCCACGGGGTCTGGGAGATTCCTGGGACCTCCTGGGTGCACGTCCACCAGGGCCCGTCTCTTTAGGAGGATGGCAACATTTATAGAGCATTCCTTTGAGGCAGCCAGTGTGTTCAGTAGTTTACACATTTAACAAATAGTCGGTAAGCACGCAGAAAATCCTGGACACTGTAAAGACACTTTCCAGGTCTTACCTCACTTCATCCCTCCATAGCCTGGCAAGGTAAGGTGTCATTATTAGCATCTTCTCAGTGAAGGACCCGTATCTCAGGGGTGTTCAGTCACAAAGGCTGAGCTGAGGTTCAAACACTGGTCCATCCTGCCCTGAAGCCCTTTTGTTGTTACAACCGGAGGCCGAAGGTGCTGGTGAGTGAGTTTCTGCCCCTGGTGTGGCGATTGTGTTCAGGCACTGTCCTAGATCTCCCTGCAGCTCTGCTGTGACTACCCTCATTTTACAGAAGTTGGAAACAGAGGCACGGTGAGGTTGATTGCTGTGCCTAAGACGCACAGCCAGTAGGTCTGCATTCAGGTCTTCGCCCCCAGCCCCAGGCCCTTTTCTGCCACACCCCACTGTCTTCCCCAGCTGGGATATTTGCCTCTAGCATTCTCTGCATGTGACAATTCCAGCTCTCCTTCTAAAAACTCTTGAGGACATCCCCAACAAAGCAGGGTGGAGACGGGCATAGATTTCTCAAGATAAAATCCATTTTCAATCACTTTAACTAAAAAGTAAACAAACACAGGAGCCCTGTGGTCTTGCCAAGGATGGGGACGTTTGTAGAGTCTGCGTCATCAACTTAGACAAACAAGAGGTTGCTGAAACTTTTGAACCCACAGGGCTGAGTGGTCTGAGGAGCAGAGGGACAAACAAGCTTCGGTGGGGTGCCTTTGCTGAAGCTCCTCTCCATGTACCCCACAGACCCTGCTTGGTATCAGACCTGGCCGGGCCCTGGGAGCCGGCCCCCTGGGAACCAGAAGACCCCTGCCTCCCAGCATTCCCAGAAGTGGTCAGCCACATGGACCAAGGACAGCAAACGGCGGGACAAGCGCTGGGTCAAGTATGAGGGCATCGGACCCGTGGATGAGAGCGGCATGCCAATTGCTCCCCGATCTGTGAGTCCAGGGCTGGGGCCGCTGATTGGTGGGGCCCAGGGGTCCGCCCTGAGCTCCACCTCTGCCACAAAGCCTGTTCCCAAACCATACCAGACTGAAGCAGGGGTTCGGCCTTTACGGGTCCGGGGTTCACGAGCCACAAAATCATGAGCAGGCTGGCATATCTGAGTTGTGCAAGGGATTCTTTTTGGCGGGGGGGCAGCTCTAGACTACCCCATAGTTCCCCATGGTAGAGAGCCACTGCTGTACAGGCTGACCCTGGCGGGGGCTGCCCCACTCCCCCATTCATGGCCCTGGGCCTGCACGGCACTGGTGGGACGGTCACTGAGTGACTGACCAAATGGGTGAATGAGAAGAGTCCTGAGTGAGGCCTGATGGAGCAGCAAGCTTGGAGGATCTGAAGGATTCATGCTGGGAGGACCTGCCCTTCCACCACTCCCAGGCCTGTCCTGAGCCAGCTGTCTGCCTCTAGTTCCTTATCGGAAACTCAGATTGGTAACATAGCCTTCTGCTTCCCAAGGTTCTTTGGCGTCACAGGTGAGGTAGAGGATGTGAAATACCTTCCTACCCTACCCCCCACCGATACTGTTTATTTTTCATTACATAGAAACACATGTTCTCTGTAGAATCATCAGAAATACATAAAAAGAAAAAACTATATATAAGCCACCCCAGATCTCACAATTTAGGGTTCATCACTGGTGGAGATTCTTCCATAAATCTGAGTATTTTTTTTTAATAATTAAAAAAATTTTTTTTGGCCATGCCACATGGTATGTGGGATCTTAGTTCCCCGACCAGGGATTGAACCCACGCTCCCTGCATTGGGAGCAGCGAGTCTTAACCACTGGACCACCAGGGAAGTCCCCCTTCTGTATATCTTACTCAAACATAACAGACTACATGGAGTTATTGTTACTAAAGATGTCACAACAGCCCACCCAGGGGGGCTTCAAGGGTGGCCAGAGAAAGGACTCAGCAAGGAAAAATATCTGTGGCTTGATATTGGGAGGGTAGGCTGACTTTGCCTTCTTTGATCCCAGAGTGTTGACAGCCCCAGGGACTGGTACCGAAGAATGTTCAAGCAGATCCACCGGAAAATGCCGGGTGAGACCCCCTTCTGGGGCCCTCTCTCTGCCGGAGTGGGCTTGGGCCCCTGGGGGGTGGGGAGCGAGAGGCAGACAGGGGGACTCACCTGCCCGGGGAGTGTCTGCACCCACCCCAGGCTCTGCGGTGAGTGGTCGCTAAACAGCCCAAAGGAGGGAACCGCCAGTCTGCTCCCTGTGTGGGGAACAGTGACCAGACCCTGTCCCCCCTGAGGGTCGGGAACCGCGAGGCCACACATCCGCTCAGCCAGCCCCTTAGCCATGTGTTCAGCACTTGCTGTTTGCTGACTACTATTCTAGGTGCTAAAGACAAAACGGAACAAAAAAAGGTTGTTCCTGCCTTAGCAAAGCTTGAGGCAGAAGGGGTCACAGAATAAACACATAGGCATTTAACATGGCAGATGGTGGTAAGGGCTAGGGAGAAAAGGTCGGGAGAGTGCCCAGGGCAGGAAGGCTGCCACTTCACGCAGGTGGTCAGGAAAGGCCCCTGAGAAGCGGCTTCTGAGCTGAGAGCTCAGGTTGTGAAGGAGCTGGCCCTGCAGGGCTGGGGGAGGAGTGTCGCTGCATGGGGAGCCCGGAGGCAGAGCAGGCCGGATTTGTTCTGGGGCCACAGAGAGGGGTGGGGCCGCAGTGAGAGGGGCACGTGGTGGAGATGGAAGACAAAGATGCTGGGATCAGGGCACTCCAGGCCTTGGGCTTTTACTCTACAAGAACTGAGGAGCCCCTGGGAGGCTCTGAGCTGAAGAATGAGTGACAGGCTCGGACAGGTGGTGGCTGAAGTGACTCCCTCTGGCTGCCAGGTGGGGAAGAGATGGGGCTGGGTAGAGGCAAGGGACCAGTCAGGAGATCTGAGCAGAATCCAGGCTAAAGACGACAGTGTCTCAGATCAGGGCAGTAGCAGCGGGCCTGGTGGAATTCTGGAGACAGAATCATGGTAATTTGATGATGGATTGCATGTGGCACGAAAGAGACCAGTCAGGGATGACTTTAAACCTGAGTGAGTCCATGAAGTTGCCCTTTATAAATGCATATACATACAGGAAAGGCAGGGAGGGGGGTTGTGTGTGTGCAAATCTAAGGGGCATTCAGTTTTAGACACGGTGCACACAAGTGGCAGTTGATATTTTTGTTTTTGAGTCGCTAAGTCATGTCTGACTCTTTAGCGATCCCATGGACTGTAGCCCACCAGGCTCGTCTGTCCATGGGATTTTCCCAGGCAAGAATGCTGGACTGGGTTGCCATTTCCTTCTCCAGGGGCTCCTCCCCACCAGCTGATCAAACCTGCATCTTTGGGATTGAAGGCAGATTCTTTACCACTGAGCCACTGGGCAGTTGATAAACAAGTCTGTATTTCCTGGGGTGAGGCTTAAGCTGCAGATGGAAATACCAAGGACCCACTCAAAGAGATTTTTGGTGTAAAGGTCCCCCAAGTAGCTTCGGTGTACAGCTAAGGTTAGGAGTCCCTGGAATAGACAGTATTGTTTAAGGTAGAAGACTGAACCAGATCACCCAGGGAGATGGAGAGACAGAGGCCCAGGGACTGAGCCCTGAAACACTTGCTTGGAGAGATGGGCAGAAATCATCTAGGCTGCCTGGGAAGGGGAGCTTGGGAGGCAGGAGGAAAACCAGAGCAGCCTCCCTGAAGCCAAGTGACAAGAAATTTCTAAAGGAGGAAGTGCACCTCTGTGACTGATGCTGCTGATGATCAAATGGGACTGACCATTTGATCTGGTAACTTGGAGGTCACTGGAGTCCTTGACGAGGGTGGCTCAGGCTGAAAGCCTGCTTATCAGGAAGTGGAATTGAAGACACTGAGTTTCTTACGGCCAGCATACATGCAACCCCATGGACTGTAGCCCGCCAGGCTCCTCTGTTCATGGGATTCTCCAGGCAAGAGTACTGGACTGGGTTGCCTTGCGCTTCTTCAGGGGATCTTCCCAACCCAGAGATTGAACGTGTGTCTCTTTTGTCTCCTGCATTGGCAGGCGGGTTCTTTACCACTAGCGCCACCTGGGAAGCCCCTTATGGCTAGTAGTTGGCTGCAAAGGAAAGCAGAAAACTCCAAGAACTGGAGGAAGGTGTGGGATCCAGAGAGGGGGGTTGTGGTTTGCATTTAAGGTCAGAGCTGTGGTTACGTGTCTGTGTGCCAAGGAGATCAAGAGGGTTGGCTGGTCAGTAGCTCTTCCTTGGAAGCCCCAGAAAGTCCTGAGCACTGAAGAGTGGGTCTGGACAAAGGGGGAAGATTTAGAAGAGGGTGCAGAAAGGGCAAGAGGGTGAAGGGGAAGTAGAATTCTCCAAACTGACCTGGCAGGTGTCCAAAGGTCAGGGAGAGGGTGTGTGTGGGAACCAGGGAGGGAGGGGCAGGAGGATTTGGGCAAGGCCACTGCCCTCTTGGCTCCCTCAGGCCCTAAGGCAGCCAGAGGCATTTCAAGCCCTCCTGAGAACTGCCCTCCTAATTCCTTCCCTCCCTCGAGACATTCTTTAGGCTCTGACTCAGCCCCTGGGCCCCTGCTCTAGGCAGGAGGGACTGGGAGCCTCTGGGGCTGCCTCCCAGGGCTCCCCATCCTTATCCTTGCTTGCTGCCCCCACCCTGACCTAGTCCTTTCTGCTACCCTAGACCTACAGCTGGACTGGACCTTCGAGGAGCCACCCAAAGGTGAAGGCAGGGGTGGGGGGTGGCATGCCCCAGCCCGGCGCCTACATTTACCCTTCCTGCAGCCACGCCTGGCTTTGGGGCTCCCCAGTTGGCTCAGCTCAGCTTGTGAAGTCTGTACAGCCCATTTCCGTGAGCTCCAAATCTCCTGGTCCATGGTATTAATAATTCAGAGCCTCTGAGTCACTGTCCGGCAAATGCCTAGCCCTGGCTCTGCTTTCTCTGGGCCTCTCTTTTCTCACGTGTAAAACGGGAACACCCCAGAGATGTTTCAAAGGTTTGGTAAAGAGTGTAAAGCTCTTGGCACCCAGCCCATAGTTACTGGTCCAGAGCATCACCCCTGTTCCCACCAGCCACCCAGGAGCGTGGGTGGGAGTGGGCCAGAACCTTCCACTGTCACCCAGGTACCCTCAACCCCAGCTTTCACCTCCCTCCGCCCTGTTTATCTTCTCTCACTTTCAGTGGATTCTTCCTGTGCCACCTCTGCAGACGCAAGGCATCCAGGGCCTCAGCAAAGACCACCTGCCAGGCCAAACCAGACGTCACCTCTGAGCGGGTGAGACATCAAGGGGAGGGCCCCAGAGCCGCAGAGGGGTGCTGCCTTCCTTGAGGGGACTGGCACCCCCTGGTGGCCACAGCTGGCAAAGTCTCGCACCTGGCCGGCAGGCTCCCACCCATGGCTCTGCCCCTCTCAGGGTTCCCACTGCTTGAGATCCTCTCCATGCCACCAGAGCCAAAGGGGGATGACCTGACCGCTATTTGTGGTCAGGACTGCCTGGGATGCCTCTGTATTTGGTGGCAGGAATTCATCACCCCAAAGATCTACGCCTCATTTGGGGTGGAGAGCAGGGTAGCCCGTGGCTAGGCGTGGACCTGCAGCCTGTGAGAAAACAAGGGGCATAGAGGATCGCAGGCTTTGTCCCAGATGCCACTGAGAGAGGAACCCTCCAGACAGGTCAAGGACGCAGTGCATCTTTTCTGAGCAAACCACACAAGCTCAGCCCAGGCTGCAGGGGCTCAGCCCAACCTCAGGAATCAGGAGGCTGTCTGTCACAGTGTCACTAATGAGTTTCTGATTCCTTTCTGGGAACAGAGTGACCTCATTAGCCTGGCCTTAACTGGGCTGTGGTTCTTGGCATCATCAATAAGGTAGAGACTAAGATTTGGTCAAGATTTGGACCCAGATTTCTGGATTCTTGCCTGGAAAGTTCCATGGACAGAGGAGCCTGGTGGGCTGCAGTCCATGGGGTCGCAAAAAGTCGGACAGAACTGAGCACGCATACGCACCTCTGGATTCAAATCAGTGTGCTGCACTAGCCACGTGACCTCGACCAAGGTAACCAGTCTGAGCTTCTCTAGCTCCATCTGTTAAATGGGAATCAGAGGGTGGCATGAAGATCAAAGTACACCGCAAGTCTCCACAAACATGATTATCATACAAGCTTGATTATGAGTAGTTGTTGTTCAGTTGCTCAGTCATGTCTGACTCTTTGTGACTCCATGGACTGCAGCATGCCAGGCTCCTCTGTCCTCCACTATCTCCTGGAGTTTGCTCAAATTCATGTCCATTGAGTCAGTGATGCTGTCTAACCATCTCGTCCTCTGTTGTCCCCTTCTCCTACCTTCAGTCTTTCCTAGCATCAGGGTCTTTTCCAGTGAGTCGGTTCTTCCCATCAGGTGGCCAAAGTATTTGAGCTCCAGCTTCAGCATCAGTCCTTCCAGTTATGACTACAGCTTCCTTAAATTAGGAACAATGCATTCCATTCTCACATCACTGTTGTTACTGATGTTCTTTCTAGAGTAGTCATAGTAACAGCTGACAAATCCTGACCCTCCCCTCAGACATTCCATCACTTGATAAGCTTGGTACAGTGTTTCCACTTGGTGGAAACATTCAAACTCAGCAGAAACTGGAAGATTTCAGCCAGCCAAGAAGGGAGTCCTAGAAGGACACTCAGGTAACTGTGACAGATGACATCAATGATCTAGCACCTCAGGGAACTGAGACCTGTGGAGCAGAAGTAACTTGTTCAGACCTCCTGAGTCAGGCCTACAGGCTCTTTCCCCTGACCTGGGTTTTCCAGGAACTAAGATGTAGTCTCACACCCTTGGGTATGGGTACAAGACCACTTGGTCATGGTGACCAACTTCATCGAAGCTGCACAGACATACATACCCACAGTCATGGAACCAGATAGAACCCAAATGCAGGATATTTCACCAAGGCCAGCAGGAAAGGGACTGGCCACTTCTGGAGCAGATGTGTACATGTTAGTTCCTGTCTTGGGTGTCTCAAGTATGTTCCCTCACCTAAGATTCCCCATACCCTTATAAAGGTGGGAGTCATTCTCATATTACAGGTATTGAATCAGAGGCTCTGAGACCAAAAGAGACACAGCTAAGTGGTGGGACTGGAATTTGAATTCAGAGCTAATAACATTTTACTATTTAACATTGCTTCTACAGCCCAGAGCAGGCGGGGAGGGGGTGAAGCTCCCTCCCCAGGACTGTGTGCTCATGCCTGCCTCTGTTTCCCTAAAAGGAAACTGAAAGATGTCTTTTCCTTTCTTTAGAAGAAGCTGGGATGTCTCTGAAGAGTCTCTTAGAAGCACCTTCAGTTGTAGTCCTGGAGCACCCTCCTCCCTGCACCAGACCTCGAAGCAGGTAGCTTGCCCAGCACTTCCCCCATCACCATGCTCTCTGGTCAGGCCCTCTGCTGTAATAGTTGGTACAGTCTGTATAGTCCATGGGGTCGCAGAGAGTCAGACACAACTGAGCGACTTTCACTTTCTGCTGCAAGCACAGTTAAAACTGTTCTTCATCTTGGAGCTTGTGCAGTCAGAAGATCCTGGAATTCTTGGGAGGGTGCTGATGGGCATGGAAGTGGACTGTGGCTGAAAGCCTGCTTTTCGAGCCTGGCCAGAGTCCCGGTACCCCTCTCTTCAAGCTGATGCTTACTCCCTGCCATGCAGGTGCTCAGACGCCGAGAGAAAGCGGACAATGTCTGGACGGAAGAATCCTGGAACCAGTTTCTGCAAGAACTAGAGACTGGGCAGAAGGTGTGTGGGCCTGGTTCTCTGGAAAAGGATGTACCCTCGACTCGTGCATTGGGGGAGCAATTTCACCCCCTCTGACTCACTCTTCCCACTCTTAGCCCAAGAAACCACTGGTAGACGACCCTGTTGAGAAGCCCTCCCAGCCCATTGAGGTGCGTGCTGTGGACAGGTGGGCGGGAGTGGGACATAATATGTTGGGGGGCCAGTGACGGACTTTCTGGGTGGTCAGGGTCCCCATGACCATGGGCCAAGGCCATGGACTCAAGACTCTGACCCTCTCCAGTCCCATACGGCTTAGTTCTGTGCCCCCAGCGCCCAGGACAGTGCCTGGCATACAGTGTGTGAAGCTGTTAGGTGCTCAGTCATGTCCGGCTCTTTGCAACCCCACTGACTGTCGCCCACCACGACCCTCCGTCCATGAAATTCTCCAGGCAAGAATACTGAAGTGGGGTAGCCATTCCCATCTCTGGGGAATCTTCCCAACCTAGGGGTCGAGCCCAGGTCTCCTGCAGTGCAGGCAGATTCTTTACTGCCTGACTCACCAGGGAAGCCTCAGGCATACAGTAGGCGCTCAGTAAACATGTGCTGAAAATTGTGTGTTCATCACAGCAGGCTGAGAAGAGACTGATCAGTGTGGACTGGAATTGTCTTGAAGATGGAGCTTGGAGGCCAGGCAGAGAGGGGGTACCTAGGCTGGGGCAGACACAGGCAGAGGCTGGAAGGGAGAGTGTGTGTGTGTGTGTGTGTGTGTGTGTGTGTGTGTGTGTGTGTGTGTGTGTGTGTGTGTGTGTGTGTGTGTGTGTGTGTGTGTGTGTGTGTGTGTGTGTAGAGTGAAGCCAGGCTGTGGAGGGCCATGAAAAGACTTGACAGGAGAGGAAGTAGGGAGCCTGGTAGGCTCCTGAATAGAGAAACACATCAGGAAATACTAAAGCGTTCCCCTGGGAGTAAGGGATGGGTGAGCTGGGTCAGCAGGGAGGGCCCTCCTGACACCCCAAGACACACCTCCTGGCAGGCCCAGAGGTAGTCAGCCTGGCCCGGCGCCCTGAGCCTGCCCTTTACCCCAGCGCCGCATGCTTTGACGTGTTGCCATTGGGCTTCTCACATCTGATTTTCGCCCAGCCCAGCGCCCCCCACGGTACACTCCCCGCCCCCCACCTTGCCCCTGGCCCAAGTCTCTCCGCACAACCCGCCCCCAGGTCCTGCTGGAGAGAGAGCTGGCCAAGCTGAGCGCCGAGCTGGACAAGGACCTGCGGGCAATCGAGACTGCGCAGCCGCCCCCCAAGGTACCGGCCCCCCGGGGCCCTCCTGGAGGGCGCAGGAACCCCGAGCCGCACAGGCGTGGCCTTGGGGGGAGGGCAGGCCGACGAGAGGCATCGCCTCCAGCTGCACTCGCGACCTTGGGCGACTCCATCCAAGTCTCCTCCCTAAAGTGCGGGGCGATCACTGTTCCTAACGACCCCTAAGAGCCCTCCCTGGGCCGACTCCACGTCCAGCCTGCCGTCCGGAGCCGGAGGGGTCCCTCGCCCCCGGGACCTCAGCCCCGCGGCCCCACGTCCCGGCCTTCCCTCCCCCTTCCACACCCGCGGTCCCTCCCCCCGGCTCCTCGCTCCTCCCGCTCCCGGCCCGCCGCCCCGCGTCCCTCCCGCCCCTCCTTTCCCGCTTCCCCTCCCGCTCCCTTCCCGGCCGCAAACTTTTCCGGAGGCGGCGTCCCGGGCCCTGACCGCGCCCGTCTCCCGCACAGAGCTCTCAGGCGCCCCGACGGTCCCGGGAACCGCGGCCCCCAGCGCGGTGAGTGGCGGCGGAGACGTGGCGCGGGGAGGGGTGGCGAGCCCGGGACGCCGACGGCGGGAGGAGGGGCGAGAGCGCGGACCGGGGCCGGCGGGGACCTGATCGGCCGCTCGTCGGCCGGGGTGGGGGGCCGTCCCTGCTCCGCCGAGGGAAGCCGGTTCCCCGGCTCCGGGGCTCGGGTCGCAGCTGCGAGGGGATCCCGCGCTCGCTCCCGCCTCCCCCACCCCCGGGCCGCACCCTTTCCCGGCCCTGACCGCTCGGGAAGTAGGACATCCTGCCGAGGGCCCGGGACCTGGGAGATGCCTCGGGAGGAGGAGGGCTGGGGTAGGGGAGATGGAGGGAGGGAGTGCTGGGGGTGGTGGGCATTCGGGCGGGCAGTGGGGAGCCGGGTCGCGGGTGAAGCTTCAGACAGGTGACTCACTCGTGCGTCCCCGTGCAGCCCGGCCTCCGCCTGGAGCTCCAGCTCCCCGAATGCACTTTACCCGGCTTCCTCCCTGAGCCCCCACAGGATGGCGGATGGAGGAAGCCCCTTCCTAGGTCGGAGGGACTTTGCCTACCTTTCCTCAGCTCGAGGTGAGAAGCAGATCCTGCTCTTGTTCTCACCCAGACGGCCCCCTCTGCCGCCACCACTGCTCCAGATACGGTGGTGCCCCTGCAGAGGTGGCAGGAAGGTCACAGAACCCCCCTGTTCCCACTGGTTCCTGTCCTGGGCAGGGAGTGGGGGAGCAGAGCCCCACCCCAGCCCTGCCCCCCAAGACATGGCCTTCCCAAGCTAAGGCAGTGCTTCTCCACAGACCCTAGTGCCTCTGATCCAGGGGGCAGCCCTGCCAGGAAGGAAGAGAAGAAGGTAAGGGGGGGTGGGACTCTCGGGTCAGGGTGCAAGGAGGGCCTGGGGTGGGTCCCTGTGACTGCTCTTGCCTACTTGCCGGCTGAATGACTGAGGTCACTTGCTCTGTTCTCTCCCCCTGCCCAGAGGAAGGCCGCCCGGCTCAAGTTTGACTTCCAGGCCCAGTCCCCTAAGTAAGTGCCATTCTGCCCCTTGCCTTCCCCATGGCAGTCCCTGGGAGGACAGGACTGCAGCGTGCCCCCCCAGAGGGTGGGGAGGGATTCTGGGGGCGCTGAGCAGAGTCTGGAGGACCCTGAGGACCTCAGATTGCTTGATGTCCTTGCTCTGGCCTCCAGGGAGCTGACTCTGAAGAAGGGTGACATTGTCTACATCCACAAGGAGGTGGACAAGAACTGGCTGGAGGGAGAGCACCATGGCCGCCTGGGCATCTTCCCCGCTAATTACGTGGAGGTGAGTGGGGGTGATGAGCAAGGGGCCCTGCCAGGAGGGCGGAAGGGTTTGCAGAGACTTAGAGAATGCAGACCCCCTTTAACCAGCCAGGGAGCCTCTCCAGAACTGGCTGCTCCCTCACACCTGGCAAGTTTCCTAAGACTAAAGCCGTGAGCTGGGGTAGGGGCCAAGTCTCAACCTCATTCGTGCCCTCCAGGAAATGTTTGTTAAGGGTAGGCCTAAAGGTGGAGGCCAGACCAGGGGGAAGAGCCAAACAGCCCCGTTCCTGTAGTGGAGGCCAGCAGCCCAAACATCCCCCACGTTCACCACTCAGAAGCCACCTCTCAAAACCTGCATCTCCAGCTGCCTTTTGGGAAGAAATCTAATTGCAACTGAAGAATATGAAGTCTGAGACAGTTCACCAATCACATATACATGTGGCGTCTCCTTCCTGTGTGTCACCTCCCTTGATCCCCTGATCAGCCTGGCAAAGTGATAGATCACCCCCACTTTATTTTATTTATTTTATTTATTATTATTATTTTTTTATTAGTTGGAGGCTAATTACTTTACAACATTGCAGTGGTTTTTGTCATACATTGAAATGAATTAGCCTTGGATTTACATGTATTCCCCATCCCGGTCCCCCCTCCCACCTCCCTCTCCACCCGATCCCTCTGGGTCTTCCCAGTGCACCAGGCCGGAGCACTTGTCTCATGCATCCAACCTGGGCTGGTCTGTTTCACCCTAGATAATATACATGTTTCAATGCTGTTCTCTTGAAACATCCCACCATCGCCTTCTCCCACAGAGTCCACAAGTCTGTTCTATACATCTGAGTCTCTTTTCTGTTTTGCATATAGGGTTATCGTTACCATCTTTCTAAATTCCATATATATGTGTTAGTATACTGTAATGGTCTTTATCTTTCTGGCTTACTTCGCTCTGTATAATGGGCTCCAGTTTCATCCATCTCATTAGAACTGATTCAAATGAATTCTTTTTAATGGCTGAGTAATATTCTATGGTGTATATGTACCACAGCTTCCTCATCCATTGGTCTGCTGATGGGCATCTAGGTTGCTTCCATGTCCTGGCTATTATAAACAGTGCTGCGATGAACATTGGGGTGCACGTGTCTCTTTCTTTTTTTTTTTTTTTATATTCGAGTTTATTCTTCATTTAACTTTTAAACACTACTATAGTTGAATATTAAAACAAAAGCAAGTAGTGAGCATATTATGATTATAGTCCTTCACTCAATCACTACTGCAATAAAACCCCAGCAGTGAGTGTTATTCACAATCCTACTAAGAGGTCTGACATTGAACACCACCCCGAGGATGATGTTCATCATCCTCATATGCTTCTCCATTGTAATGACGCCGTCTTTCCTGATTTGGATCAAAGTCCACTAATTCTACCTGGTCCATTTCATCAGTCTCTTCTACTTCCTTCCTCTCAGGCAGAAGTTTTTCCAGCAAAGAGAGTTTATCAGGAGAGAGAAAGCCATTCTCAGGAAAGTTTACCTTAAATTCAATGATTAGGCGACCCTTTTCATATGGCCTACGATAAATTGGCATGCCTTCATTTAGCACACACTTGATATCTCCATGCTTGACGATCTGACCTGGATGAGAAGTGATGACTATGGTTCGGTTATCAAGAGTAGATATTGGCTTCTGGAAGCCACACAATGCCTCAACCAGCTGTATGTCCATACACATGAAAAGATCTTCTCCTCGTCGAGTAAAAACAGCATGGTCCTTCTGATCTAAAACAATGATAATATCTCCTGGCTCCAGTCCTGGTTCTTGGTCTCCTTCACCATGGAATGTTATCTTCTGGCCATCTTTCATGCCTTTGTCAATATGAACTTCTAGAATTTTCTTTTCTCGAACTATCTTCCTTCCATTGCAGCTTTTGCATCTATCTTTAGGACTGATCCGCTCCCCATGGCCCTGGCACTCCATGCAGACAGACTGAATTTGCTGAACCATTCCAGGTCCTATCTGATGAATTCTTATTTGCATTCCAGTACCCCGGCAATTGGGACAGCATTCTACCGCTCCTTTCTTACCACCTCGGCCTTCACATTTGTCACAAATCACATTCTTTTGCAGAGCTAGTTTTCTTGTTGCACCATTATATAAATCTTCTAAAGTTACTGTAAGTTGATGCACAACGTTTTTACCTCTCCTCTCTCTCTGCATCCTGCCTCCTCCTCCGAAAAACATATCAAAGATGTCCATGGGGGAGCCAAAACCACCACCTGCTCCACCTTCTTTAATTGCCTGTTCTCCTCCTCTGTCATATAATTCCCTTTTCTTTGCATCAGAAAGCACTTCATAAGCTTGAGAAATCTGTTTAAACTTCTCGCCTTCATTTGGATTCTTATCAGGGTGGTACTTCAAGGCCAGTTTCCTGTAAGCCTTTTTCAATTCTTCTTGGGTGGCATTGGGTTTGACCCCCAAAACATCATAGTAAGTGGTTTCTTTCACCATTTTCTACAGCTGGTGAGCGGGCTGATGCCGGTGTGGGGGAGCGGGAAGGAGCGCGTTGCTGTGCGCAGCTCGGGCAGCCGCCGCTCCTCTGCCTTTCACCGAGCGTTCTGGAAAGTTCCGCACGTGTCTCTTTCAGATCTGGTTTCCTCGGGATCACCCCCACTTTACAGATGCACTAAGGTTCAGAGCCAAGTTGTTAAGTGAAAAATCTAGAATCTGGATCCAGAGACAAGGTTCTGGGTTTGATAGGTATGGGGCTACAAGTTATTGAGTATTTGCATCTTTTAAGGAACTTCAAATTATCTAATTTATCAGCATAAAGTTGTTCATAATATTTCATTATTGTTCTCTTAAATATTTATTTTTGACCGCACTGGGTCTTCATTGCTGCCACCGGGCTTCCTCTATCTGCAGCCAGTGGGACTACTCTCTAGCTGTGGTGCGTGGGCCTCTCACCGTGATGGTCTCTCTTGTCGCAGAGCACGGGTCTAGAGCTCAGGCTTCAGTAGTTGAAGTGCTCAAGCTTAGTCGCCCCGAGGCATGTGGTGTCTTCCCAGACGAGGGACTGAACCTATGCTTGTTATTATCCTCTTAATGTCAGTAAGATCCAAAGTAATAACCTTTCTTTCATTCCTGACATTGGTAATCTCTATTTTTTCTTATTCTGGCTAGAAATTGGTTAATTTTATGGATCTTTTCAAAGAACCAACTTTCAGTTAAATTGATTTTTCTCTACTTTTGTTTTCAATTTCATTGATTTCTGCCTCTTCATTATTTCCTTCATTCACCTTGTGTTAGGTTCTTTTTCTAGTTTCTTAGAGTGGTAGTTCAGATTATTGATCTGAAACCTTTTTCTCCTAAATTTAAACATTTAATGCTATAAATTTCCCTCTAAGCGTAGCTTTACCTACAACCCACAGATGTTGATATTTTGAGTTTTTTTGGTTTCATTCAGCTCAGACTATTCTCATTTCCTTTGTGGCTTCCTCCTTGACCCATCGATCGAGTCGTCTGTTTCAGTCTCTTCATCTCATAGGCATCAATAGACCTCCTCTATCCTTAAAACGATGTCCCTGATCCTGAAGTTCCACAAGTATGTACAGTATTGCATGTCATCAGTCATTTACATCTTGAAGTGCGGAAGTATTACTCAGTCGTGTCCAACTCTTTGCGACCCCATGGACTGTTGCCCCACCAGGCAATCGTCTGAGCCACCGAGGAAGTTCTTACATATTAGTATGCACTAGTTTATTAGCATCTTAATTTTTCTGAGTAGGATGAAGCGAAGAGAGCATGGGGAAGAGAGCATGGGGACGCTGGGCACACGGTGGGGTGAAAGTGGAGGGGGAGGAGGGACACTTGGTTCTAAGCAGTGTGGTGAAATGGTAGATCCTCACTCTTAGAACAGGCTACCAGGAGTTCCCTGCTCCTTAGTACTTCTCATGTCCTTCTGTGCTCCGATTTAAACTCTCTCCTGTTTGCACTGCCGTGGTCCACTCTGATAATGCCCACTCCACATAACCTCTGGTGAAAATTCTTCCTCCAGAAGCATTCTGGGCCTGACTACCCCCTTGCCCTATGCCCACTGCTGGCTACCCCCAGGCGTGTGTTTAGTATCTGCCTCCTCTCTGGTCTGGGGGATAGACCTTGCTCATATTGCTTCCCCAGGAGACCAGGTCTGTGCCCAATTGATACCCAAGCTGAATCTCATATCCTCTCTTCCTCCAGGTGCTGCCAGCAGATGAGATTCCCAAGCCCATCAAGCCTCCGACCTACCAGGTGTTGGAGTACGGAGAAGCTGTGGCCCAGTACAACTTCAAGGGGGACCTGGAGGTGGAGCTTTCCTTCAGAAAAGTACGTTTGGGCTTGGCCGGGGGAGGAGGCGTGGGGCATGGCAAGGCAGGTGAAGACACAGGGAAATGTGTGTGGTAAAAATATTCTTTAAAAAAAATCAGACATACCTATTTTCACTAGTGTTTCAGATTTTTTTTCCTCAATCTCTTTGGAAATATTTCCCTTAACTGCGCCCATTTTAATTTTTGTTTATTTATTTACTTTTATTATTTTTTTGGCTGCATAGGCTCTTTGTTGCGGCAGGCAGGCTTCAGTTACAACACAGGATTCTAGAGCACGTGGACTCAGTAGTTGTGGTGCTCAGGTTCTCTAGGTGCGGCATGGGGACTTAGTTGCCCACGGCATGTACGATCTTAGTTCCCTGACCAGGGATTAAACCCGAGTCCCCTGCGTTGGTAGGCAGATTCTTAACCACTGGACCATCAGGGAAGTCTCCTGCCCATTTTTATTTGTTTATTTATTTTAATTAATTTATTTGGTTGTCCTGGGTCTTAGTTGCAGCATGTGGGATCTAGTTCCCTGACCAGGTACTGAATCTGGGCCCCCTGCATTGGGAATGCAGAGTCTTAGCCACTGAACCACTGGGGAAGTCCCTTGCCCATTTTTAAAATGTTCAAAACTCCTAGAGTAGTTGTGCTTTTTCTCAAGTTGCAGGTTGGTAGGCTGTGAGGATCACTTCAGCATTCTAAAAATAATACAATGGAAGTCTTAGAATACCTTGCACATGGAAAGGGTATTTCATCCAACTCTTGGACAGTTGTGTGTGTGTGTGGGGGGTGTAGTGGATTGATATTACAACATATTCTTTTTACTGTAGATAATGGTTCAGAAAACTTGAAAAATGTTGAGACTTCCCTGACAGTCCACTGGTTAAGGCTCTGCACTTATAATGCAGGGGACGCAGGTTCCATCCCTGGTCAGGGAATTAAGGTCCCACATGCAGTGCAGTGCAGCCAAAAAATTCAAAAAGAAAGAAAAAAAGAAAATGGAGTGATATCCTGGAAAGCAAGGGAGCTGGTGTATTTCCGTTTACTGTGAGGGCAAAGGCCATCAATGCTCCTAGTGAGAGAGATGGGGAAGGAGGGGGCTGGAGGGGGGGGGGCGGAGGGGAGGGCAGGGGCTGGAGGGAGGGGGGAAGGGAGGGGGCTGGAGGAAGGGGGGGAGGGAGAGGGGGAAGGAGGGCGCTGGGTGGAGAGGTGGGAGCAGGAGGGGGCTGGAGGGAGAGGGGGAAGGAGGGCGCTGGATGGAGAGGTGGGAGCAGGAGGGCGCTGGAGACTGTCCTTCCTAGGACAGCGCCACTAACAGTAGTCAGTGTGTGGGCTTGGGGACACACCAGCTGTCCTCAGGGAGTTTGTTTTTTGATGCTATGATGACCTCCAAGGTGGGGGCAGGAAAGGACCCAGTCATGGCCGTGGTGCTCACCCCTGCCCGGTGCTCCTTGCCAACCTGCCAAGGAGCCGTGTGACCTGTGTATCACCAGCTGGTCCACTCCAGGCCTGATCCCTCCATGCAAGGTGTTAGGTTACAATGACTCTGCCCCACGTAGGCACCCTCCTGTGCCTGGCAGCCAAAGGCCCTGCAGATACCACCTCCCTCCCTCTCTCTGACCAGGGGGAGCGCGTCTGCCTGATCCGCAAGGTGAATGAGCACTGGTACGAGGGCCGCGTCTCGGGCACTGCACGCCAGGGCATCCTCCCCGCCAGCTATGTGCAGGTGACCCGGGAGCCCCGGGTCCGGCTCTGTGATGACGGCCTCCAGCTCCCTGCATCTCCTCCCCGCCTGCCCACCACCCGCCCGGCCCGTCACCCCAGTTCTCCCTTAACGCCGCACAGCCCAGCTGACCCCACTGACTGGGGAGGCCAGACCTCCCCCCGCCGCACTGGCTTCTCCTTCCCTCCCCAGGAGCCCAGACCTCAGAGCCAGGTAAGGCGACCTGCCTCAGACCCGAGAGTGAGCCCTGCTCTCCGTGCTGTATTCCCCATTCCTGGGAGGCTCTGCATTGTGGAATCACCCCCAACTGCTCAGGATAGTCTAGTGGGGTCTCTAGGTGGGACCCCAAGACCAGCACAGGCCTCCTGACTTTCCAGAGTCCACTCTTGGGATTTACCTGTATCAGCGTGTCTGCCATTCACCTGCTGTGTGACCTTGGGCAGATGACTTACCCTTTCTGGGTTTGGGTTTCCTCACTCGTAGAATGGGGATAGCGAGTCCCACTGCAGAGGGTGCCTGGTAGGAAGTAGCGATGGGCGATGATGGCTGTTGGTCGTCAGGCTGACACTGACCACAGGCAGGGGTGTGTGCTCCTATGTTCATCCCTCACTCAGCAAACTGTGACGGGCAGACGGAGGCCATGCACAGGACGCCTCCTGCTCCCGGCTCTGTGCACACATGCAGACCAGCCACCTCCCCTACCTGGGCCCAACTTCCCAGCACCTGTGAGGTCACACAGTCAGACAGGTCTTCCTGTGCAGTGGGACTGTGAGATGAGATGAGGCAGCGTGGGGCGCTGTTCCCGGGGAGGGGTCAGGCTGGTTCACGCCTCCTTCCTCGTGCTTGCATGTGCCTGCCTGCCTCCTATGGACCCAGAGTCTCAGCACCCCCGGCTCAGCTCTGTCCCATCCTGGAGGCTCCAGCCATCCCCAGGACCTGGGGACCTCGTCCTCCACCACCACCGAGATACACTGGACCCCGTAAGCACCATCTGGGACGCTTGGTCGGGGTGGGGGGCTACTCTGCAGGCAGTGCTGAGCACACACTAATTTACTCCTCCCTACCCAGGATGGAGTTGGGTAATTTCTACTAAGGAGTGCTTGTCCTTACAGTGCTTATGGGTGATTTTGGTGGGGTGTGTGTGGGGCAAGGGGTGCGGGAGTGGGAGGACACTTGTCTGCAGGGTTCCTGACCTGTCCTTGCCAGCTCTGGGCCTGAGAGCAAGCCTCCCACACTGGGCACTCCTCCCCTCCATCTCTCACTGGGTTTCCAGGGCTGAGGTCAGCGTGGGTGTGTGCGCAAAGTGGAGCACAGATTTGAAGGCATTGAGAGCTCAGGGGAGGTGGAGTGTGGGTGATTAGGGCTTGGAGAGCGGGGAGCAGGCCTGCAGATGGAGGCACTGAAGCCAGAAAGAATCGCCATGCCCAGAGCTGGGTCAGGGACTCACGGGAGCATGGAGGGACCTGGGAAATTCCAAGAATGTGTCCACCTTGGTTGGGAACTAGCCAGGCCTGGTCTGGGGAGGGGCTAGGGCCCTGGTGGTTGCTATGGCAATGTTTCCTGCAGGTACCGGGCGATGTACCAGTACAGACCCCAGAATGAGGACGAGCTGGAACTGCGGGAGGGGGACCGGGTGGACGTTATGCAGCAGTGTGACGACGGCTGGTTTGTGGGTAGGTGGGCCTGGCGGGCAGGCTGGGGGCAGGTGCATCTCAGAGTTCTAGGGGAATGGGCTGGGAGACAGGCCAGAAAGGGTATCTCAGGATCCTATGGGGATTTGAGTGGCCGCTCCTGCCTGCCAGGACTGGTTCAGCAAAGATTCACGGGCTGACCACCTCCCACCCTTCCAGCCCAGCACTGGCTGCTTTCCCAAAGCCAGCACTCTGTTGTTCTCATTCCCTGAAGAAGGGTGAGGCCTGGGAGGAAACCAGACTAGCTCAGGGTCATTGCTGAAGCCAGTGGGACTCAGGGCAGCAGGGTTCCTGGCCCCCAGGCCTCTGTTCCTTCCATCATACACCTGTGTCTGTGGAGCCATCCCTGGGTGGGAGGGTTGTGGGGGTGCCGGTCTCCTGAGACACTGAGCCCCTGATGGAGAGGACCAGGTCTCACACGTGTGTGTCCCCACCCCCACCACCCATAGCTAGAAGCCAGCTCTGTCACCCCCAAGAGAAGAGAGGGAAAAGATCCGAGCCCTCAAGGCTGGCCCAAGGGCAGCTCAGGCAAGGACTAAAGCAGGAAGTCTCAGGTTGGCCTTGGCCTGGTGCACGGTGACCACTCAGCATGCTTTTTTCCCAGAGTGAGCGGATGAGGTCCAGGCCGCGGCTTCAGAGGATGGGGTCATCCCTGGAGAGCAGTGAGCACCCAGAAGCTCTGGCTCAGCAGGCTCCAGGGCCTGGAGGGTTGCGGGGCTGCCTTGGGAGGAGTGACCCCAGGAGTGACAGCGTTCCTCTCTCCTCTGAATCCCAGCACCTCAGTGCTGACCACGCTTCCGACACACCAGTAACTGTGAAGCACCAGCTGATTAGCATGGGGCTTCCCAGGTGGTGCTAGTGGTAAAGAATGCGCCTGCCAATGCAGATGTAAGAGATGCAGGTTTGATCCCTGGGCTGGGAAGATACCCTGGAGGAGAGCATGGCAACCCGCTCTGCTATTTATGCCTGGAGAATCCCATGGACAGAGGAACCTGGCGGGGTACAGTCCATAGGGTCGCAAAGAGTCAGACACAACTGAAGGGACTTCATACATACACACAGACACAGCTTAACACACACACACACAGCTTAACACACACAGACACAGACACACACAGCTTAACACACACACACAGATACACACAGACACACACACACACATACAGACACACACATAGATACACAGATACACACACACAGACACACACATACAGATACAGACACACACATAGATACACAAATATACACACATATACAGACACACACACACACACATACATACAGACACATACAGATACACACACACAGACACACACACACACACACAGCTTGTTAGCAATCCTTTCCTTGGATGGGTGGGCTTGAGGGCACATTCTTTTCTTTTTTTCATTCAGAAGTTTTATTCTATGCAGTTAACTTTTTTGTATCTTCAAACTCAATTTGCTTTAAAAAATTAAGGTTTCTTATTCATCATAAAATCCATTCCCCTCCCCCAAGGAAACCAAATTCATGGAAGGAGTAATTTAGGTCTAAGGTGCTAGTTGCTCAGTTGTGTCCGACTCTTTGCAACCCCATGGACCGTAGCTTGCCAGGTTCCTCTCTGTCCATGGGATTTCCCAGGTAAGAATGCTGGAGTGGGTAACCATTCCCTCCTCCAGGGGATCTTCCCAACCCAGGGATCAAACCTGGGTCTCCTGCATTGCAGGCAGATTCTTCACCATCTGAGCCACCAGGGAAGCCCAGTCTTGAATTTTTTGGCTACACCACACGGCTTGTGGTATCTTAGTTCCCTGACCAGGAATAGAACATTCATTCTCTGCATTGGAAGCATGGAGTCTTAACCACTGGACTGGGGGCAGCTGAAATAGGTATTGTAGGTTTGTGACAAAGGCTTCCTAGCCCACCATGCTGCACATATATGGCAAAATGGCAGCACTTTGTGCGTGAGTGCAAAGTCGCTCAGTTGTGTCTGACTCTTTGCAACCATATGGACTATAGCCACCAGGCTCCTCTCTCCATGGGATTCTCCAGGCAAGAATACTGGAGTTTGTTGCCATGCCCTCCTCCAGGGGGTCTTCCCAACCCAAGGATTGAACCCACATCTCTATGTCTCCTGCGCTGGCAGTCGGGTCCTTTACTATTGGCACCACCTGATCAAGTTCACCTAATTGAAGTCTTGGGGACATATTCTAATTTTAATCTGTACACTTCTACTTCTGCATTTTTTTCTTTTTTTACAACTCCTAGTAAAGACAGGAGGAAAAAGCACCACTTTTGTGGAATAAGCCCCAAGGGCTTTTAGAGGGGAGGTTGAGAGCAGTTGTTTTCTCAGTTACACTGGCACATTTCAAGTGCTCATCAGCCACATGTGAGTGTCACTTTGGACAGTGCAGGTCAGGGAAGGCTTCCTGGAGGAAGTGAAGGAGGTGGGGGGAGGATTTGGGGAGGCAGAGAGGAGAAGGGAGGCCCTCTAGGCAGGGGAAGAGTATCAGTAAGGCCTAGGGGCAAGAGGGCCCTCAGCTGCTCACGGAAGGGGGTGGCTACCTGAGGGGAAGGGATGGTCCAGAACTTTAATTTAATTTTATTTTTCTGTAGCTCCTAGCATTTCTTCTCTTCTACCCCAGGACACAAATTTTGAGGGGTTGTAGTAGACAGAGGCCTGAATTTTGGTCCCGCTTCTACCTCTGAGCTGCTGAATGCTTTGGGGGAACTGACATGGTATTCTCATATACCTTACCTGCCCTGTCTCTAAAATTAGGGTGTCATACTAGACCAGTGAGATTCCTCCCTACTTAAGTTCTGTGATTCATTCTGCTTCCTTGCTTTCCCAAGGGGTTATTCAGGGCTGTGTGCAAAGTTATGCACAGTTGGTTGAATGCTCAGTTTCGCCCATCATTATCAACATCATAATGCATGGCTGGGCCCATCTATGCTTCTGCTTCTAGGGTGCAAGAGTGAGGAAAAGCAGAATCCTTCCCTGGGACCTGGATTCCACCTGCAGTCCTGAGTACTACCAGCAGAGGGCTCTCGCTCCCCCCCAGCTCACCCCATTCCTGTTTTTAAAAGTGGGGAATGTTCTTTCTGTCTTTCCTTTTTCAGGTGTCTCCAGGAGGACCCAGAAATTTGGGACATTCCCTGGAAATTATGTAGCCCCAGTGTGAGTGGTCTCCGTGGCAACTCAGAGCCCACCCAGGATGGGGTGGGGAACAGAGCACTTATGGGAGGGAGCGAGGACCCTCTTCACACACCCCTCCCCCAGGACCTGAGCTGCTGGCATCTGCAGACAAGCCCAGCAGTCTTTCCTACAGAACCTCCCTTGAAGCCCCCTGGACTGATTCCCACCCACGACTCACAAGCATTCCTCTAACAGCCCTTTTATTTCCTCCCCTTCCCCACTCCCCAAATATAGAGGTCTGCTTTGAAGTGGAGCCTGTTTCAGGCCTTATTGAGACCAGACCCCCAAGTCCTCCACCCTGCTACGGCGTTTCCTCTTAACAGGGGCCGGCTCCCAGCTTTACCCCCATGGGGTTCCTCTAACAAGAACCAGCTTCCTAACCTAATAGAGACCAAAGGCCGCCTGCGCCTGGAGGGCTTTCTCCCTTGTCACTGCAGCTTGCTTGCCATCCTCTCTGCCTCCCTGCCTCCAGCTGGGCCTGGGAGTGTGGTGGGGGATGGACATGGCTCTTCCTTAGCATTCGCTGCCTGGCAAGAGGTCTTGCCTGAATGCTCCCTCTGCCCAAAGGCTGCCAAACCCTGTGCCTGGGCCGTGCTTATCATTCCGGCTGCCTTGGTGCCCAGGAAGAGCGGGGCTTCCGAGGACTGGCCTGTCCCAGATGTATTCCAGGGAGACGGGTATGTGCTGTCCTTCTGCCAGCCCCGCAGCCCCCAAGTCCCCCCTGGAAGCAGAGAATGTAAAATAAATCTGGGTACCAGGGACCTTGCCTTCCTGTCCTTTTTCTTTGGGGAATGGAGAGGGCTCCTCCCTCTTACGGTTATGGGAATTCTTTCTGCCGTAGGCTGAGCTGGGAATCAAGTGGGATGTGAATGAGTGTGTGTGTCTGTGTGTGAAAGGGAAGACTGGAAAAGCCCCATCATTATCTCTAAAGATCTCCGGTCTCAGGCAGGATTGGGCAGCCTGGAGGATCTGGCAAGCCCTGCTGAGAGAACTAACATCACAGTGCCTGGGGCAAGGCCTGATGGTGGGGAGAAACCAGAGACGGGAGCTGAAGGTGGCCTGGTCTGCAGCAGTTTGATCCTGGCGCTGCCATGGGGTTGCTGAACTAGACGACGTTCTGTTTGCTCCTCATGTTTTCTTTCTCTGTTTGTTTACTTTCTTTTTTGGGCTTGGGTTTTTGAGCAATCGATGGCAGGAAGCTGGGAGTGGTGGAGCACAGCTAGCCAAGGCCACTCTTCTGGCCCAAGGACAAAGTCCTGGGGCCTGGCGGTGGCTGTGGGCGCACAGTCTGGGCCCGGCTGCTCTCATTAGGAAGGAAAGCTCCATTCCTTGGCCACTGCTGGGAGATGAGCCAAGTGTAAGGTGCTACCCACAGGTTGTTTGATGTAAGCATCCCAGCTGGCAGGTTATGGGTCCATTTTACAGCAGGAGAGACTGAGGCAGAGAATTAAATTGTCTGGGTCACATCATAATAAAATGCTGAAGTCAGGTCTGATGATTGTTGCTGCCTCTCTGCACAGCCTACCAAATGCCCAGGCAGTTCTTGTCCAGAGGCCCTGGAGAAGGAAGGTCATGCATGAGGTACCTGAGGCGGGTCTGGGCTGGGCCTCTCTCACATTCTTTCTGGCAATCATGTCATCTGGGCCTGTCACTTAGGGCACCCCCACCCAAGGTGGGTGGGAAGAGGTGATGGTTCCTAATTCTGTCAAGACAGGTGGGAGAGGTCTGTAAATGATGGGGCTGTGGCTGGTCCCTGGCAGGTTCCTTGAGCCTGGGTGTGGCCTGGGCTCCAGTGGTGGTTAAACAGCAGCCTGAAGAATGAGACGTGCTTTCAGTCCTCTGTCCACCACAGTCCTCACCATGGTCTGCTGCTAGGGTGGCAGACCCAGCCCATGCGGTGGAAGTGACCCTTCCCCATGAACCTGCTAGCCTGTTCGTGATCGCCCATCCCATCTCCTTTGAGTTGCCTGATGCCCTCAGAAAGGTAAAGATCTCAGGGCTTAGACTTCCTTTCCTTAAGGCAGATACCAAATCCACACCCTCTCCTTGGTGGGGCCCTGGAGCCTCTGCAGCAAATTAACCCTACTCCCTGCCTGTACATGATTCCTTCTCTGCCTTGACTTAGCACAAGGCGGGAGGGGTGACCTGGCCGAGGGGAGAGGCAGAGCCAGGAAGGACCTTAAGTCACTAGGGTGCTTATCCCAGTGAGGTGAGTGACTTGCCCAGAGGACCAGAGAGTTGCTAAGGGCAGAACAGTCCACCTTCTGTTCCATACGGACGTGCCCTAGGGTCGGCTGACTTTCTCTTCGTTGTGAGTTTCATGATTGTAAATCATGGAGCAGAAATCCTGCTGATGAACCTGCAGATCTCTTTAGAGTCTATCCAAGGCAAAATCTGAGCCGAAAGACGTGCAAAATTGAGTCCTTGTTACAAACTGGCAGGATGGGAGCGGGCGGCAAGGAGAGGGAAATTAATCCATCTGATCATTCAAATAATATCCCTTTTATAAAGTTTCTTGGAGCACCTGCTGAGGGGGCCAGGCAGTGTGCTAGACTCCAGGAATGGAGCAACAAGGTAAACAAAACCCACCCAGCCCTCCAAGGAACAGGCAACTTTATGAGGAGGGGAGTGTGTACAACAGGAGGGTAGTCTGTATCACCCCAGTTGATGCAGAGGAAACAGGCTGGGAGGGGCTGAGGAAATTGCTCGAGGTCACAGAGCTAGGTAGAGCAGATCTGGCATTTGCGGTTAGGTCTGTGGGTGAGCCCGGCCCCAGGCAGTACCTGTCCTACCCGCAGCTTCCAGCTCCCTCAGGGGCTTCAGTCTAGTTGGGAGGCAGGACATATACATCACGCAGAGATGCATCGCTGGGAGGCCCAGGACTTGTTACTGTGAGAGTGGCTTACACAGACCCAGACAGAGCTGTGGGAGGCCGGGATGGGCAGGCAGCTGCACTAGAGGCAGGATGACCCAGGGAGGGCATAGGTAGGTGGGAGGGGAAGTGAGGGCACACCTTGCAGAGGGACCTCAGAGGGAATGACTCACACTTGACACAGGCAAGTTACAGCTGTGCCTACAGTGTGCTGTGCTGGAAACAGGCGAGCCTGATGGTGTTAGTCTCAACTGTGTCGGACTCTGCAACCCCATGGATGGTAGCCCCCCCAGGGCTCTCTGTCCGTGGGATTCTCCAGGCAAGAATACTGAAGTGAGTAGCCTTTCCCTTTTCTGGGGGATCTTCCAGATCCAGGGATCGAACCAGGGTCTCCTGCATTGCAGGCAGATTCTTTACCGCCAAGCCCCCAGAGTAAAGTGGAGACCTGCGGGAGATGGGAAAGCGGGCTCTGGAGGGCCCTGAGGTTTCCCAGGGTGAGGACCTGGTTTGGCTCCACAGGGAACCGTTCACTGGATGGTTCTGAGCTGATGACACCTGGGCTGTCCTCCTTGGCTGTCTTCTCCTGATCCCTAGAGCCAGGGACCCAGGTGGCTGGCAGAGGGCTGGGGGCACAGGGGACCATGGGCCAGTAGTGGTTGTTGGGAGTGGCAGGCCCCGGGTAGGGGCGACCCAGAGGGTGAGAGGAAGGCAGTCAGGAATGGAACGGGCATCAGCGCACAAGATTGAAGGATATGTGTAGTCCCGGAGGGGGGTCGATCACCTCCAGCTGGAGGCCCTCTTCATCTCTTACTGGGCCTGGAGCGTTGCCCTGAGTGGCACAGGCCGGCGGTGCATCTCAGGCCGAGAAGCTCTGCGCAGCCAAAGCACCGCAGCAGTCGGTGGTCACCAGCCCGCCAGCACGCTGGCCGGGCAAGGAGGCGGAGGCGCGGCCCCCCGCGTTGGGATTTGAAGGTGTCAGGGCTGCATCTGCGCCAGCGTCTGAGCCTGGAGTGGGTGGAGGAGCCGGGCAGGCGGACCGCAGACACCCAGACGGCCCTCCCCGACCCAGTCCCCGCCCCGGTCCCTTGGAAGGAGGGCGAGTTTCGGGGGTCAGCAGCCTCAGCTGTCTGCGAGGTGGGGCTCCGGGCCGTCACCAGAACGCCTCCCCTGTCCCCGGGAGGTTGGGGCTACACCAGAGAGGACGGCTGCAGCCTCTAGGGGGCTCTCGGGAGAGTAGCCCCGGGCCCCCAGCGGGCGCGGGCCAGGTGGCAGCGCCCGGGCCGGGCTGCGCGGAGGAGGCGGCCTCCCCGGCCAGGGGCGGCGGCTGGGGCGGCGGCAGGGGCGGCCCTGGGATCACATGGGTGGAGGCAGGTCCCGGAGTCCCGGGCGGGCTCTCCCCAGAGTCAGGCAGACGGCGGCGGCGGCGGCGGCTTCTCTTCGCCTCCCTTCTTCCCTTCCCTTCGCTCTCGGGCCTTTCCGCCCAGCCCGACAGGTGAGCGGGAGCCAGGTGAGCGCGCCCACCTGTGCTCCGGGCGCATGGCCGGCGTCCTCCCCGGCCCCGGCGCCTTGGCTGTTCTGTGCGCCCGCGGCTCCCTGGGCGCCCGAACCTCTCCTCTGCGCACGGCCGCTCCCCGCAGCCTCGCCTGCTATCGGTTCCCCGCCTGGAGCTGGGCTTTCCCCTCCCGGGCGCTCCTACTTCAGCCCCCAGGCGCACCGGTACTTTGGTCTCAGAGCTTAGAAGGCGCCTGAACTGGGCGAGCCGGGCCGACGGGCTGGGCACTTCTTCGCTGCCCCCGGCGGGGAGTCCACTGACCAGCTCAAAGGTCTGGGAATCCAAGGCATTTGCGAGCCGCCAGCGCCGACCTGGGGCCTGCGGGAGGGACAGAGAGGTTGGGGCCGGGCAAAAGGGGAAGCCGAAGGGTGGAGAAGTGGGCAGACAACCTCGCTGGCCCGGGCACCCTTTCCCCAGTCTCCTAAACGCAGGAAGTGGTCCCAGCGTGCTTGATAGACTTGGGCAGCACTTGTAGTCCGTGGGCCTCCCCACGGGCAGCCCCAGGGTGGCTGCTGGGTAGGGTGGTGGCCCAGCCTGGCATTACAGCTTCCTGCCTGGCTTGGCTCCTGACTCCAGAACGAGAGGGTCAGGAAATCCTACAAGGGCCTGGTCTACAGGGACACTCCCTTGCCCAGTGGAGGGGCCCTGGATGGGAGTCCCGTGGCTCCAGCTCGGCGGCAGCATCCGTCAGCTCGCCCTGCTGGTCAGCGCCCTGGGGTGGGTGTGCCCAGCTTGGCAGATGAGCCTGTCCTTCTTGCAAGAGCAAGAAGGGAGGGCAGCAGGCCACTGGGAGAGGTGGGAAGCCTTGTCTTGCCGCTCGAACCACATTCCCAGGGGCACAGTAGGCAGCTGGGAGGCCCCCTCCGAGAACCCCAGCCACCCGCGCCCCCTGCCAGCTACTTGAAAGCCTGCGGAGGTGCCACCCCTTTCTGTTCCCTGAGTGTTGTCCTCCCCCAGAGCGGGGAGGAAGTACCTTGTGCAGTCGGGTTTGGGGACCGGAAGCCAGCACTAGGGGCACTTAGCGTTGAGAGTGGAGGAGGGGACAGGAAGTGCTGACCTCCACCACCTGCCAGCCCTGCCTGCCCGCCTGCTCTCAGCAAGCCCCGGTGTCTAGCACCCCAACAGCCTGCCTCCAGGGAGCCGCTCTGCTGAAGACGGACGCTAAGGGGGAACTCAGAGTCCCCACTTGCCGGGTGGGGGGAAGGGGAACTGAGGCCTTGGCAGAGGTTAGTCACTTCCTCTACCCCCTCCCCCCGCCCCAGCCCCTAACTGGCTGCTCCGGGGACGTGTCACACACACCCCGCCTCCACTTCACAGCATCCCCCTGGGGAGCTGAGGGGCCGGCTCCTTCTCCCCATCCTTTCTGCCTCAGGTATGGCACTGACAGTGGATGTGGTGGGGCCGGCGCCCTGGGGCTTCCGAATCTCTGGGGGCAGGGACTTCCACACGCCTATCGTGGTGACCAAGGTAAGTGCTGGTCCAGGAGATGGGGAGGTACCCCCAAGGTCAGGGTTTCCTCCCTGTCTGTCCAGTCCTCACAGACACCTTTCTCTTGTTTTTGTTCTGGAGTCAAGGCCTGTTCCTGAGATTGTTGGCCAGGGCAGAGCTGGGGCCAGGTTGCCACGATGATGTGGTGGCCACTTCTAGGGAGTGAAAGGGAGCTGGGCCAAGTGCAGGGCCTACTCTTTCTCCTTGGTCACCGACCCCATACCTACTGGCAGCCACTTTGGTAGGTAGTAGGAGAGGCGCCCTGAGCTCTTGGCGATTCTCCCCTGACCCAGCCAGGAAGTGTTCATGCAGAAGGCCTGGGCAGGCAGCACCTGCGTGATTTGGTTTGCACAAGCAGGGCTCTTTTCAAGCACGGTTACTGAAATTCTGCCATTGCATATTCTTTGGGAGGCCCAGTTAGAATCCCAGTGCTGGGCTCAGGAATGGGGGGACTGCTACTCCAGCTTCTGGACCCCTCCAGGAGGGGATAAGCTGATTAAGTGAGTGGACACTGGTGGGCAGGGAGAGTGATGTTAAAGAGAGATATGCAGGCCAGCCTGGTGCAGGTCAGCTTCTGTGTTTCTTGGGCTGGACAAGGACATTTCCTTTCCTCATTCCCACCTGAGTGTCACCTGAGACGACTTGATCCTCATCCCCTCCAGGTAACTGAGCGGGGCAAGGCCGAGGCTGCTGACCTCCGGCCTGGAGACATTATTGTGTCCATCAATGGTGAGACTGCAAAGGACATGCTTCACGCTGAGGCCCAGAGCAAGATTCGCCAGAGCCCCTCACCCCTGAGGCTGCAGCTGGACCGGTAGGCCCTCCATCCACCTCCCCTGGGCCTACTAGTATCGCTCTGCCTTCTGGCAGCCCGCTGCACAGTGACTGCCCTTACCCCCTACCCTCGGCTCCAGTCTGGCCTCCCTGGGCCGCTATGGATCATCCACGGGAAGGTCTGGGACTCTGGGGCTGCAGCAGGATAGCTGAGGGGTGTCCCTGTGTCCAACTGGGTGTACAGTCAGAGGTTGGGCAGGCTGGCATCAGCCACCTGGATGCCCGGGTTTGACTGGTTCTCAGCATGTGGGGTACAGGGCGTGGGCATGAAGTGGGTTGAAGAGGAGGAAGGTGTGCCTGAGGCTGGGTCCCCAGGGTCCCTGCCTCCAAGAGCCTCTGTTCTGATCTTGGGATGGTGAGGAGTTTGGGGTCTCCCTCTCCATAGAAGCCCCCTGTGGCTCCCCATTTCCTCTCTGGACCCTGTTGGGGAAGGCAGATTCCCAGGCTCCTGGGCCTTCAGCCTGGAACCCTGGGCTGGGTTGGGGGGTGGACAGGTGGCTTCCTGGGGTGGAGCATCCCGGTGAGTCAGAGGGCAGGAATGCTGGGAGATCCCCCTGCCAGGAGAGCCCTGTGGGCGGGTCTTGAGCCTGAGTCAGGTACCTCCTGTACCTGTGCCAACGCCTCCACCACCAGCTTCCCTGGGGGCCGGGGCTCCATGCCCTCTCCCCGCCCCTCCAGTGCTGTGGATGCTGGCTCCCGGGACCTCTCATGACCCCAGCCCCTTCAGTGCCTACGTCGTGCCACTTCTGAGTGTTTACAGGAGTGGGGCCTGGAGGAGGAGGATAGAGAATGGGTCATGGCATCTGGGAGGGGACCACAATCCACAAGAAGCTGCAGAGTGGGGTGGGGGAGGGGTGGGGAGCTGCTGACACCATCACTTCCTCTAGCATCCTTCTTGGGTGGGACCAGCCCCATCAGAGAGGTGATACCCCCAGGCGTCCTCCAGCTCCACTTGGGGGCAGGTCCAGACTCCCTGCCTCTTCTTTCTTTTGCTCAAACCCCTCCTAACCTCTCCTAACACCCCAGCCCCAGGAGACCTCTCAGGCACTCAGAAGCCCCAGGCAGGAAGTGGTGCTCTGGGCGGGGCCAGAGCCCAGGCTCCCCTCACTCAGGCCCTAAACTCTCCCCCGGGAAAGAGCCAAGGCTGTGGCTGGCATGGAGTGCGGGGACTGAGGTTCCTACTGACCTCGCTGGAAGTGGTCAGACCTCCAGGACTGGTGTAGTGGGACATGGTGGGCCCATCCTTCACCCTCAGCAGCTCCCAGCCCTCCAGTCCCCTGCTGTTCAAGGCTCCAGACAGATTCCCCTGGAGGGGAGTCCCTGGGGAGCTGAGGCTGGGGGTTCGGGGTGCCTTGGTAATTGGCAGGGGAGCTGGGCTGTCTTGTTCTTTAGGTCCTTCAGCTCCCTGCCTGGCAGGAAGCGGGGCTGGCTCCACCCTCTGTTTTATGGGGGGAAGCCTGCAGAAGGGGTAGAGAAGTGATCCATTCAAAGTCTGAGCTGGCCGGGGACAGGCCTCTGGAGAAAAGGGGGCAGTGGGCCCAGCCATTGCTGGCCTTTAGGAATTTTGGCAACTCTCTCTCTCTGGTCTTAAGTTTCTCCAGGGGTGAAAGATAAAGGATTATTTATATATAGTCAGCTGTCCCCTGCCAAACTGATCTACAAACTGATGCTGACCAGTGACACAGTTTGGGTGAAATGTTCCCCCACCACCAAAAAAAGAAAAGGAAAGACAAAGGCAAGGCAGAGGGAGGGGTGATATTGTGAGGAGTTTTTTTAAAAATTTGAATTTATTGAACCTTTTGCTGAAACGATGTCCTTTCTACTTTATAGTGCTGAATTGTCCTTTGTTGTAAGAAGTGATGGTGGTCGTTGATGATAGTTACTTGTGAATTTGGTAAAGTTGAGATTTAGCTACCCGATGTCTGAATGTTCTGTACATTTTCCTAATCTTGAGATTAAGGAGAGTGTGGGGACAGCTGGAATCCACAGCCCCTACCAGCTTAGTGGAGGTGCCAGGACCCCGGTGACACTCACCTCCCTCTGTCTTCTCTTCAGGCCCCAGGCTGCCTCTCCCGGGCAGACCAACGGGGAAAGCTCCCCAGAAGTGCTGGCCACTCGCTTCCAGGTAGGACGATGCCTCCTCCTGGGAGCCCCACACCCTTAAGTGATGGGGGCCCCTCCCTTGCTCCTCTCGGCCCTGCTCTTCCAGGCCTCTCTCTCCATAGAGCTCCAGGAGGACACACACTGACAGCCAGGCCTCCCTCATCCCCCAGCCATGCAGCCCCTTCTTCAGCCTGCCCCCGGCCAGCCCCCAGGCACCTGCTGGAGAGGTGGTGACCAGCCACAGGTGAGCGCAGCGGGCGGGCACCACATCCACAGAGTCTCCGAAGCTGAGTTTAGGGGGCCCTGGGGGTCACCTCTGTTTCCTTAGGGCAGCCTGGTGGAGAGGACCCAGGCACCCACTCTCCATTTCCCCATTTCAGTTTCCAGAGCCTGGCGTACTCCCTGGAACCTGCTTCTGCTGACCACTTGTACTATGGGGGCTGCCCTGGAAGCCGACAGGTGAGGATACCTGGTTGGTTGGTAGTGGTGCCTGTAAGGCCACAGGTGGCTGGCCCCACCTGGGCAGTCAGCACTGTGGTCTCCTAACAATGGGTGGGTTCCTCTCCGGAGCTAGGAGGCCAGCGCTCTGGTGAGGGTGACAGTCCTTGTGCTGACTAGACCCAGGTGGCCTTCTACATCTTACATTCCTACTCGCTGCCACCTCCTCCTTGCTGATGGCTTCCTCCCTTCTCCAGTGTTTCTCTTGGGCTGGGACCGAAATAGTTTTGCTGCTGTTGTTGGGATGATTCCCTTTGGCTCTGGCTGCATCTCCTGAACACATTCCTCCCTATTCCAAGCCCCATGCCCGCCCCCAACTCCCATCCCCCATCCCCCCTCTTCCTCCTCTGACTCAGCCCCCAAGAACCACCAGAGAACCACCAGTCGGACTGTGATTCCGACTCAAGTTGCATTTGGCTTATTCTCTGTTTTCTACCCCCTCCCCAGCCCTTTACTCCTGGTCCCACTGTCTGACAGACAGGACCCCCCAGGTCCCACTGTCTACTAGTGACAGCCCACCCCCGCCCCTTGGTGGTATTTCTCCTCTCCAGGGGCAGGGGGTGGGGAGGTGAGGATTGAGGCGGCCAAGAGTCCTGGCCACAGCTGCTGGGGGCAGAGTTTGTGGGGGCAGGTCCAGCCTTTGGGGTGAAGGGGATGAGGCCCAGCTGCTGGGATCCTACCTCGAGTTGATTCTGCATTCCAGAAAGCAGAGCCTTTGGAGATGGCTGGGGGAGGGTGCTAGAAACTGGGGGCTCTGGAGAAGGACAGAACAGGGTCTTTTGGAGGCTTTGTAATAGGGGCTCCCTGGTAAACCACTGTGGGGCCTGCCCAGTGGCCTTCCACTCAACGTGGGCATAGAGATGTATATATTCAATGAGACACAATCTTTAAGGAATTTCAAACGTAATTTAGAGATAAGAGAGACATGCAAAGCAACTTTGGAACAATTAAGCACAGAACAGTATGGTCTTAATTATAAAACCAGGAGGCACTCTGGGAGGGGACAGCTGAGTGTGGGCTGGGGTGGCCTGAGAAGGCTTTGTCAGGAATTTTGCTGGATGTCAGAGGTAGATTTCGGATTAGAGATGATGAGCTGGGGAGATGGGAACGCAGCTGTAGGAGCGAGACCTGGCATGTCTGGGCCTGGGGGCCTTCTCCACAGAGATACGGGCTGAGACCAGCTAGGGATGAGCTTGGTCCACCCTGGCCTCCTTCCTCCCGGTGTCTGCAACCAGGGCAAAGGGGAGAGGCAGATGAGACGGGGGGCAGCGTTCAAAGCGGCGGCAGCAGCACCTTGGAACTTGTTAGAAATGCAGATTCTCAAGCCACAGTCTCACCCCTGGATCAGACAGGGGTGAGGGCCTGGGTGGGCTGGGGCCACCCACCTGAGCCCTCAGGAGTCCTCAGGGATCTGATGCACACACGGCTTTGAGGACCACCCGTGTGGCGTGAAGAGGAGCCCTGGGCGGGGTGGCAGGGAGGCCTGGGTTAGTCTCATCTCTGCTGTGTCACTTTGGACAAGGCCCCCTTCCTCCACTCTCTGGGCCTCAGAGTTGGGCCTGAGGCTCTGAATTCCCTTCTTTGATCCTGAGGACTCTTGTCATTCCTTCGACAAATATTTGTGGAGCAGCTGATATGGTCAGGCACCCTTCTAGGCTCTAGGGATACATTGGTGGAAAAGCAGAAATTCCTAACCCCATGAAACTTGCATTCTGGTCTACGAAAATGAGGCTGCGGTCAGACGGGGTGGAGTCACCAGACACATAGCTCCCTCTTGGGAATCACCCATGCACTTAAGCACCTTAAAAACTCTGAAAAGTCCTGTGAGAAAGATGCTTAATTTTATTAATTTGCTAAACTTGTTTAACTGCAGAATTTCTCCTGGGGTTCCCCATTATCCACCCCCCCACCCCCACCCCACCACTCAGTTATTAACATCTTCTGCAACACATTTTGAGAAGGATTGGCTAGTGACAGGTCTTGATGAGCAGATAAACAGCTTTGGAGATGAAAGGTTGGTTTGGTAAAGGCAAGTGTCACCTATAGGTGCCTCGGCGGGGAGGAGGGAGAGAGGGAAGGGAGGGGAAAGGGGAAGCTGCTTCAAGTTAGGGAGTTGGCCTTCTTAGGCTTGCCAGGGCTCAGCCATAAAAGTACTGGCCTGCAACGCAGGAGACACAGGAGACGTGGATTTGATCCCCGGGTCAGGAAGATCCCCTGGAGAAGGAAATGGCAACCCACTCCAGTATTCTTGCCTGGGAAATCCCATGGACAGAGGAGCCTGGTGGGCTGCAGCCCATGGGGTCAGAAGAGTTGGACACGACTTAGTGACTAAACCACCACCACCTTGGGGATGAGGTGGTCTGGCAGGTAGAAGGGGGCAGAAGTGACTATAGATGAGGTGCCGCTGCCCCAGGCTGCAGTGGTCATGGCCTTGCCTCTGGCTCCTGAGCTGGCTGAGGCATCACGGGGCTCAGGAAGTAGGACATTACCAGTCCTTATGGTGCCCTTTGGAAACCAGAAGTTGCCCCGTTCTCAACAGGCACACTCTTGGGTGACCAGATATGAAGTAAAAACAGCCCCTGTCTCACTGGCCGGGATGAGGACATGGTCCAAGAAGGGACCCAGGGTGGATTCCAGCTCCCCCTCCATGCTGGCCGGTGCCCCCATACAGGGCACACGCTGGCCTGTCTGGGACAGCAAGATGAGCGTTGTTCCTGAGTACCTGGTGCTGGCTGTCCTTCCTAAGGGAACGGTCTCACCGTCTGTCAGTTGACTGCATGGCACCAGCCGGACAGGGAGCCCAGCAAGGAGTCCTTGCCCATCCTCCCATTCCCTGAGTGACTTGGACCAGCCAGTTTCCTTTCTGACCCTTAATCTCCTTACTGTAGAAGCTGAGGAACAGAAGAATGTAGGCTGGTGCAGGGGGTCTGGTGCAGTGAGAGTTTAGGGCTGTTTTTTTTTTTTTTTTTAAGACTCTGAAGTTTCTGTTTTCAGCTTAAGAAGTCATGCAGTTTTTCCACTTGACACCATACTTCAGCCCCAACTTTTAAAAATAAAGTATTTAATTTGGCCGCACTGGGTCTTAGTTGCGGCACTCAGGAACTTCTATCTTTGTTGCAGCATGCGAACTCTTAGTTGTGGCATGTGGGATCTAGTTCCCTGACTAGGGATCAAACCTGGGCCCCTTGTTTTGGAAGCTTGGAGTCTTAGACACTGGAACACCAGGGAAGTCCCACCCCTGACTTTGAATTTTAAAGTCGCAAGTGTTTGGCTTTCCGGGAAACTGTGCCCTCAGCCTGGCCTTGGCAAGCCTAATTGTCTCTAAGGCTCTCCTCTCCTTTGGGGATGGCTCCAGAGAGAGTGCAAGGTGCAGGCCAGAAACAGAGCAACGGGGAGGCTGCAGGCAGATTTCCAGGTAGAGGGCAGGTGTGAGAGGCCCAGAGGGCAGGCACACACACTGCGCAGGGGACGCTGCTGAGAGCCCCAAACAGGCCTGGCTCCTCAAGGCTCCATGGGGCAGGGCCAGACTTCCCAGGGCAGCCGGGAGAGGCTGGTGAGCCCAGACCCTGACGTTATCAGAGAAGAGATCTCCCCCAGTGTGTGGGGGAGATGGGACTTTTGTGTGGCTCCAACTCTGACACCAAGAAGGGTCTTGGCCCTTTATGTTTCTTTTCCCTCACTGCAAAAGGGTCAGCTTACTTTCTCCCTGCTTGTCTGCCTGCCCCTGCGCCAGTGCGCAACATCTTTGCAAACACAATGCGTGAGACGGCAGAGGAGCCGGCACGCTGGCCGCATGTGCTCATCTTCATTCTGGCCCATGCCTGCTCCCCTTGGGGCGGCAGCTGGGTGCTGGCCTCCCTCCCGTCTCCCGCCCAGTAGGGGCAGCCTGCTGGGCAGCGAGGGCTGGGGGCCCCCTGGTGTTGGCCTGGGGAACAGCGGAGCGTGGCCGCTCGGATGGGTGTGCTGGCCCAGGGCCCACTGCTGACTCCTCCCTGGTGCCTGTCCTTCCCACAGGCCGGCCTCAGCCCTGCTGGCGACTCGGCGGTGCTGGTACTGCCGCCACCGCCCTCCCCAGGTCGCCGTTCCTCCAGCCCCAGGCTCAGGTACCAGGGGTCTTCAGGGAGGGCTGGGATCTGGGAGGGTCTGGGAGTGGCAGGAGACTGTCAGGCTTCCCGGAGAAGGGTGGGGGGGTCCCAGCTCTCTAAGCCCAGTTGGCTTCCCTTTGACCCCCAGAATCCTTTATCCTGCCCGGGGACACTCTTTCTTTGCCCTTCTGCTCCTCCTGACCCCCAGGCACGGGCCCCTCACTCCTGCTGGTTCCCTCCATCCCCGCAGTGCGGCCTCAGAAGGGGAAAGCCACGTCCTCAGAGAGGACTCAGAAGTCTTCAAGATGCTGCAGGAGAACCGCGAGGCACGCGTGGCCCCCCGGCAGTCCAGCTCCTTCCGGCTCCTGCAGGAAGCCCTAGAAGCTGAGGAGAGAGGTGAGCCCCTGGGGGCTGGGGCAGGAGAAGGACATTCCCCCAGGACACGCCGAACGGCCGACCAGATGTGTTAATAAGTTAGCATTTAAATCAGTATTTTTTAAGGCTCTGACTTATAGAAGCCACCGTCCCTGAACTTTGGGAGCCTCTAGTCTGGTAGGGGTTACTGGGGTGCACCCAAAGGTGCTAGCTAGGTTCAAGGAAGTGCCCAGGGAACCATAAACGTAGGTGGTGGGCCCTGGGTCTCCAAGGAGGACTTCATGGAGGAAGAAGGGTTTGACTTGGCCCTTGAAGAAAGATAAAGTCTTTCACAAACAGCCTTAAGATGGTGGCCGGGAGCCGTGTGGAATGTGGAGGTGTGAGCCAGAGGGTTTTCGGGTGGGACCGAGAGGACTCTGGCTGCATGGAGGGGGGCTGTGGAGGCTAAGTCCTGGATGTGAAGCCTTGCATCCAGGCTGAGGAGTGTCCCAACCCAGGAGGGCGGGGTTAAATAGTGCCAGACGATAATGAGGGGCCGAAGGAGGCAACAGAGGCATGGGCTCCTGCCAGCGGGTCAGTTGTTAATTCATCAGACGTTTACTGACTCATCCAGTGGACCAGCCCTGAGCTATGTGGCGACTGAAGGTGGTCAGGACCCACCTCTACTCCTGAGGAACTCTGTGCAGACTGGCTGCTCAGCATTCTGGGGAGTGGATGTGTGTGTGTGTGTCTGTGTGTGATGGGGGGGCGGGGCACTGCCTCCTTCCAGGGGAGAGATGAGGAGGGCCTGGCCTCAGCAGTGGTATCAGGGGGACAAATGATGGGACTGTCAGAAGTATTTGATCGGCAGAATCACTGGTGCCTGGTGAGAGGAAATGTTAGTCACTCTGTCGTGTTTGACTCTTTGCGACCCCATGAACTGTAGCCCGCCAGGTTCCTCTGTCCATTGGATTGTCCAGGCAGGAATACTGGAGGGGTACCTGGTAACTGGTTCCAAGTCTGATGTTTTGCTCCTGGAGGTGTTCACAGAGGGAAAGGAGACAGGGTAAGAAGGTTTGCAGCAAAGCGCATCCATGACCACCCCAAGGCCTCAGCACGCCCTGGGCACAGCGAGAGACAGGGTGGAGAGGTGCGGTCAGTGCAGACAGATGGCGACTTCAGCCCTGAACTCTTGGCCTCCTCAGCCGTACGCAGGGGCCATACCTGCCAGGGAACATCTGTGCTTCATCTTCACGTTGTTCCAAGGCTCAGACACCATAATGCACATGCGAGCCCTTTGAAAACTGCATTGAGGTGGCATGGTGTGTGTTATTATCGGTTATTACCATGTCTCTTAATGTCATCATGGCTGGATCAGCAGAGAGGAACCGCCTGCTTGGTCTGATGTGTCAGATGCTGAGCTCTAACCCTTAGCTTGGGTAGCTCAGCCTTGAACCTGCTCCCTGCCCTTGACCAGCCTCAGCCAAGGGTCTGGCCTGATCATCTCCTTCCTCCATGACCCCCGCTCATACCCAGGGTTACAGTGAGGTCCACTTGTGCCTTTGACAACGAGTCTCTTTGGAGCTAGTACTGGTGGAGGTGGAGTGAGCATCAAAAATAGAGCCTGGGGACTTCCCTGGTGGTCCTGTGGTTAAGACTGCCTTTCCATGCAGGAGGTCATGTGTTCGGTCCCTGGTCCCACATGCCTTGTGGCCAAAAAAAGAGAAAAAAAAAGAAATACAGCCTGCTGCTGCTGCTGTGGACAAGCTCTGATGTGTCTGTCTGTCCTCCCCCCGTCCAGGTGGAACACCTGCCTACCTGCCTAGCTCGCTGAGTCCGCAGTCCTCCCTGCCCACCTCCAGGGCTCTGGCCACCCCACCCAAGCTCCACACGTGTGAGAAGTGCAACACCAGCATCGCGTTAGTGTTGGCGGCCTGGGGGGCAGGGCACACCCTGTGGATGGGGAGGGCAGGGCCCAGATGCTCTGCGTGAACCCACTGGCCAGAGGCCCTGGGGGCAGCGCTGCCACCGGGACTTGTGATGGCTCAGGGTCGTCTCAGCCTTCTTGGGTGCGCGCACTGGCTGTTTCCTGCTGTCTCTCCTCTGGCTCCATTGCTTTCCCTGCCTCCCTGGAGGAGAAAGAAATGCTACTGGTTTTGATTTCTCTCCAATCATCATCTCGCTGCCTCTGGAGATCTGCTCCGCCTCCTCCTGGAAAATCTTGCTCTTGCTCTCTCCTTCCCGCTCTTAGGCTGCCTTTTCCAGAGGTAGGTGCATTTTTTCTCAGTGGGTGGTGTGATAATGTAGCCCAGAGAAAACATTCTCTGGAAAATTGAACCTTGGCCATCCCACCTTCCTGGTAAATTCTTCCATGCTCAGCGTTGACGGTCAGATCATTCTAGGCAAGTCCCTGGCCTCCATGTTTCATCTGCAGAATAGAAGACTGCCCACCCCTGCTGTGCATGCCCAAGGAAGGGGGTCCTATGCCTTGGTTCTCAAAGAACTGCCGCTGGACCCCTGCGGGATTTCATCCAGCACCCCTAGAATTTCCCCTTCAGGAGGTCCCCAGCCCCAGGATCTACATCTCCAATTCATCCCCTGGTGACACGATGCTGTGGGTCTTGGCACCTGGGACGGCACTTGGAGAATCACTATTCTGTTGAGAATCCCGAAGATTCAGGATGGTGCTTGTCTGCCTTTGTGTGGGGGAGGAATGACTTTAAAATTGGCGTCCTGTGGGTGTGGGCTGGGGTTTCCTTGAGGGCAGGCTTGAGGAGTCAAGTGTTTGAGATTTTGGGACCTTCCGGGGAAGCAGGCTCCCTGAGAATGGGAATGGTGGCATCGTGCCGGGCACTCCTGTCCCTCCCTCCTGCCCTTCAGGCTAATGGCTGTCCCCTCCCTGTCCCCGCAGGAACCAGGCCGTCCGCATCCAAGAGGGGCGGTACCGCCATGCTGGCTGCTACACCTGTGCTGACTGCGGGCTGAACCTGAAGATGCGAGGGCACTTCTGGGTGGGGGACGAGCTGTACTGCGAGAAGCATGCCCGCCAGCGCTACTCTGCGCCCCCCACCCTCAATCCCCAGGCCTGAGCTCTCAGCCCACCCTCTGCTCTGTGGGCACCTCCATGCCAGACCCGTGCCCATAGCACGTTGGCCTGGAAAGGCGATGGGGGGCGGGGTGAAGCCAGAGGCTGGGACCTGCCTGTGCTGCAGGTGAGGGCAGTCCACCTTCCCAGGCCTCTGTTGGATACTGTTGCATCCTCTTGATGGACAGGCTCTGCATCAAAGCCCGAAGTGGGTGCTGCATTGGACATCTTTGTGCACTGGGGATTAAGCAGGTTGGGACATGGATATAAGTGTCTAGAAGGAGAGAGATGGGCCAAAGGCTACAGGTATTCACTGTGTAAAGTTTTCAACATATGAGCACTAAAAATATATACTGTACGAGAACAAAATAAAGTAGGTGCTCCTCTCTTTTCTCCTTCCCTGCCCCACCCCCTGGAATGAGCTACCCCTAATCCTAGGTGGACAGTCTCTCTTTTTTTAATTTAAATTTTTTAAAAAAAAAATTTTGCACTGGGTCTTCACTGCAATGTGTGGGCTTTCTTGATTTGCATTGTGAGGGCTTTTCTTATGACGCACAGGCTCTACAGCATGCAGGCTCAGTAGTTGTGTGCTAGCTTAGAAACCCTGTGGCATGTGGGATCTTAGTTCCCTGACCAGGGATCAAACCCACATACCCTGTGCTGGAAGGCAGATTCTTAACCACCTCACCCCTAGGGGCATCCCTGGAGAGTATTCATATATAAGAATTTTTTGCCCTCTTATTTCCCCCCCTCCCTCAAACCCCACTCCTGCCAGATGCTTCGCCATGTGCCACTCCCTACTGAAGAGACTGGCTCCTTTGAGTGGATGGTCATGCTCTCCCTGGACCATTTTGTAAAGATGCCTGTTTTATTGGGATGACCCCTGGTAGAGGAATGAGTGTCTCACTGGGAGCCCAGAGAGGGGTGAGGGTGACAGAGTGCTGGCAGCAAACAGGAGGCGGGCCCTGAAACCGCTTCTGCCCAGGCCCGTCTCAGTAAGACAGCATCTTCCTCTGCCAGCCTTGCTTGGGCTGGCGCTCTGCCCTGCGCTCTGCTTGGTATGGATGCTGCCAGCCCTGCTGACTTACCCAGAGGAGCTGGGGAGGCAAGTGAGGAGACAACATCTAAAGCTGTGGTCCCCAACCTTTTTGGTGCCATGGATTGATTTTGTGGAAGAAAAGTTTTCCACGGACTGGGGTGGAGAGGGCAATGGTTTCGGGATGATTCAAGCATTTTTCATTTACTGTGCACTTTATTTCTGTCTTGTGGCAATTTCAGGATATTCCGCCTTGACTTTAGGGCTAGGGTTCATGCTCCTATGAGAATCTAATGCCTCAGCTGATGACAGGAGGTGGGGCTCAGGTGGTAATGGGAGTGTTGAGGAATGGCTGTAAATACAGATGCTTTGCTCACTGGGCCTCCTACTCACCTCCTGCTATGCAGCCTGGTTCCTAACAGGGCATGGACTGGTACTGGTCTAAGGCTAGGGGGTTAAGGACCCCTGATCTAAAGAACTTTGTGTACTTGCCCAAGGCTGTCTGCACCCATTTGAGAAAGATCATCCCCAGGAGTAACCTTGGACAGGGCTGTGAGTTAGTTCTGCCCGGGAGGGACAACCCAGCAGTGCCCAGCCAGGGTTGGTCTGCCCACCTCTCCCCTGGGAGCCCCAGCTGCTTCACAGGTGGTAGGTTGGAAAGCTGGTGCTAGGCGTGCCTGCCCTGGGGGTATGTTTGAATCAGACAGGGGGTGGTGGTCCTCTGCCAGATTTTTGGCTTGATTCACCCATCACTTCTGGTCCTAATCCCAGAGGACATTTTAGAAAGGTGCATGGGTGCTGCTGGGGTGCAGCACCTACCTTATCGCCCAGTCAGAATGGAGAGAAAAGATAAAAGCTGGAGGGTGCTTTGGTGCTATCTGGCTCTTTGTGAATGGAATCTTGGCAGACACTGTGTGTGTTGCCTCCTCAGGCACCTTGATATAATTTATACCTTGCTATAATTGTCTCACTTTTTGCTTGAATGGCTGCCTTTATTTTTATAGGAAAGATCAAACCAGCTGTGGCTCAGGAGCTGTCAGGCCCCAACAATCTGGTCCCAAGTGGGACAGGGTCCTTGGCGCCGCCTAGTGTCAGGTGTAGCCCTCGGCAGGGAGAATGCTCACAAAAGGGGACTATTGACTCCGCTGTACATTCTCGGGTCCTGGCGCAGTGGGAATACCAAAGAGCACTTTTGTGGGTTTCCTAAAGATATATATAATCAAGCGGCAGCAATAGAGTTGACATGATGAATACTGCTACATGGTAGTGAGTGGGAAGAGCTTATGTGAAGGGCAGCACTCAGAGTTCAAAGCCAGGGCCATCACTGTCAGAGGAACAGGACTCAGACAGATGGAGGAGAGACATGCAGAGTGAGGGAGTTAGTGCAAGTGGAGTACTCAGGCTAGGGGAGAGGCTGAAGGCGATACTGAGACAAGATCGGAAAGGAAGATGGGAGCCTTGAATGCCCTAAGATATGGTTTGAATTTCACCTTGAGGCTCTGCGGACAGTAAAAAAAAAAATCAGCAGGGAAGTGACAGGTTGGGAAAGGGTGCACTGGAGTCTTAATATGGTCAGATCCCCACGTGTAACAAACCACGCTGGGCTGGCATTGCTCTAAGGAATGGAGAACAAATAGGGTGTGGAGGCCCATGTGAAATGGGTAGGCCAGTGAGTTGTTGAAGGCCTTTCAAAGGCTGGACAGGTTTTAACTAATAGCAGTGTAGTGTCAGTCGCTCAGTCGTGTCTGACTCTTTGCAACCCTGTAGACTGTAGCCTGCCAGGCTCCTCTGTCCATGGGATTCTCCAGGCAAGAAGACTGGAGTGGATTGCCATTCCCCTAATTGTGGCAGTCAGCTCTCCTCCCCAGGGCCCAAGGGATTCAGCATCAGAGTTCTTTGCAGCCACCAGCCAGCCCGAGCCTGGGGAGGACTTCTTTGGAAGACAGTTATTAGTCAATCCTGGTTGCCAGAGGAGAAGGTGGGGGGCAGCCTTTAGTCTCTGCCCAGCTGTGAGAATCTACCTGCTTGACCCAGACGGGCCAGCACCCAAGCAGGCGGCTCTTTGTCCAGCTTGGTGCCCTCTTTACTTTCTTCTGTGTTTGGGGAATGACTTCGGAAATGATGACAGATTCGAGTTACAAGTGACCCGAGAGAGCATCTGATACAGCCCCCTTCTACTGGCGATGAGAAAATGACTTTCCCAAAGTGACGCTGTGAGATAATTCTCAGGTGCTTTAATGTCAATCCTCACCATTCTGAAATAGGTACTGTTTTCATCCGAGTTGTATCAGTGAGGAAACTGAGGATAGGGAGGATAAGTCGCTGGTTCAAGAACTCCTGGCAGTAAGGGCAAGGAGCTGAGGAGGAGCCAGGAGCCTGACTCCTGGGTTCCTGGCTTGCCCTGGGCTGCTCTTGTCCCTCCACCAAAGGCAGCCTTCCAGGCCATGGGGGAGGTCACCGAAGCTTCCAGCCATCTCCAGTCTGCCAGAAGCTGCCCTGGGCTCTTGGCTTTGCCCTTCCTCCCACAGGGCCTAGCTGGTAGGAAACATGCTTCCTGAAGCTGGGACTTCCCCACGGAGGCTGAGGGATGCCTCTGCTGGGGCCAACATGTGTCTCAGGGACTCATGGCAGCTACTCACCCCTGAGGTGGGCAGCAAGGGCCCCTCCCATCCCTTCCAGCATCATTGAGAGACCATTCTTCTCTGGTAGAAGGTAAGGGGAAGGAGGGACAGCCTTCTGGGTGGTGAAGGCCTGGCCCAGCTCTGGCAGGCGCTTGCTACAGTCAGGGCAGTAAAAGGCAGATAGGAAGGCAGCATGTGGCCCCCCACTGTGGGGGATCCCAACCACCTTGAAGGTTCTGGCATATCTATATGGGGAGGAGAGAGTGGCCTGGAGGAGAGTGTGCCTGGTGTATGTGTGTGTGTGGTTTGAGCCCACACAGAGCCCTGTGCTGAGACACTGCATTCCTGGCCAGCCTGGCTTCCTGCTCCAGATACATTCCTGCCCCACAGTCACCACAGAGACTGCCTGGAATCTGGCCCCACATTCTCGAAATTCAGGACAAGATCTGGCAAAGGTTCCCTCCCTTTACCTCCCCATCCTCTGACTCTGGAGAGGGGAAGCCCCCTGACGGCCAGCCCTCCCTCCGCAACACCCCCCCCCCCCAACCTCCGCTCCCCTGGGAGGCTTGATGCAGGATATACCGGGCTGTTGGACTTGTCCTGTCTCCAGACCCAGGCTTCTCTGTCTGTACCTGGGACAGAGCCGTGGGGGTGGAAACCAGGAGAACAGGGCCACCAGCGGGCAACCCCGGGAACCCGGATAGCAGGGAAGGGCGTGGCCTGAAAATCAAGGTGGCAAGAGTAAATTTGGGCTCTCGTTGTTCCGGGGTGTGTGTGGGGGGGTGGGGAGTGGAGGGCGTGGGGCTTCGCTGCAGGCCTGTTTCCCCATCTTATACAGTTGGAATCATGCAGTTTTTGACTCCTGACCGATCCTGCGGGGGCTGTAGGAGGAAGGGTAGGAGGAATCAGGGGGTGGGCAGGCTGTCTTCTCCCTCCCAGATAATTACCACTTGCAGCCAGCGTCTCCAGCTCCAGCCCGCCCCTCTCCCTACCCCCAGAGGCTCAGGTGCAAGCTTGCACGTCCGCCAGCTCCCTTATCTCCCTCCAGGGAATTTGGGTCCTGCTGGGATTTTTCCAGGAGACCGAAGTTTCCTTAGAGGCCATCTGGTCACCAGGCTGTCTCGGCTTTTGTGGCTGCCGGCGCTCCCAGCCCCCCCCCCCCCCCCGCCCTTTTCGGGAGAGGGTGAGGGGGTGGTGCAGTTCCATGAACTGAAAGCGGCGGGGCTGAGGACTGGTGAGCCTCTACACTCCCAGACCTCCGGGCTGCCCTCCGGTCCCCGTTTCACTTTCCTGACACTGAACCATACCCTCGCCCCCGCCGGATTCAGCTCTAGCCCAAGATCCAAGGCGCCCTGCAGTTGTTGGAAAGGATTCCTCTGTGGCGAGAATGCCTTCCACCTTTGGTCGCGCCAGGTTTCAGAGTGGCTAAGTGACTTTCCCGAAGGCGCACAATTGGGCGCGCGCGGACGCGGGCGTCCTGGCCGGCGATTTTTCCACCGCCTGCACGTGCTGATCCATTTCCTTCCGCGCTCGCGTCCGGTCACCGCCCCCCGTGTCTCCTGGCTTCATTTCGGCCGCAGGAAGACAGACTCGGCTTGGGAACTGTGGGCGGGGTGACCCCAGTACACGAACGAGACCCCGTCCCCCGCCAGGGTCCCTGCTCTTCGGCCAGGCCGGCTGGGCAAGAGAGCCAGGGGCCCGCCTCCTACCCATGCCCCCTGCCCCCGCCGACACCCGGCCGGGGGCCCAGGCCCCGCCCTCGCGGCCCCTTCTGTCTCGCTCGCACACCTGCGCACCCCGCCCCGCCCCGCCTCTCCCCCATGCGGGTTGGGAGTATCCTGGGGCCGCGCCCTGCCGGGTCAGGACGCGCAAGCCTATCCGGCCGCCCGACAGCGGCTCCGCGACGACGGCCGTGATAGCTTGCTCCTGCTGCAGCGGCCACGGCCCGGGCGCCGCTTTGGGGCCGGATTGGGGCCATGCTGGGCCGGCGGCGCCTCTTCGCCGTGGAGCCGCTGGGCGGCCGGGGTGAGTCGCCCACCCCGGGGCGGGCCCGGACCTTTGGCCTGGAGCCAACTCTCGTGCCCTGGCCCCTGTCTGCGCTCCCCGCCCCACAGGCAGAGCCCGCACCACCTGGCGCAGCCCTCCCGACCTCGGTGCGCCCTCCTCGCCGCCTCCCTTAGGAAGGGCCAGGGGTATCGCGTCCGCACGTTGGAGACCCTTTTACCTTTTGGCGTTAAAACGATCGTCACCTCCATCCCATTTTCCCCGGGTCCGCTTACCTTTATTTCCTGGTCAGGATCCTCCTTCTCCCGGCCCCTGCCCCAGCCGGCGGTCGCGAAAAGCCCTCATCTCTGCGGCGGCAGACCTCTTTCTAAAGGAGCCGCGCAGGGGTAGACTTCCTGGTGAACTTTCTTGCCCAGAGGGGCCTGGTTTGGCATCCAGTTGCGGCAGGCCGGAGAAGAAGGCCGGCCTCCGTCCCCTCCAACCTCCAATTCTGTATCTTTACGATCGGACACCTGGGCCTGGCACAGACCAGGAGAGCTGTAGACGGTACAGTGATTGGGCGACCACGCTGCTTCTCCTTCTACCCTTTGGGTTCCCTTTCCTCAGTTCAAATTTTTTTCAACTCCCAAATTTTCTGCTTCTCACTTAAAAGAACAAAAGTCTAAAATGATTATGGCTATTGTGATTTTTGGTACCTTTTCCCTCCAGGACTTCCAGGATGGAGTTTCTCTTGCATCCTGATGCCAGTTTAGACCCCGGCTTCCCTCTTTGCATCTTTCCCCCCTCCCTGAGGCCGGGGCACAGTCACACTCCCCCTTGGGGCGCAGTTGAAGAGGCTGCAGTTCCCCAGTGATAGCTCAGAGGTCTTAGGCTGACCTCAGGGGCCAGAGCGCAAGGGCTCCCTGGAAGCAAGCGACCACCCCTCAAAGGAAGATATCATTAACAATTACTTTTGTAAAAGGGACCCCCATCCTAACCCAATCTCCCAGACGGATGGAGAGATATCTGGATGCGGCTGTGGTCCGCAGGTCTCCTGTCACCTCTGACCCAGGACGCTCCTCCCCGGGGAATGCCACAAGTTGCAGGAATGTTGGTGCAGCCGGCCCAGCCTGATGACCGACTCTCCTTGCAGATGGGGCTGGTGAGGACCTGGCACATGGTTGTATAGTGCCTGGAGTCATCAGCACCTACAGACAGATCCCAGATGTGGCTCCAGTTTGCTCATCAGACTCCTGGAAGGGGCAAGACCAGCTGAGAGATCCCCAGGCGCAGGTGCCGCTTCTCAAACTGGCCTCCCAGGACTCAGGAGTAGAGATGGCGGTTGGGGACAGCTCCCCGGCTACCTCACCCGGCTTTTCTCAAGACTCTCTGAACTTTGAGCCCCTGGGGAGCGCTGAGTCCCTGGCCCTTGGTGCCCTGGAGCCTCCTGTCCACCTAAGCCGGCTTCTAGCCAGACGTAAGTTGGAGCAGGTGCTGGAGCGCTCCCACAAGCTCTCCGTTCCCCCCGCCAGCTTGTCACACTGCCACTCCCCAGAGCTGCCGCCTGAGTGTGAAATGCCCCATTCTGAAGCAAGGGGACAGGAGGCCACCGAGGCAGAGAGTGATCCAGAGGATGGCCTGGAACAAGCAGAGGTGGTAAGTGCCAACTCTCAAGGGTGGGATGGAGATGGGCTCCCCCTGACCTCCCCCGCCCCAGCCTTGCTCTCCCTGGAACTCTCTCAGGCGGGTATCGCGTGTGTGTGTGTGTGTGCGTGTGTGTGTGTGTCACTCAATCGTGTCCAACTCTTGGCGACCCCCATGAACTGCAGGAGGAGACAACCCTGGCGCCTGCAGCTTGCCAGCCTCCTCTGTCCCTGGAATTCTCCAGGCATGAATACTGGAGTGGATTGCCATTCCCTTCTCCAGGAGATCGTCCCAACTCAGGGATCAAACCTGAGTCTCCCACGTTTCAGGGAGAATTTTACCATCTGAGCCACCAGGGAAGCCGGGGCAGGGCATTCCTTGCCTCTAATTGATGGGTTGGATGGGACGTCTCACCTCACCCCCCACCCCCAGCTGTGTCGAGATGAGCAGGGCTTGGGGCCTACCTGGCCCTTTGCCTGGTTGGGCACGGGGTTACCAGCTGGGTGTGTGTTCCCCCTCTTACTTATTCTGCCGCCAGTAGATGGGGGTGGGAGTCTGGCTGGGTTCAGAAGTCTCCCTGATCTCACTGTGTCCCACAGGTGGAGGGCTTAGGGCCTGAAGCCTGCCCCGGCCTTCCGGGGCAGGGTCTTCGCTATCTGGAACACCTGTGCCTGGTGCTGGAGCAGGTGGCAAATCTACAGCGGCTCTGTCTGCAGCTTCAGACTCAGAGGGGCCCTGGGGTGAGTGAGCTGTGGGTGGGCAGGCTGGCTGGTGGGCAGGTGAGTGGGGGAGGCAGAGGATTGGTGGGACCCCTGAAACCAGGACTCCCTTCAGAACAGCCTCAGCCCTCTAGCCAGGCCCAGAGAGCCCGTCTCTCCTGTGCACAGGATTCTGAAGAGGAGGAGGAGACAACCCTGGCGCCTTCCCCTCCGCCTTCTGACGCCCCAGACAGTGAGGTGCACGGGCCGTGGGGACGGCTCAGCCAGACAGAGGAGACAGGTGAGCGCCAGCTGCATCTCCCTCTGCATCTTGCCCACCCAGGGCCCCACAGGCAGACCGCCTGAGCTCTGGGCTTGATGAGTGCCTTGCTGTTCCTTGCCTGGGGTAACCGGATTATCTTTCTGAAGGAGCAAAAACAGCTTCACCCCCAAAGGTAGGGGCGCCCAGTGCCAGCCCTCCCAGGCTGTCAGAGGCCCTGGCAGAGCCAGCTCACACCTTCTCATCCTACCAGGAACACAAGGTAGGTGAGGGATATATGTGGGGCCTGGCCTGCTGCAGTGGGAAGCCTGGTGTGCTGCAGTCCATGGGGTCGCAAAGAGTCGGACACAACTGAGTGACTGAACTGATCTGTGGGGCCAGGTGGCAGGATGGGATGGGGGTGGGATGGTTGGGATGTGTGGATACCCTGAAAGCTAGAATATGAAAGGATTCCTATTTGGAGCAGGTGTGTCTTGGTTATGGTGACAACTATCTGTGGGAGCTTGGTCAGGGGTATGTTGTGAAGAGGGACCCTGGGTGACCCCCGCACCCTCTGCTCAGGGGGATCGCTCCCACTGGAACAAAGTCAAGGTGCTGCTCAACCGGATCAGGTGGGGCAGCCCTCGACCTGCTGAACCTGCCACCTCTGCCGACGGTCCTGTCCCCAGTGAGTCCTGTGACTCAGCACCCAGGTGAGTCCTGGGACCCTGCCCGGCGCAGGGCAGAAGGAGGAGCCTGATGAGCTAGGAGGCTGAGGTGGTGCTGCCAGTTGTTATTTTTGTCCCTGCAAAATTTGAGAGAGGCAGTCTTGGAGAAGGCTTCCCTGGTGGCTCAGCGGTAAAGAATCTGCCTGTGATGCAGGAGACCCGAGTTTGATACCTGGATCTGGAAGATCCCCTGGAGAAGGGGATGGCAACCCCCTCCAGTATTTTTGTCTGGAGAATCCCATGGAGAGTGGAGCCTGATGGGCTAAAGTTCATGGGGTCACAGAGTTGGACACAACTGAGCAACTAAACAACAAGTCTTGGAGAGGTTGCGGGAAGAAACAGAAAGTAGTTAAAAAGCCCCACTTATAGATGAGGAGGCTGAGAACTGGGCTGGGGAGGGAAGTCATCTTCCCGAGGCCACATGGCTAGCCAGTGGCAGAGCCAGGACCAAAAGATAGGAAATCATCATGTGAACCCAGCAAGCCCTCAGCCCTCAAAGCTGAAACTTAGGTCACCTCCCTGGGTTTCCCCAGGAAAACAAGGTAGTGCATAAAGAATGCCACAGTGGGTGCTGGGGATGAGGGTCTTCATGGAATAACTTTCCAGCGGGGCTTAGCCCCATCAATTAATATCCTTAGGCTTTGCACAATTGTGGTCAACTCTGGGGCCATCATTACTTTTTTTTTTAAGATGAAGTTTTGGCTGTGCTGGATCTTTGTTGCCGCTCGGGCTTGCTCTAGCGTGCCCCCGGGGGCTGCTCTGTTGTGTGTGGGCTTCTCACTGTGCTGGCTTCTCTTTGTTGAGCACAGGCTCCAGGACACACCTGCTGTAGTGGTTGGGGCGCATGGGCTTAGTTGCCTTGCAGACTGTGTGATCTTCCCAAACCAGGGATGGAGCTCATGTCCACTATAGTAGTAGGCAGATCCTTTTTTTTAAAAAAAACCTATTTTGTGTTGGGATATAACTGATTATTCCATGGCTATATTGCAACGCTGGTGATTTCCCTGTCAGTCTTCGCCAGGGCTTCCTTAGTGGCTCAGATAGTAGAGCCTTGCTGCAATGCAGGAGACCTGGGTTTAATCCCTGGTCACAAAGATCCCCTGGAGAAGGGAATGGCAACCCACTCCAGTATTCTCGCCTGGGAAATCCCATGGACAGAGGAGTCTGGCGGGCTACAGTCCATGGGGTCGCAAAGAGTCGGACACATCTGAGTGACTACCACCTTCATTTTCATGGCCAATTAACAACGTTTTAGTCGTTTCAGGTGAATAGCAAAGGGACTCAGCCACACACATGCTTGTATCCATTCTCCCCCAATCCCTGCTCGCATCCAGGCTGCCACATAACACTGAGGAGAGTTCCGTGTGCTGTACAGTAGGTCCTTGTTGGTTATGCATTTTGAATATAGCAGTGTGTACATGACCTTTTCAAGCTCCCTAACTATCCCTCCTCCCCATCCTCCACCCCCTCCTGCCCTGAGTAGGCGGATTCTTAATCCCGGAAGTCTGCCATCATTACCTTTGTTTTTTCCCCCTAGTCTAGAGCTTCCTTCCTTTTTCCACAGGATTGCATCAAGGGGCCTCCCTGAAAGGCCTCTGGGCCATCCCCTCCAGAAGACCTTTATGCCATCATCAGTGGTTAAGAAGAAACAAGACAAAAACCCCTCTGCACACTAGGCCTCCTGGTGCAGGGACGGGACCCCGGTGGGGCGAGTGCAGTGAGGTCTCCTCGCCGGCTGCCCTGATGCTGCTTCTGGGCGCTGCCAGAAAAAGCTGTGGATGCTCTGTCTTCTCTCTGAACTCAGGCAAGGGCTGAGTCCTTCTCCTCTGAGCAGCCAAGGAGCCCTGGGTCCCCGAGAGGCCCCAAAGTGTAGCAGCTCTGGGGCTCCTCCTTGGCTGCCAAAAATCCCCGGGCTTAGGCACTGTGAACCTCACTGATTCATGGGGCATCCATGGGGCGTGTTAGGCACAGTGATCTGTCGGCACCCAGCGTGTTGCTGGGGACTGTGGGACCGTCAGTGTGGTGAACGGACTGGATCCAGCTGTCTCTCTGGAATCCTGCCCTCATGGTGAGGTGACCACAGGATGATGGACATGACCTTCACTCCTGAGTGAACAGTTACTGATCTGGAGTCCTGTCTTCTTCCTCACACTCAAGTGGGCAGCTCTAGAACAGAGAATGGCGCTCTCTTGGCTGCCTCTGCCTTGAATCTTGCATGAAGACTGCACCAGGGATGGGAGGGTCAAGTACAACACAAGGAACAGCAGAATAATCTTCAAGGTCTATTCTCTGCTGTTTTACTGCTTACCTACATCATAGCTGAAACCAGAGGCCCAAATTAGCATTTAGACCTTGACAAAATCGCTTAACTTTTCTGAGCCACAGCTGCCCACTTAATCTCCCAAATGGTATAACGATGCCTGCCTTGCCTACCTCACAGACTTGTTCTGAGGATAAAGTGAAATTAAGCTGCCTCAAAATGCTTGGTGAATGTTAAATGAATAGGAAAGGGGGTTGGAGGGAGGCTAGACTGGAGGGATGATGGTCAGAGGATAAGGGGGAATTGGGATTGCTAATGGGGACTAAAATGGTCAGTGATTAGTGGCAAGACTTTGAGCGAGTCATTTGAGTCGCTCACGTATCACATCTGAGAATTAGAACACTTAACACCTGACCTGCTCATTCCCCAAGAGTTGATGTGAGGACTAAAGAAAATGACTGTGAGAATTCTTTGTAAATGTATACCTAAATATTGTGAAGGTTTATCTTACTATATCACTTGTGTTGACTGAAAAAATACACGCAACCTAACAGACCTTTATTCTGTGGGAATTTTTAGGACTTCAAGCCTTGGAGACAGCATCTTCTCAGAGAACTCTTTCTGAGGAGGTGAGGGGAAGAGTCAGGTTATATATAAGTTTGCAGCAGGGGATGGGGGTCTGAACAAAAGTTTGTTAATTAAGGAAAACTAAGTATCTCAAATCAAGAAATTTAGCACTCATCTATGTATGGGAAGCTGCAAGCGTCTGGGCTCCCTGAATTTATTCCTTTTATGTGCATCTTAGCTATCAGGGGCCAAATCCTGCTGCATGATCATTTACATCTTTAAGTCCCCTTTCAACTTAGGGAGTGGGGGATGTGGTGGGTGGCTGCCTCTTGCTCTTTCTTGCACACATCTGCCCCCTGCCCCAAGCTCCTCAGCATTTACCAGGGAAGTGGCCAAGTGGATGATGGCTGCCAGATAGCTGATATTCCACCTGGGCTCAGAAAAGTATTTTCCTGAGGGAGGAAATAGAGGGAGGAAAGTATTTTCTATGGGAGGAGGACATAGTCACCGTAGTCAGGACACCAATATGGGAGGAACTATTCCATTTCACACCTTTTAGGTTCCAAGCTCTGTTAATTGAGAAGGGGGGAAAGTTTAGTCTCCTGCAGGCACCCAGAAGATGGGAGGTATAAGTGGGGGGGGGGGGTGCCCTCAACGAAGGGTAGGGCTAGAAATGTGGTCATTGGTTGAGTCAGATACAAGGATGTCTATAGAAACGGGGCACTGATCATGCATCCTCCTCCTCCAGTCAGCTGGTTCTCTTGCTGCTCCCGGCTTGGGGGTCCGCCAGAATGAAGCATAGGTGCTGCTTTATGTTTGAGGGTCCAGCTCAAGCTGTCTTTGGCCCAGGAACCAGTTCTCTCAAGTCTGCTTTTCTCATGGGACACGTAAGCGAGGGCACCACCGACGCGCGGCTTCCTAACGCATATCCGATCGGGGAAGGCGCACTTCCGCTGCGCAGTTGGAGCGGGAGGGCAGGCCGGTGTGGGGGAAGGGAGAGGTCGGTGGAGAGGAGGGAGGGAGCATATCCGGGAGAGTGGCAGCTTCCGACCAGTGGTCGTGCTTCCGGAGAGGCGCTTCCGGTGGCGGCGGCAGCAGCGGCTCTGGTGGTTCCGGGTGTCTTTGTCCCCCCGGTGTCGCGGCCCTGGCCCGCAGGTGGGTTGGGGGGGCCTTCCGCCGCCCCTCTGCCTTTTTGCCCCTCCCCCGGCCGAGGGGCTGCGAGAGCCAGGCCGCGAAGATGCACTGGGCGCGGAAGGGGCCGAGCCCCTCTCCGGACTGCAAGTCTCGTCTCCTTGGCAACGGCCTCGGCCCTGGGGGCGGGCGGGAGGAGGAGAAACCGCGCGCCTTCGTCCTCCCACGGCGGCCTGGCTGCGGCCCGGCCCGGGAGATCGGCTCTGGCGGCCGCCAAGACGGGAGCCGAGGCACGGGGAGCGGGGGAGCAGGAGGGCGGGCGCGCAGCCGGATTTGCGTTCGCCTGGCCGCGGAGCTGTCTTCTCACCAGCCCGTCCGGGGAACAACGGGCCGGGCTTCCGGGGAGAGGGCCTACACCATCTCCTCTCCGGCACCAGCCTCCTCCATTTTTCCGGGCCTTGCGTGGAGCTTTTTGGCGGATGTATTTGAATGAATGAATGTCACCGGGGCTCTTTCTAACCCCTCACTCTCCCCAGCCATCTGAGGGTGGCGTGGCATAGTGAGAGGAGCGCTGAGTTGTCGGGAGACCTGGGTGTGAGTCCTAGTTTTTTACGTACCTGGTTCTGTGCCTCGGGCAAGTGTCAGTCCCTCCGAGCTTCGGTTTCCTTTTGTTTGAAAGAGTATAACAGTATTACCCATCACCAGGTTATTGTGAGGGAAACTGGAGCATTGTAATTTCTCTTATTTCCTGGTCCATTTCCTGTTCTCTCCATCTGTCTTCCCTATTCATTCTCAGTGTACACTTCCCCCACTTTCCTTCATATCCTTAGTTCCTTTTTGGGGGGTTGGTGGAAAATCTTCCCTGTGAATTGTTAATTTATTTCTTTTCTGATTGAAGGTTTTTCCCCAAGACTCTGAAAGAGGACAGCATTCCCAATGTCCCAGTTTAAGCGCCAGCGGATCAACCCGCTTCCAGGGGGACGCAACTTCTCAGGTGATCACCTTTATCTCTACCTGGCCCCACATTGGGAAGTATGTGGTCTGAAGTTAGTCTTTAACAGAAGATAGCCTTGAAACATACCAGGGGTTTCCCTGGTGGAGTGCAGTTTGCTGCTGATGTTTCTTAGGAAACTAGACGATGACCACAGTGGTTGTGAGCAACACCCTGTTGGAACTTGTGCGGATCCACTTTGCCCTTTGGGTTTCCTGTCTGCTCGAGCAGACTCTAGTGCTCACCGTGGTAGGTGCAGCTCCTGGATCGCTTCTCTTCCAACAGGCGCAGCTTCAACATCCCTTCTGGGCCCTCCTCCTGGTTTGCTGACTCCTCCTGTGGCCACAGACCTGTCCCAAAACGCCAGGCACCTTCAAGTAAGCTGGGCATTCTGTCTAGTGAGTTTCAGCACTTGGGAGGACCTCAGCATGCATGGTTGTCCGACGCATTCATTCTTACATGACATTGTTCATCCTTCCTGACACTATCGTCAGCCAGTCCAGAGGTAACTTAGACCTCTCTGACTGGGAAGTCCTTGGTTCTGATTCTAGGGAAATCTGTAGGGTGCTTTTTGGAGTTAAAGAAGAACTGGGAATCCTAGAAGAAGCTTAGGACCCAAAAACCAGCATGACTCCCCCCACTTTCAGTAGATTATGTCCACTAGACACGTGTGCTTCCTTCCACAGGAAGCTCCGTGCAGTACTTTGAGCTGGGGCTGGAGGGGTGGAGAAAGATGAGATGCTAATGGCAGAGCATGGATAGATGCTCCCTCTTACCTTTAAACTGCACCCTTCTCATATAGGGTGGAGAGAAGCAGCGGGTCTTCACTGGCATTGTCACCAGCTTGCACGACTACTTTGGGGTGGTGGATGAAGAAGTCTTTTTTCAGCTAAGGTAGGCTGAGGCCGGTCCCCTTCTGGAAATGCTTACGGGATTCGGTTCTGTCACCATGCTGGTGGGTCCTTTTAAAGACGTTGCTTTGCTGTTATGCAAGGGGTGAGCAATCTTGATGGGAAGGGCCTCATAGGGACAGTCAGGGTGGCGTGGCCAGGGTCTCTCTCCTGACTGGGTCTCCTGGCTTGTGTGCTGGCAGTGTGGTGAAGGGCCGGCTGCCCCAGCTGGGTGAGAAGGTGCTGGTGAAGGCTGCATACAACCCGGGTCAGGCAGTTCCCTGGAATGCTGTCAAGGTGCAAACGCTCTCCAACCAGGTATTCATCTCTCCTCAGCATGTGCATTGGAAAGGGGTAGGAGGGACACCCTGGTGCCCAGAAAGACGGACAGGAACCTTTCTTTGGTCAAGGGGGTAGGGCCGCATCTTTCCAAGGTAGTGAGCACTTCAGCCATGGGATGCCCTGAGTTTCCTGGTTATTGTCCTGCAGCCCCTACTGAAGTCCCCAGCACCTCCCCTTCTACACGTGGCAGCCCTGGGCCAGAAGCAAGGGATTCTGGGAGCTCAGCCCCAGCTGATCTTTCAGCCTCACCGGATTCCCCCACTCTTTCCTCAGAAGCGTGAGTACCAGTGGCATGGATATTAGGGGTGTGGCTTTATGGAGTACTCTGGATGAATGGACTTGTAACTTGAGGTTATTGCTCTTAGAGTAGAAGTGGGGACTAAAAGAAGGGGACAGGAAAGTTGGGCAAATATTTAGGTGTTTTGAGTCACCATCCATTTCCTTTCTGCAGCTCTGAGTCTCTTCCAAACATCCCACACACTTCATCTGAGCCACCTGAACAGGTTTCCTGCTCGGGGCCCTCATGGACGATTGGATCAGGGCCGAAGGTAAGATGATCAAGCAGGAAAGGTGCTTCATTTATTTGCCTCTAAGAGAATGTGCCCCTCTCCCCCCCTTTTTTGGGTCACTTCTTGACACTAACATTTTCTTTGTGCAGCTAGATCCTAGTCCTTTTACCCTGAGATAGTCTGACACATTGAGAAACATTGGAACTTTATAAGCTGGTTCAACAAGTAGGGATTTGGCATAATTCATCTTTCAAAATATCACACTGAATTTTTTTTTAATACATAATTTTCTCTTTTATTTTTAGTCCCTAAGATTGGGACACCAAGAATCAAAACTGAAGAAAATAGTAGTGTCCAAAAGATGTTTTTTTGCAGTGTATTTTTTTAACTGAAGCATAATTTACAGTATTATACCAGTAGATTGGATATTTTATGTGTTACGAGATGATTACCACAATAGCTGGTTACTATCTGTTACTCTACAGAGTTATTACGGTAGTGATTATATCATCTATGCTGTATATTACATCTCCTTGACTTACTTATTTTATAACTGGAAGTTTGTACCTTTTAATACCCCTTCACCTGTATTAGGGCTTCCCTCATAGCTCCGTTGGTAAAGAGTCCGCCTGCAATGCAGGAGACCCCGGTTTGATTCCTGGGTTGGGAAGATATGCTGGGGAAGGGATAGGCTACCCACTCCAGTATTCTTGGGCTTCCCCGGTGGCTCAGTTGGTAAAGAATTTGCCTGCAATGAGGGAGACCTGGGTTCGATCCCTAGGTTGGATCCCTGGGTTGGGAAGATCCTCTGGAGAAGGGAAAGGCTAACCACTCCAGTATTCTGGACTGGACTGTATATGTATAGTCCATGGGGTCACGAAGAGTTGGACATGGCTGAGTGACTTTCACTTTCACCTGTTTTTCCTATTCCCCCACAACCTCCTCTGTTCTGGTGACCACTAGTTTGTTCTCTATATCTTTAAGTCTGTATCTGTTTTTTTTTTTTTTTTTTTAGTTTCCTGCAGTGCATGATTTAATTCTTAGTATAAAACATGTTTCTTCCTATACACCACAGAAGTCAGTGATGTGATAGAGTATGTATGTTGCACTCTGTCCAGAAATCCTGTGCCGTGGACATGCAGACGTGGCCTCGTGTGCAGCAGGCGTGGTGGCCTTGGGCCTTTGGGGCGTTCTGGGCCATCATGTGTCCCCATCGTCTGCGATCCCTGGGGACCACCAGGAGCATGTTCCCTGTCTTGTCTGGCTCATATGTTCTGATCCTGCCTTACCCTGCCTAAAAGTCTTTGTTTCTATCCCTAGACGTTACACTCTAGGCCAGTTTGTTGAAGACGTGTTCAAGTTTTTTCTGTCAGTCTTCTTTTAAACTTTTTATTATGGAAATTTTCAAGTATAAGCATAGTAAAAGGATGATGAACCCTCATATACCCATCACCCAGCTTCAACAGGTATCAATGTCTGCCATTCTTTTTCATCTGCCTTATACTTTTTTTTAAGGTAAAATTTATGTAGGCTGATGTGAACAGATCTTAAGGGCAGTTTTGACAAATGAAAAATCCCATGTGACTCTCACCCCTTTTAAAATACAGAATATGTCCATCACTCCAGAAAGGGTTCTCATGTTCTAGTTCTGTTCTGAAATGAGGACTGTTCTCAGAAGGAAACCGCTTCTTCTCCCAGAAGCCAGTGATTATTACTAGTAAGCAAGGACTAAGAATGCAGTCTACTGCAAACATGTAAAGGGGGATGGAGTTCCTCAGAGAAGAAGCTTTAAGCAAAGTGATGTAGCTGGTCCGCTGAAGCCACTGTGTGTTGCCTCAGGATAGGTCATTGGGAACTTTGGAGTGGGGAGCTCTGATTGTGTAAGATTTTTTTCCACTGCATCTCCACTGCTTAAAACAGTTACTGGCACATAATTCGCATACACCCGCACCTCTTGTCCTCTGCATCTTCTTGGTCTTCAGTTTCCAAGGACTCTCCAACTCTCCCATTCTGTGAGTTTATTAAAGATTTCATTATAGACGGAGGACAGCAGGTGCCCGCTGGGATAATGTAGCCTGGGTGGAGATCAATGGCTGCTATTGACTTTTTGCTTTAGGTTCAAATTCAGCCTTCCTGTAAAGCCAGTAACATTTGATTGTCCAGGACACGCCAAACCCTGTGCAAGTTCTGTGTTCTGTTACTCTGGCCATAATGCTTCAGTGTCATGGCCTCTAGAGATAGAAGACATGACTTTTGGGAGTGAGGTACTACCATGAATCTGTAGAAGGGATTTGCAGAGTAGGGGAGGGGGCAGTAGCAATGAGGTCACCCTCTGGGGGAACAGCTGTTTATAACTGAGTCAGTCATCTTAGTGTTTGACTGGAAACCAGGCTTTCTTTTTGAACTTCAGGTTTTGGGAGGTAGAAACCAGTGTCTCCTTTGGATTGCTAATGCTGAACTACTGAGGGGTTTAGACAAGGCTACTCAGCTGGGTAGACCATCTCAGTGTCCTGCTGAAGTTACCAAGATGGCTTCCACTGTCCGTGCTTTATAGTCTCTTCCTGACAATTGACAATAAAGATGACAGGATTCAGTGGAACATGCACTTCAACTTGAGGTTGACAGCCTTTACTGAAGAGTTCACTTCAGTCACGGGTGAGCTGAAGAGAGTTGTCGAAATGACTTTGGAGCAGTTCTTCTGTTAGAGACACAGAAGCACTGGTCTCCCACAAGGGCAAGATTAGAAGGCAGCTTTTGGAGGGAGATACTGAAGGACGTTACCCAGGCAGAAGTGTGAGAAAAGAAGAACTCCGCATTGAGTGTAACTGAGTGAGTGAATCAGGGCTTCCCCAGTAATGACTGGGGAAGCAACGCAGGCAGGTCTGAAGGGAAAGGTGGAGACCTGGTACATAAATGGGACCAGCTCAGCAGCACCTCAGCACAAAGAACTGACAGTTCATTTTATTTCCCTTGTGAGACGGGGTTTTTTTTTCACCCTTATCAGTCTGGCATTTTATAATGGTCTAAAGGTTTTTTTCTTTTCTACTGTTTTTATTGCTTGCACCATAACATAGTGGTACTGTAATAAGTGATTTATTACAAAAATGTAGTGTATGATATTATATAAAGTTAAAATACTAGAAAAATTATCATTCCCTCTTTCCCTTAAAGGTTTAGAAGCGTTTAGAAGCATTCTGGTTAAAGTCCCGCTGGCTCACAGTGTTGCGTTGGTGTCAGGCGCACAGCACAGCAGTCACGCTCTGTGGAAGGCCATGTGCTGCTGTAGCTCATACTCCGCTTAAAGCTACTGTAAAACACTGGCCATAACCCTGGTGCTGCGTGTCACACCTAACCTTTGTATCTTATTTTGTATGTAGTAGTTTGGACCTCTTAGTCTCCTGCTCTTCTCCCTCCATCCCCCTGTCTCCAAGGTAGCCATTCTTATATTTAAAGACCTTTAGAAAAGCAACTTTCCTCCCTGTCACTTTTTTCCCCAGTGTTCTTTTCTAGTCTTTATCTATATATATATAAGCATAGTTTTTATAATTTTAATCTAAGTTCAGATTTTTTTAATATATTCTTATTGAACATGTGTTCCATATTGCAGAGTAATGCTCAGAACTGTTTTTAACGGCTATATGATTAATGAATTTTCATGATTTAAATGTGTAGGGTTAAGGGTTTGTTGGGCTTCCTGGTGGCTCAGATGGTAAAGAATCTGCCTGCAATGTGGGAGACCCAGGTTTGATTCCTGGGTTGTGAAGATCCTCCAGAGAAGGGAATGGCTAACCAACTTCAGTATTCTTGCCTGGAAAATTCCACGGAACAGAGGAGCCTGGTGGGCTACAGTCCATGGGGTTGCAAGAGAGTCAGACATGACTGAGCAACTAACACTTTCACTTCACTTTTTTCAAGGGTTTGTTACCAGATGTGTCTCTCTTAATTAAACTTGATAGAACCCATAGCATGGTACCATATATGTATCTCTTGTTAAAAAAAGAAAAAAAAAGTTCTTTCTCTCATTTAAAAAAATTACATGTTAGCTGTAACTTACATTGTTTGTAAAAATGTAAAAAAATTATTTATCAGCTTTATCAGCAGCATCCACCATTTTCTTTTCTTTCAGTCTTTTAAAGCTGTTTTTGCTCATTTGAGGCACTATTGTCTATACAGTGTTCCATACTGTACTTTTTGTTTAACATGGTTTTCTGTGTTATTTAAAGCATTTAAATATGTACTTTAATATCTTTAATAACAGTCTCTTACAAGGTTGTTAGTATGGCTTATTTATCCATTTCTCTAAAGTTCAGGATTCAGATGGTTTCCAGCTCTTTTTAGGCCAGCATGTCCTGAAGCTGTATTTAACAGTGTGGTTTCTTCCTTCTGGTGATGAATCAACCTCCAGTGATGACTATGACTCCAAGAAGCGCAAACAGCGAGCTGGTGGAGAGCCTTGGGGCGCTAAGAAACCGCGGCATGACCTCCCTCCTTACCGGGTCCACCTCACTCCCTATGCTGTGGACAGGTGAGTGGGGAGGCTGTGCTGGGGGTGAGACCTGCAGCTGGTAACATTTTTCTTGTGTAAATGAGATATAGTCTGGAAGTAATTGTGTATCTGTATTCTTGTGACCTTTTTGCTCGCTTCATTTTTGTTTTTTAATGTGAGAGATTTATTTCAGAATCTCAAATTCAGACCAGCAGAGCACCACTGATTTATGATTTAATCACCAGAAGTTGTTGTGCCAGGCTATAATTATGGTGTCCCAATTAAAATCCAGGTGCCCAATACCACTTATATATCAGGTGGAAACTGTGGGTCATGGGAACCCTGCGACTGGCTTCTCAGGGAAGCTCTGAATGATTTCTTGAGTGTGACAGCATGTACGAGGTCGCTGCCCCCACACAAGCGTACTTCTCTCACGTAGATGCTGAGTAGATGAGTGATCCTGGATGCCAGCTAGGAGAGGAGATGCAGGGCTCCAGCTGCCGTGTTTGAAGCCCCCAGGGCAGACCCACTTTCGTCCAAGTGGAAGTGCAGGCGGCTTCTCAGCACCTCCTCCTCGTGACAGGCAGGCAGGGAGGGCTGCCCCGCTTCCTCCCCAGGCCCCGCGCGCGCCTCGTACTCTCCGCGGTGACCCACCTCCCTCCCAGGGGGATCTCAGGAGACCCTGGTCCCCTCACCACCACTGTGGGAGGGTGCATCTCGAGTGGACAGGACACTGCTCACGATTAGCCACACACACAGCTGTTTATCTTTTTAAAATCACAAGTGGAAGCCTGCTGTACCTACTATTCGGCACTTTGCTTTTTCACTTATCTTGGGATTTATTCCACATTAATGTTTGTTAGACTGATCTCATTCTTTTTAGCAACACCACGGCTAAGTGGATGGACCAGAATTTATTGAGCCAGGTCTCCATTTTTAATCTGCAGTTATTCTAAATCTTGTAATAATAAATGTTCTTCTCTAGACATGTCTGTGGACAGGTGCAAGCATTTTATTAAGCTCAGTTCCTAGAAATGGAGTAGCTGGCTTAGAGGTCTGTAAACCTTGAAGGCTTCTCACAGAGGCTGTGGCAGTTTACCTTCTCAGATGAATTGTGAGGTACTTGCACCCCCAGCCTTTGCCAACACTGTGTTAGCCAGCTTCGTGATCTTTGCAGTCCAGTAGGTGAAAAGTGATACCCTGATTTGAATTTCTTTAATTATGCATGATACTGAGCTCTTCGGTCTCATTCCTTTTTCTAAGTATCTGTTATCAGTTTTTCCAGTTTTCTCTTAAAAGTGATTTTTTTTTTTTTAGTGATTTGTGGGTTCCTTTTATATTTAAGATAAAGACTCTTTGCTGTTATATATTATAAATGTCTTTTTCCCCTTCCCTCGGTTGACTTTGTTTTGGAACTAGAGGTGGTAGCATTTTAGTGGTCAAATCTGATCCATTTTTTTCTCTTCAGAGGTGTCTTCCTTAGAAAACTCTTCTTTCTCATATTATAAAAGAATTCGCTTCCATTTTCTTTCAAGTCTTTTTTATGGTTCCATTAACAAAAAACAAAAGCACTTCGTCTTTGCTCAACCTGGAACTCCCTGCTTTCTCCCCACAGCCCCGTCTTTGATTTCTTAGAACTCCAGCGCCGTTACCGCACCCTCCTGGTTCCCTCAGATTTCCTGGCCGTGCATCTGAGCTGGCTGTCCGCCTTCCCCGTGAGCCAGCCCTTCTCTCTCCATCATCCAAGCCGCATCCAGGTATCTTCAGAGAAAGAGCCAGCTGCTGATTCTGGTGCAGAGCCCCCCCCTACAGACAGCGACCCTGCCTACAGTTCCAAGGTGAGTTGGCTGGGGTCCTGCCACTTGATCCCCTTGTTGAGGGCTGAGGAAGCTCTCGAGTGTCTCCTTCACGCCGTCCCTACCAGGTACTGCTGCTCTCCTCCCCGGGACTGGAGGAATTGTATCGTTGTTGCATGCTCTTCGTGGATGACATGGCTGAGCCACGGGAGACCCCGGAACACCCTCTGAAGCAAATTAAAGTAAGAGCCGGAGCCCAGGAGGCAAGACACAGTCACTGACAGTGGTCAGTCCCTGTCAGCTGAGATACTGCTCATGAGTGCAAAGAAACAGAGTTGAAATGCCAGTCATTCTGCCAGGAGCATGGTGTGGCCCAGAGATGGTCCTACCAGATTCACGTGGGGTTCAGGTTCACGAGTAGAGAGCCCCCGCCATGTGCAGCGTGGCAGACTCTCTTCCCCAGCGGTGGCAGGTGGTTTCCCAGTGGGAGGCCCAGATGATTGGTTTCTCGTGTCTTACCCCGGTCTCTCTCTGCAGTTTTTGCTGGGCTGGAAGGATGATGAGGCAGTGCTGGTGGGGGGCGAGTGGTCTCCTTCGCTGGACGGCCTCGACCCCAAGGGCGACCCGCAGGTGCTTGTCCGCACGGCCACGCGCTGCGCGCAGGCCCAGACTGGCATCGACTTGAGCGCCTGCACCAAGTGGTGAGTGGCTGCCGAGCTCGCCTGCGGGCACCGCCGAGCGGCTAAGACCCAGCCAGAGGCCAGGCTTCTGCTTGGCCTTTCTGACCGGTCAGCTTCTGTCAGGTCCCTCATCCCTGCTCGTCTCCTAGCTCCAGCCCTGCCGGTGGTTGCCATAATCCCGAGCATGGCTAGGGATGTGTAAGTGTGCTGAGAGCCAGTTGACCCCCCCGAGGCTCGTCAGGTGTGGTCCCCAGCCACATTCCGAGATCCTTATTGCCACGGCACCTCGGATAATAACTGTCGGGTTACCTGTCTCTTCCCGTGGACCATTTCTTGAGGACTTGGGCTGTATCTTTTAGAGCTTGGCCCGCGGTACATGTTCATTAAATGCTGACTGGCAACTGAAGCACTCACTTGTGAATGTCACGGGTCAGCACTTCACTGTTCCTTCACTGTGAGCAGGTGGCGCTTTGCTGAGTTTCAGTACCTGCAGGCGGGACCGCCGAGGCGGCTGCAGACCGTGGTGGTGTACCTGCCGGACATCTGGACCGTCATGCCCACTTTGGAGGAGTGGGAGGCCCTGTGCCAGCAGAAGGCTGCAGAGGCAGCTCCCCCGCCCCCGGAGGTGCCAGTGGTGAGGCCAAGGCTTATGGACCATTGAGGGAGGTAGGTACCTGAACCCTGGGACCCAGGTGGTCATAGACCTTGACCTCTGCCACAGGAAACAGAGCCTACAGAGCAGTCAGCTGATGGGTCGGAGCAAGCAGCAGACACCTCTAAGCAGAGTGCCGAGAATCCGGAGGTCACTGCGCAGCAGGAAGTGGACACCGACCTTCCAGAGGCCCCCCCACCCCCTCTGGAACCAGCTGTCATGGCACGCTCCCGCTGTGTAAACCTGTCCTTGCAAAGCATCGTGGAGGACCGGAGGCCAAAGGAAAGGATCTCTTTTGAGGCAGGTGTAGGAGCTGGCGACTCTGGGGTGGTAGGGGGTGATGGGGTTGGAACACTCCCTGTCCTGATGCCCATGGCCTCCCACCACCTCCGCCACCAGGCCACGGTGTTGGCTGAGCTGTTTCTGGAGATGCTGCAGAGGGACTTTGGCTATAGGATTTATAAGACGCTCCTGAGCCTTCCTGAAAAGGCCGTGGCCCCACCTGAGCCTGAGAAGGAGGAGGCAGCCAAGGAAGAAGCAGCGGCCAAGGAGGAGGCCAAGGAGCCCAAGGATGAGGTACAGAGTGAGGGCACAGCTGTGGAGGCAGACGCCCCGCCGGTGAGTATCCCCGCCCTCTGTGCGGGCACGGGGGCTGCAGGTCCTGACGCGCCGCGGAGCTGGAGCGCAGCGCGCAGCGCGGCTTTGCTGTCTCTACCCGCACACGGCGTGTGCCTCCTGACCCCGGTGTGACTTGGGCACGGGCATGTAACTCTGCTGTATGGCCACACAGCTCGGAGGTGAAGCGCCTGGGAGAAGGGAGGGCCTGGAGCTTCGTGAAGGGAAGCGTGGTTGCCAGGTTGCCATGGACGTGTGTTCATGGCAGTGTTTTGATGGGTACAGGTGTTTCCATGACCCTATGGTTAACTACAACACTGCATTTTTTTAGCTGTTTCTAAAGTCCATGGGTCTGCTTCTTGCCTAAGTACATTCAAGCAAGCAGACTGCTTATGGGACTGGGCTTGACTCCTGCGGAGCACCCCGGGTGTCTGGAACTCGCCCCGCCCTGCCCTGTGACCCGTGTAATGGGGTGCATTAAATGAGACACTGCACGCAAGCCTCTATCCCATTGCCTGAAGACGGCCGATGTGGAAACGTTAACCGTTGTTACGGTGGGAAATTCCAGGGGCAGCTCTTCTCATCATCATCTGGGTCTGCTTCTCCTAGAAGGAAGATGGGCTTTTGCCGAAACCCCCGTCTTCTGGGGGAGAAGATGAAGAGAAGCCCCGGGGCGAGGCGTCCGAGGACCTGTGTGAGATGGCCCTGGACCCAGAGCTGCTGCTCCTGAGAGACGACGGGGAGGAGGAGTTTGGTATGTGTGGTGCCGGCCGGACAGTGGCGTCTTGACACTTTGGCCTTACTGCTCTCTTGTGTGTGGAGCCAGTCCGGATCCACGTGGGTCCTGTGCTAGGCTCACCTCAGGCTTTCTGTAGCAGGAGCCAAGCTGGAGGATTCCGAGGTCCGGTCGGTTGCCTCAAACCAGTCAGAGATGGAGTTCTCGACCCTTCAAGACATGGTGAGACCTTCTCTGCGCTTGGGGCTCCGTGACCGGGAACCCTGGCAAGGCCTCTGACTCTCCTGGGAACGGGATGCTTTTACTAAACAGCCTCTGGCATTTTTTTTTTTAAATAGTCATTTTGGCTTCATTGGGTCTTGGTCATGGTGCCCTGGGTGTTTTTGCTGCGGCATGCTAGCTCTCCAGCTGTGGCATGTGGGTGCTCTAGTTACTCCATGGCATGTAGGATCTTAGTTCCCCAACCAGTGACTGAACCTGTGTCCCCCCACGCTGCAAGGTAGATGCTTATCTGCTTCATCACCAGGAAAGTCCTAGATGCCTGGCATCTTCTCACTGATGAGAGCTGGCTCTTGGCTTGTGGGATAGCACACTCATAGGAGCCAGGAGAATACTTCATTGTCTCCATCAGTGTGGTTCTGAGTGAGCTGTCTGATCTAGGAGCACACACGGTTCCTTTCTGGGTGGCAGGCCTTGGGGCAGAAGTGCCCCAGAGAGAGATCTTTGCTCACAGGCCAAGGGTCAGATCTCCAACTGCAAGGTGTGTCTGGGTGTGAGTGTGTCAGCCAAGCTGCCTTATTTTGAAAGGGCCTCATCCTGGGTGATGCAGCATTAGGAGAGCTATTTGTAAATCCTGTTCACCCTTGTTCCTCTCGCAGCCCAAGGAGCTGGAACCCTCCGTTGTGCTCCCCGTGGACTGTCTCCTTGCTTTCGTCTACTTTGACGCCAACTGGTGTGGCTACTTGCACCGGCGAGACCTGGAGAGGATCCTGCTCACCCTCGGGCTGCGGCTCAGCGCAGAGCAGGTGAGTCTCCCGGGCCTCCCTGAGGCTCCCAGCATCGCTGTGTGCAGGCGCGGCCTGGGATGCCGTGCTGCTAGGTGCTTGGGCGCCATTACAGGGGCTTGCACCTTCTGCTCTGGGCATTGTGGGTGTGTTTCCTCCAGGCCAAACAGCTGGTCAGCAGGGCGGTGTCCCAGAACATCTGCCAGTACCGGAGCCTCCAGTATAGCCGCCTGGAGGGCCCAGACGGGGCGCTCCCCGAGGACCTGCTCTTTGGTGCGAACTGGGTCCTGTGGCCTCCAGGGGACGGGGGTGGGTGGGCTGCTTTCTCCCGCTTCCCGCCCTGAGTCTTTTCCTGGCCCTTCTAGGGAACCTGGACCTGCTGCCTCCTCCCGGGAAGAGCGGGAAGCCGGGTGCGGCCCCGGTGGAGCACAAGGGCCTGGTGTCCCACAACGGCAGCCTCATCAACGTGGGGAACCTGCTGCAGCGCGCGGAGCAGCAGGACAGTGGGCGGCTCTACCTGGAGAACAAGATTCACACACTGGAGCTTAAGCTGGGTGAGTGGCCTGTGGCTTGGGGAGATGAAGAGGGAGGCCCGCACCCCAGACTCCAGGCCACCCGCCATCCGCTCCCCTCTTAGCTGAGCAGTCTCTCCGGCCTGCCCCCACCAGAGGAGAGCCATAACCGTTTCTCAGCCACTGAAGTGACAAATAAGACACTGGCAACAGAAATGCAGGACCTGCGGGCCCGGCTGGCCGAGGCTGAGGAGATGGCCCGGACAGCCGAGCGACAGAAGAACCAGCTTCAGCGGCTGCTTCAGGAGTTCCGAAGGCGCCTGACCACCTTGCAGCTGGACACACAGCGGATGCTTGAAAAGGTGAGCCTCCTGCAGAGCTGGCCGTTGCGTGGTCAGGTGGGTCAGCACAGCCAGCCCAGCTTCACTGGCCTTTGCCTCCATCTGCTAGTTTCTTACGGAATCCATCAGTCCGCAGCTTGTGCCCGGGAGTCTCCCAGGAGGAAGTGGTTGGTCGTTCTCGGATGGGATCTGCGATCTCAGCTCTTCCTCCTCTGAGTCCTGATTCTCCTGTGTCTGTTTCAAACAGGCTGACAGCTGGGTAGAGAAGGAGGAGCCAGCACCGAGCAATTGAGGGGCCTGGTGCAGGAGCCGCCGTCCTGTGAGGCCAGCGATGGGGCCTGCTGAGGTTGGAGCCCAGAAGGCAGCCAGAGCCGGGCCTGGGGGCTGGAGGCAGGGGTGGCCGCCCCGGCGGCACTCAGCCTCTGTGGAGGCGCTCAGGCCGTCAGGGCGGGGTCTGTGTGCCGCGTGGGTCGGATGAGTGAGGAAGCCGGTTCCGCGCAACTAAACCCAACATCTTGTGCACCCCTCGAATGTCATTTCGCCCTCTACCTTGGGATTCCTCCTGGGGCCCTTTCGTCTTGTGCTGACTTTCTCCTGTCCTCTTCCAGTTTAGAATGAGACAGGGCAGGAAAAGACTTTTCAAGTCTGTCATAAGGTCTGATGCCAATAAACTAAAGAAGCAGATGTGGAATCTGGTTGGGGTAAGAGCCCTTACAAATGGCACAAATCCTGCCAGCTTCCAGGAGCAGGTTTTTGGGGAGGGGGCTCCCTGGCCATCGAAGGAACAGAGTCAGCGCTAGCGAGCGTCTGGTGTGGGGCCATGTCTGCCAGTGAACACTGTGTTCCAGCTGCCCCAGACGCGCCAGAAGAAACCAGCACCCGTCCCCTGGCTCCCCGTGTTCAGAATGTGGTATTGGCTATGGCCCAGCCTTTCCCCTTCCCCACAAGTCTTGCCTCTTTCCATTAATCCATGGTTTCAGTTTGACTTTGTATATAAAGTTGGTTTTCTTTTTTTTTTTTTTTTTTTGGCTTTTTGTTTTTTAAATAAACCAAAGTCAAAAACAAATGCAGCGTGCTCCACAGCTCTCCCCTTGCCTCCTTGTCCAGGTCTGATTCTGCACCCTCCTTCCCACCCTGAACCCAGCCTCTGCCGGTGGAGGCGTCTCCTCCAGAGGGTGCTTGGTGGGGGGCAGCTCTGGGGTCCATGGCCTGCTGGTCAGGAGAGGGGGTGCTACAGGTGTTTGGGGCAACCCCACCCTGACCACCCCCCAACTCAGCAGGGGGGCAGCTAACCCAGAGAGAAACCTGGGGTGGCCCTTCCCCTCTTTATAGTTATAGCACAATAATATATGGACATTTCATTGAAAATTTTACTTGGAAAAATAAAATTCCAAATAACTAGGTGAGACATAAACCCACTATTCTTGCTCTGAGGCCCGTGACTCGGTTGGTGACGTTTAGTGTGTTAGGATATTTACACACGTTTGAGTCCCAGCTTCTACGGAAGCTGTAAGACTAGGAGCCTCCCCTGCAGGTGACCCAAAAGCTAAAAGTGGGCTGAGGCTGAGTACCGGGAGACTGGGGTGAGGGGCTCTTGGGGCCAGGAGACACTCCAGGGCAGTGTCACAGCCTCTCCCAGAAAAGGTGAGTCAGGTGAAAAGGCAGCATCGGTGGGGGGACTCCCAGGGGAGCCCTTCTGGAGGTAGATGTGGTCCCAACTGTGCAGCCAGGCTGACACGTCTAGGGAGCGGACAGTCCAGGCTCTGGCCCAAGGCCAGGAGGCACTTTGGACGGTTCTTCAGGAACAGACAGTCTGCACTGCTTACCTGGCTGCTGGTCTCCGCTGCGCCGGGGTGGGGAGACGGCAGCCTGCTAGGGCTCCTGGTGTCACACTTTCCTGGGGGCTGGGGCGGGGGGGGGAACACCGCGGTCCCCATACTTCTCCCAGGGAGGGGCCCTCTGCTGGCTGATGCCCGAGCTTTTGTAAAGGGCAGAGGAGGGAGGCTGCTTGTATCCTAGAGTCTTCGCCAGGCTCAGTCATCGGCCACTATGGAGAGGGCTCGGAGCTCGCTCAGCCTGGCCTCGTTCTCCCGCTCCCGCTGCTCGTCGGGGCAGCCAGGCTGGTCGAGCTGCTGGGTCAAGTCTCCAAAGATCTTGTGCATTTCTGAGTAGTACACGACCTGCGGGTAAGAGGAGAGGTCTGCAGGTGCTGTGCTCAGGACACGGAGCCCCCAAAGCACTGCACCCCTGGGATGGTGGGCAGAGAAGTTGGAGCCTGTGGGCTGGCCCTCTGCTATTCCGTTACCGCCCCTCTGCCACCGCCCTTCCCCTTGAACTGCAGGACAACCATGGCCCCGAGCCCTTCAGCAACGTTCGCTGCCCACTGCCTGGGTGCAGAGGGGAGTGACAAGTCCTTGAAGAGGTGGAGGCTTGAGCTCCCCAGGCAGCTGAGGGGGGAGGGCTGGGGGGACTGTGGACCCTTGGATCCTGGGGGTGGACCTAGGGAGTCAGGCACTTGACAAGGGGCTACCTGCTTCATGGAAGCCAGGAGAAGCTCTTGGCTGTGAGGGAGAGGTCACAGCAGCTCCCAGAGCCCTGGGACAGTCTTAGAGGTCAAGGTGGGAGGGGACACGGTTCTAGCCTCTGTCCCTTCCCAGCCCTGACCACCGCCTCAGCTGCAGACCCAGGAAAGGCGAGCCAGAGACCAGAATTGTTCCTGTGTCTCCTGCACAGACACCGTAGGAAGGAGGCCTGCAGGAAGGAGGTGGGGGCAACAGGCCGAGGAGCAAGGACCATCAGCTTCTCTCAGGTGGTGGAGGGCTGAGCAGGCCCCAGGGAGGAGGCCGGGGGCCCCTTCTGCCCCAGCCTCCACCTCACGACCAAATGCAAGCATGGGCTTTCAAGAAAATGTTCAACACTGGTTGAACACCCTGATATTTTACCAGCTCCAGCTCTAAGCTATCTCTGGGAAGAAGGAACTCTCCTGTTCCAGAGGCTTGCAGCGCTACTAGGGGCAAGGCCAGGCCATGTAGCCTTCCACACTCCCAGAACCGGGTCTGCGCTGGCTGAGGGGTAGTTGAATCAAGGTCACCCGAGGGGCCGGGGCCTGGGCTGGGGTGGCGAGGAGGGGCGGCCCCCTCCCCCGGCTCGCTGCCCCGAGCCGCGCTGCGCAGGCTGAGTCACTGGAATGCTCACTTCTCCTGTGACTAACGACAGCAGCAGGCGCGGGAGGGGGAGGCTGGCGCTGACGAGGCAGTAAACAACCCCTCACCACCCTGCTGCCTGCTGACAGGGCACCAGAGCACCAGAGCTCCCCCCTGGCGCTCGGAGGCCTTCCTCCTGCACAGAGCGCAGGGCGGAGGGGCTGGGCCGGGGCCTGGGAGTGCGGCACAGGAGAGGGGAGGCTGGGGTCTCCTCAAGCCACTGCCCCTTGGCCCAGGGAGAAGCGCCGGAAGCAAGCCTGCATGCACCTCCAAGGGCAGGGCCGCCCCACGCACTCAGCTCTCTGCTTCACTTTCCCTGCGCCCCTGGGGTTCTGATCACTAATGTTAATCCAGCTGAGAGCTCCGCATCCCATGATTCCCATGGGTTTGGGGGCTCTCCCAAGATAGGCTGGGGGGAGGAACCTGGCTTTTCCTCAGTGTTGCAACTGTGGACGCTGCAAGAATGAGAGTGTCCACTGGAGGGCGCCAGACACCCAGGCCAGGAGCTGAGGCGGTGGGCTGGAGGCGGATGGGGACATGCTGAGCCTTTAGCTTTGTTACCTGGTGGGAAAGCGCAGTCACCTTGTGGAGGGGTGGGAGGAGGCGGCGGGGTGTCCCACATATAGAAGAGCTCTTGGTTTTGGCACCTCAACCTTTTCTCTTTTCACAAATGGGGAGACTAACTCCCGCTAACTGCTTGAAGAATGTGGGGCAGAGAAGGAGGGCAGGAGAGACTCTGCCTTTACACCCTTGAGTGGCAGGAGGCATGGCTCCCAGGGCCACCTCAGGGTACCGCCACCCCAGCCCAGCCTGAGTGAGCGTACCTTTTCCCCGAAAGTGGTGCCCCAGAGGGAGTCCTGAGCGTGGTTCTCTCCAGGGTTTAGGGACCCTGCCCAGGTTTGCTAAAGGTCAAGACACTCCCTAGTCTTCCACCAAAAGGGCTAATCGGGGAAGGGCAGGGGTGCAGGGTCCTTAGAAAAGGCCTCTGATCTTGACCTGAGCCCACCACGCAAGGCCCCTGCCCATCAGGGTGATGCACTGCAGGCTTCTTCCTGCCCTTGTGGTTGAGCAGGAGTGGGCAGAACATAAGCGAAGGACTCATGGACAAGGGGGACCTCGTCCCAAGGCTGGGATTAACCACAGAGCAATGGAGGAACCAAAACAGGAATTCCAGCCAACAACCTGAGGTGCCTGGATTCCTCCCTCGAGGAGGCAGTGCTGGGGAGTTGCGGGGGGGGCGGGGGGGCAGGTGGGGGCGGTGGGAGAAAGTGGCTGAGCCTACTTCAAGTGCGTGGGGTGGGGCTGGGCTGGGCTGGTCCAAAGCCCGCGGCTGCCTCCCCACCGCCTCCCCACCAGGGGAAGCGCGCTGGGCCACCCTCCGGGGCGGGAGGGGTGGCAGCCGCCTCACCTGTGCTCTGACCAGGGACTCAAAGCTGGGCTGGAAGTAGTCCAGTCGGCTGTTGTAGAAGCGTGGCATCTCATCCAGGAGCTGCTTGTTCTTAGCCTCAAAGTCGTCCCGCACCGGCCGAAGCTCCTCTCGGGCCTGGGGAGCAACGCTCTGGGTGTCACAGCTCACCCGAGCCCTGGCTGGGGCGGGACGTGTGTGGGGGGGGTGGGGGAGGGCAGAGGTGTCAGGACATCTGGTGGCTTGGCCCCTTGGCGAGGCAGCAACTTGCTGCGTGGGACCACATGGCTTCTGGCCCAGCCCCAGCGCTTCTCCCCGGTACCTGGTGGAGTTTGGCCAGCACCGGTCCCGTCTTCTCCTTCTCCTCGTACTTCTCCACCTTGGCTTGCAGCCTCCTGTAGTCCTGCAAGGCCTGCTCCCGCCGTTTCACCGCCATGTTGAGACTCGGGAACACACTGCCGAACCTGGGAAGACAGGCCCGTTCTTAGAGCTGCAGGCTGGCAGCTCATCGCTCACTCGGAAACACACACTGAGTGTCGACCAAGTACCAGGCTTCATTCTAGATCTTGGGGATCCTACTATGGATGAGACAGATGTGGCTGTGGCTTCAGTGGGGTATATGCTGAGAGTACCACCGTGGGGTAAGGTCGGGGGAAGGAAGACGGGGCGAAGGGCCTCTCCATGGCCCCTAGGGAGACTCAGGCGGTCGTAAATGCAAGATGCCAAGGATGTGGCCACTGCCTTTTAGCCCCCACCTTGTATGACTCCACACATTTCAGAGTATGGAGGAGCTGAAGACTGCTTGGAGTATTTTTTTTTGACTTGGTACAAAATGATTCAGTTTCTATTAATTAGCATCATGTATCTGAGAAGAAACAAAAGACAGATGAGCCAGCAGAACCAGGAGAGCTCCCTAGACAATCACAAAGGGACAGGGATGGACAGGGCTCAGGAAGCCATTTGAACGAATGGAGACACACCCCCCACGACTGGGCCTGGATCCAAGGGAGGTCCAGGAGCTGGGCCAAGGGCAGCCTCTCTGAGGGCTGGTGTCAGAAAAGCCTGGAGGTCAAGCTTCTGTCCAACATCTTCCTTTAAAAAGTGAGAGAGCTGAGACCAGAGAGACGACATGGGTTGTCTAAGGCCACAATTAGGTTGCGAGGGTCCGGCAGGGGTCCACTCAAGGGTCCCAGCTCTCCACGCGGCACCTTCCCACCACCTCACACTGCCATCAGGTGCAGCCAATACCTACTCCCATATTACTCAGCCATTAAAGAAGAATGAAATGATGCCAGCTGCAGCAAGACTGATGGACCTAGAGATGAGGGATACTAAATCGGAGAAAGACAAGTATCATATTGTATTGTTCATACATAGAATCTGAAACATACACACATGAACAAACCAGAAACAGATTCATAGACAAAGAAAACAAACTTATAGCGACCAAACGGCAAGAGCTATTAGCAAGTTGTGTCTGACTCTGCGACCCCACGGACTGCAGTTTACCAGGTTTCCCTGTCCTTCACTATCTCCCATATTTTGCTCAAACTCATGTCCATTGATGAAGGGGAGGGGTAAAAATTAGGAGTTTTGGATTAGCTGGATACACACTGCGATATATAAAATAGATGAACAAGGATTTTCTGCAAAGTAGTTGTAGTTTATTCACTAAGTTGTGTCGGACTCTTTGCAACCCCATGGACTGACTGTCGCCCGCCAGGCTCCTCTGTCCATGCGATTCTCCAGGCAAGAATACTGGAGTGGGTTGCCATTTCCTTCTCCAGAGGGTCATCTGGATGCAGGGATCAAACCTGCATCTCCGGCATTGGCAGGTGGATTCTTTACCACTGAGCCACCTGGAAGCTCTTACAGCATAGCATAGGAAACTATATTCAATACCTTGTAACAACCTATAATGGAAAACAACCTGAAAAAGAATGTATATAAAATACATATATACATACACACATACATATATAACTGAATTGAGAATGCCCTGGTGGTCCAGTGGTGAGGACTCTGCACTCTCACTGTTAAGGACATAGGTTCAACCTCTGGTTGGGAAACTAAAATCCCAAAAGCCACACGGCATAGCCAAAAAATAAAAATAAAAAACAGAATCACTCTGATGTACACCTGAAACTAACATAACCCTGTAAATCAACTATATTCCAATAAAACAACAACAACCTACCCCTGCCCTTTACTACCAGTTCCACCAGAAATGCAAGAATCCGAATGTTCTGCTGTTGAAATGGCCAAACTGTCAAACCAAATGTTTGAGAAAAATGACTCAAGCTCTGCCCCACCAGGACTAAAGGAACCACAGGGAAATGCTATAGCAGCCGGTCAGAAAGAGCAACAGCAGAGACTCCAGCGTGGTTGGCTGCTGTGGGCATGGTCTTTGTGATGAGGGTCCTCTTTGACTGGGAAGGGCAACCCAGTCTTGAGACGATCCCAGGGCAGGACCACGTCCAGGTAAGGGTGCTGCGTTCTCCTCGACTAATGAGCGTGGGAGGAGGCTGGGCAAAGCCGTGAGTGGGTTTTCTGGAACTGGACAGGAAAAGACAGGGCAGTTTGAACACAAAGCCTGAGTCGCTGGTGGAGATGCCACCTCCAACTGAGAATATGACAGCCCAGTGGTTATTCTATGGCTGACAAGCATGAAGGGGGAGGCTCGGAAAACGGAAGCTGGGGCAGGAAAAAGACTCGACAAGTCCAGAGCGCAGTGAGCTCAGTCATGACCATTCTGCCAGAGAACAGACGCCCGGAGCCCAGCTGCAGTGTGGAGTCCCAGACAAAGCCGGGGCCAGGCAGCAGACTTGGATGGAACGAAGAGGCCCCTGAAGAGGGCCCTTCCCACCTCCTGGGCGTCTGGAATGGGCTCCCTGTGCAGCTGGAGATGCTAATGTGGCTCAGAGCAGCCACCTGTCTCAGGATCCCCAGTCACGGGCCCCTGTACCTCGTAATGAAACCAATACCCGAAGGACTGCTCCGCCGGGCAGAAGACTCAGGCCTTCTCGGTGCTGAGCAAGCGAGCAGAGGGCCACCTCCACGACACAAGGACCTCCAGGCAGGGTTGGACACCGGGGCGGCTGAGACCCTCCAGGGAAGACGGGACTCATTTCACCTCTTTGGTCTCAGGCAGTGCTACAAGGGGGTCTCAGGTGCTGGGGGAGGGAGCCCCTCCCCTTCCACCCAAACTGGACATGGACCACCAGCAGCTGCCCTGACTCTCTCGTTAGCAACAGCCCTGCCTGGCAGCCCCAGTATCCCGGCCTCTGCCCCGTCTCTCTGGCTGCCCGGGAGGTGGACGAGGCAGGCAGGGTGGCAGGCGGTTTCCTCGTCTTCGTCAAGGTGCTGTCACCTCAGCTCCTGTCCTTAGGAAGAAGGGTGCCATGACAGGGAAGCAGCGCGTGGGAGTGCTGTACAGCTCTGGACAGGCCACCATCCCACAGTCGGTCAAGCAGCTCTCGCTACTCTGGCCCCGGCAGCACCTGAACCACACACAGCTCATAACTCCTCTTTCCCTGGTGGTCAACCAGGTTGTATCTCCAAGGCCAAGGTCAGGTACACTTTGGAAGACTGACTCAGCACGGGCACTAGGCTAGCCTACACAGGAAGTGTGTGGAACAGGAGATGGCAAGAGTGAGCATTGACATTTTAGGAATCAGTGAACTAAAATGGACTGGAATGGGTAAATTTAATTCAGATGACCATGACTTCTGCTACTGTGGGCAAGAATCCCTTAGAAGAAATGCAGTAGCCCTTATATTCAACCAAGAGTCCGGAATGCAGTACTTGGGTGCAATCTCAAAAATGACAGAATGGTCTCTGTTCATTTCCAAGGCTAACCATTAAATATTACAGCAATCCAAGCCTATGCCCCAATCACTATTGCTGAAGAAGCTGAAGTTGTACAGTTCTATGATGACTTACAAGACCTTCTAGAACACTAAAAAGATATGTCCTTTACATCACAGGGGACTGGAATGCAAAAGTACAAAGTCAAGAGATATCTGGAGTAACAGGCAAGTTTGGCCTTGGAGTACAGAGTGAAGCGGGGCAAAGGCTAACAGAGTTTTGCCCAGAGAACACAATGGTCAGAGCAAACACCGTCTTCCAACAACACAAGAAATGACTCTACACATGGACATCACCAGATGGTCAATACCGAAATCGGACTGATTATATTCTTTGCAGCTGAAGATAAGAGAAGCTCTATACAGTCAGCAAAACCAAGACTGGGAGCTGACTGTGGCTCACATCATGAACTCCTTATTGCAAAATTCAGACTTAAATTGAAGAAAGAAGGGAAGACCACTAGACCATTCAGGTATGACCTAAATCAAATCCATTATGATTATACAGTGGAAGTGACAAATAGATTCAAGGGATTAGATCTGATAGAGCGCCAACGAACTATGGACAGAGGTTCATGACATTGTACAGGAGGCAGTGATCAAGACCATCCCTAAGAAAAAGAAATGCATAAAGGCAAAATGGTTGTCTGAAGAGGCCTGAGAAAAGAGGAGAAGCTAAAGGCAAAGGAGAAAAGGAAAGATATATCCATCTGAATGCAGAGCTCCAAAGAATAGTAAGGAGAGATAAGAAAGCCTTCCTCAGTGATCAATGCAAAGAAATAGAGGAAAACAATAGAATGGGAAGGACTAGAGCTCTAGTCAAGAAAATTAGAGATACCAAGGGAACATTTCATGCAAAGATGGGCACAATAAAGGGCAGAAATGGTATGGACCTAACAGAAGCAAGAAGATATTAAGAAGAGGTGGCAAGAATACACAGAAGAACTGTAGAAGAAAGATCTTCATGACCCAGATAATCATGATAGTATGCTCACTCACCTAGAGCCAGACATCCTAGAATGCAAAGTCAAGTGGGCCTTAGGAAGCATCACTATGAACAAAGCTAGTGGAGGTGATGGAATTCCAGTTGAGCTATTTCAAATCCTGAAAGATGATGCTGTGAAAGTGCTGCACTCAATATGCCAGCAAATTTGGAAAACTCAGCAGTGGTCACAGGACTGGAATTTTTTCATTCCAATTCCAAAGAAAGGCAATGCCAAAGAATGTTCAAACTACCACACAATTGCACTCATCTCACATGCTAGCAAAGTAATGCTCAAAATTCTCCAAGCCAGGCTTCAACAGTACGTGAACTGAGAACTTACAGATATTCAACCTGGGTTTAGAAAAGGCAGAGGAACCAGAAGATCAAATTGCCAACATCTGTTGGATCACAGAAAAAAGCAAGAGTGTTCCATAAAAACATCTACTTCTGCTTTATTGACTACACCAAAGCCTTTGACTGTGTGGATCACTACAAACTGTGGAAAATTCTTCAAGAGATGGGAATGCCAGACTACCTGACCTGCCCCCTGAGAAATCTGTATGCAGGTCAAGAAGCAACAATTAGAACCGGACATGGAACAATGGACTGGTTCAAAATCGGGAAAGGAGTATGTCAAGGCTGTATACTGTCACTTGCTTTTTTAACTTATATGCAGAGTACATCATGAGAAATGCCGGGCTGGATGAAGCACAAGCTGGAATCAAGATTGCCAGGAGAAGTATCAATAACCTCAGATATGCAGAGACACCACCCTTATGGCAGAAAGCGAAGAGGAACTAAAGAGCCTCTTGATGAAAGTGAAAGAGGAGAATGAAAAAGCTGGCTTAAAACTCAACATTCAAAAAACGAAGATGGCGGCATTTGGTACCATCACTTCAATGCAAATAGATGGAGAAACAATGGAAACAATGATAGACTTTATTTTCTTGGGCTCCAAAATCACTGCAGATGGTGACTACAGCCATGAAATTAAAAGGACTCTTGCTCCTTGGAAGAAAAGCTATGACAAACCTAGACAGCATATTAAAAAGCAGAGACATTACTTTGCCAACAAAGGTCCATCTACAGTCAAAGCTATGGTTTTTCCAGTAGTCATGTATGGATGTGAGAGTTGGACTATAAAGAAAGCTGAGCACCAAAGAAATGATCCTTCTGAACTGTGGTGCTGTAGAAGACTCTTGAGAGTCCCTTGGATTGCAAGGAGATCAAACCAGTCAATCCTAAAGGAAATCGGTCCTGAATACTCATTGGAAGGACTGATGCTGAAGCTGAAGCTGCAATACTTTGGCCACCTGACACGAATAACTGACTCACTGGAAAAGACCCAGATAATGAGAAAGAGTGAAGGTGGGAAGAGAAGGGAATGACAGAGGATGAGATGGTTGGATGGCATCACTGACTCAATGGACTTGAGTCTGAGCAAGCTCTGGGAGTCAGTGATGGACAGGGAAGTCTGGTGTGCTGCAGTCCATGGGGTTGAAAAGAGTTGGATGCAACTGAGTGACTGAACTGAACTCAGGAAGTAGGAATCCAACCCTAGGTTGGGCAGGTCCTGAGCTAAGGCTGGGAGGAATGGATCCAGGGCAGATTTCCAGGCAACCTCAGGGGATGAGTGCGCTCACAGGAGGCTACCTTCAGCCTTGTGGGAGTGAGACCACTTGTCCTCTGGGGGGAGCAGCAGCAGCTCTGTGAGACCCTCCAGGAAAGCGGTCTCTTCACCACACTGACTCCTGTCTCCCACCAGAGCGCCCCTCAGTCAAACCAGGGGCCGAAGGGGGCTGCTCCACTCACTCCGTTTGCCACCAAGGATCATGAACCACTTACCACCTGGGTGGCTTTGGGCCCTGGACTTCAGGACCCCCTAGGGGCTGGGGTCAGGCCCTTCCCATATGAAAGCAGGGAAACTGAGGTGGGGCAGGGGAGATTAGGCAGTGTAATCCAAAATAGCTGACAAAGGGTGGGGGTGATCAGGACTCTGTAATCTCTGGCTCTAGTCACTGCCTCACTGAAGCCCCACCTCCTCATTTTCTCCTCAGAAGTTACAGAAAGAACTGCCAGCTCCACGTTAGGGAGTTTAAATACCACAGTGCTGACCCCGCTCCGTGTCTGGGGTGTGTAAGCGCCGCCCCTACCTTCACATCAGGGCAGGGATGTGGGAGGGAGGTTAGGACACGCACAGGCTGGTCCCCAGGGCCTGGGCCCCTCCCAGACATGGCCCTGGGACCCTCCAGGGCACCTTTGGAACTGACCTGACAAGGACAAGTCTGCGCTTGTGACTGGGTGGACATGAAGAAGCAAGGCTGAGGCTCAGAACCTCTCTGCTCGGTGCCAGAGTCCCCTGAAAATTACTGGTGAGGGGGACATGGGGTCCCTGGGCCAGGACCCCAGGAGGGTCTCTGCCCTCCATGCACAGAGTCACTCCAGCCCATGACAGCTCCTTCACCCACTCAGGGAGGTGATGATGGGCTTGGTCATTTCAAGAGTTTAGCCCTGCTCCCCTTCCACAGACAAGAGACAAGCCTGGCCTGTCCCCGGCTCTTCCTGCTGCATTGCACTGCCCCGCCTTGGCAGTTATCACTCTGGACCATTTTCTTGGAATGCTGCATGGTTTCCTCACTACATCCCAAGCTCCTAAAGATTGAATCACATCTTCCCACAGAGAAGTGAGAGCAAGGCTGGGCCTACCCCGGGCGCTCACTGAAGATCTGTCCATTTCTTGCCCATCCTGAGGGGGCGGACAGCAAATGCCTCCTGGGGTAAGCATTGGGTGAAGAGGTAGCAGGAGGTGGAGGGAAAGAGGGAGGGAAGGGAGGCCGGCTGGGAGGTGGGCTGGGAGCAGCCGGCCCTAGTGGGGAATGCCTGCCATTCCTCAATCGGTGCCCACACAGCCGGGATCTTCCACCCACCAGGAAAGGGAAATTGAAAGCATCCCCATCCGACCATGTGAACACGGCCCAGAGACTGGGATTAGAGGCCGAGCCCCCGGGGGCGGCCGGGTGGCCATGTGGCAGTGTTCCTCATCAGAGGACAGGAAAGCTGCAGCTTCCTGCTTCCGGTGCTGGGGTCCCTGGGAGCTTCTCGCCTGGCAAGAGGCGGCAACAGGCAGCGCTGGGTTCACGCGGTTGGAGGGGATCGCATGTCGGCCACGGGGTGCATAGAAGCCAGCCGGGCGGGCAGGCAGGCAGGCCAGGGGGCTCAGGCGGAGGCCAGCGGATCTGCTGCGGAGATGATGGCCGCCCCCCCGGCCAGCCACTCGCCCACCTTCCTGGCAGGTGGTGGGCTGCTGGGGTGGCGGGAAGCAGCCGGGCCCTCTCTCCAGCTGGCCCTAGAAGCCAGGCATCGAATTTCAAGGCCGCCTCGGTGGTGGTGAGATGGAGGCGGGAGTTCGTCCCCCAGTTCTCCAGGCTAGTGTCCCCTGCCTCACCCTGCCAGCCTGGGTGTCCATAGCAGCCTCCATGACAGCCCCAGGGACCCCCGTGTGCAGGGTCTGCCCAGCCCAAGGTCCTTCCCACCCAGCTCTGAACCCTCACACCTGGAGACGGACTCAGAGAGCCAACAGCAGTGGAGCTTTGAGGCCTCCCTCCTGAACTGCTATCCCCCCGACCCCAGCTCCTCGGGTGACCCTGCCACCTAGGCCCGGACAGGGGCTGGGGAGAAATCCCTTCAGGCCAAGGTCTGTGTCCCTGTGTGGCTGAGCCTCGAGACGGCCTGGCTTAGAAGGAGCCCTCCCTAATCCCACCCCTTGGACCCGAACAGGGAACAAGAGCTCAACAACCCCAACGCCAGGGGCTGGAGGATCAAAAACCTGCACTCTTCATCTCCCTCCGGGCCCTGATCCAGGCCTAATGGTAATTAGCGCAGCCTCATTACCCAGCCCTGGTGAGACAACTGCCAGGGACCACCACGGAAGAGGTAATAAAGAGCAGCTGCTGGGCTGGCGCGGGAGGCTTTCTAGGTCAGAGCTGGGCTGGGAGAGGCCAGGGAGGAAGATGAAGTGATTCGGGAGCTTCAAGGCAATGTTCCTGCCTGTCCTCCCCACTGCCGTCCCACCCCCCACCTCAGGGGACCAGGGAATAGGCCTGTCTGATCGCTGACCAGAGCCTGCCAGACTGAAGTTGAGCCTCACAGAAGGATTTCTGACCCTGACAGGTCATGAGCTGGGGGCCCTTCCCAGGCGGCTGTGCCCCGCCCTGTGTGTGGCCGCCCCCACATTTTAAAAGCCGGGTGCTGCAGGCAGCTGCTCTCCCAGCCCGGGTGAGATGAAAGGCCTCGCTCATCTCCGCTGAGGGCTAGCCAGGATCTCTGCGAGCTTAACCCCACAAGCTCTGGTCCATCAGCAACACAGGGACAACAACGTGGAAAGACCGCGGGGGTGCCAGCCGGCTGCCGGGGAGGGCCAGGTGGGCCCTGTCGGCACTGACCACGCCCAAACAGGTGGGGTGCCCTGGAGCCACCACGAGTGTCAGCCACAGGGCCGGTCACCGGTGTCCCCTGGAGCTTCCTGTCTGCCCAGAGTGACCCTGGGGCAGGTTAGTAGAAATGATACTCAGCTCCCAAGTGGCTGGCTGAACTGTCTTTTCAGTGCATGGCCTGAGTGAGGCCCACGGATCCCACGACTTTACTCACTTTTTTAAGGGCTCAATCACAGTCTTCTGTATCTGGTTCACCTGTTAAAAGAAAAACCAGATGGCGTCAAGACCAGGGGGAGGCCAGACTCTTCCCTAAAGGGGAGAAGAGAAAGGAAACGGGGCCTGACAGGGCACCCCGAGCACCCCAGGCAGGGAGGAGACACCCCTAACTGCTGAAGGAGCGAGGCCGAGATGATGAGCAGGGATTCTGAAGGGTGACGAGAGGCGCTGGTCTTGGCCCAGGGCCTGGGAGGCTGAATGTGGCCGTGTTTGGTGAGGAGGCTGGGTGGGTAGCCACAGCGAGTCTGAGGGGCCACGGGTGCAGGTGGGCAGAGCTGGCTGAATCTCCCCTGTGGCCTCACGGTGAGGGACGTGAGCTCACAGGAGCCACGGCAAGCGCCCACTGCAGGGGTTCGGCGGCCAGGAGAGCTCACAGGGCTGACACTGAGCCTCCGCAAGGACTCCATGGGCGCTTCTCCCAGACAAAAGCCTCGAGAACGGGGAAGACCAACACCTCAGTCACCCTGGAAACTCCCCGGTGGTCCAGTGGTTAAAGACTGCACTTCCACTGAAGGGGGAATAGTTTGATTCCTGGTTGGGGAACTAAGATTCCACAAGCCATGGAACGTGGCGGGTGGGCAGAGACCCCAGTCACCTTTTCCTGATTGAAGGCATCCATCCGCTTCATGGCCGTGTCCAGGGCGGTCACCATGTTCAGAAAGTCCTGGTCTTGCTCACAGAGGGGGTTGGAGAGCAAGTCCAAGGATATCTTCACAGCAGACTTAGACATGGCTGTAAGAGATCAAAGTTCAGTGAACTGATGACAGGACAGGCTTCAAGGTCTTGTCTGCAGGCTCCCTGTCCTTCCTGGGGCCAGAGTCTTGCACCTGGATGACCTCCACCCATGGCCACAGGCCATCAAAACCACAGTCACCCCAGAGGCACCAGGCATTGGTCCTCATGGTATATAACGTGTGCCTGACGCTGCTATTGTTCATCGGATGCTGCTTGGGGGAATTCTGAGCAGATTTACCTACTGCAATGACCTATCTTCCAAGCTCTAGATTCTAACAGAATCATTTGGATGGGAAGCTGTAAGGAATACATATTTCTAGCTCTAAAGATTTATTTCAGTAAGCCTGGAATCAAGGAATATGTGTTCAAAAAAATCTCCAAGCAGTTTGGATGTGAGGCTTGGTTTGGGGCTCCCTCACGGAAAGAGTAACATAGTATCTACATCAGGGAGGCAAATGTACTGTACAGGGCTACAGACAAGATTTTAGGCTTCCAACAACTCAACTCTGCCACAGGTGATACCCAAAAAATGGGTGTGGCTGTGTTCCAATAAAACTTTATTGACAAAACTTGGCAGGATCTGGTGTGACGAGGCAACCTGTTGGCAGTGTTGGAGCTCTTGGTCCCATAGACTTTTTCAGGCCTCTATTACCTGGAAACAAAATCCCAGAGGGGCCGGAAAGGCTGGAGAAGGGCCTTGTTTGCTCTGTAGCGCCTGTACCAGTTTCAGGGGCTCAGGGGAAAACAAATCTTTGCACTATCTCTTACTATTTTATGTTATTAAATTAAAGATGCTGTCAATTCTAAGACATGCCATTACTGTATAAGCCATTAAGAAAAAAAATGCTGCCAATTAAACCAAAGCAGACTACTGCAATAAGCACCTTGGTTTCTCTTGACTCTGGCAGTGTGCTGCAGACCCTCCAGCCCAAGGGCCAAATATGAGAGATGACGGGAAATGTGAACCTCCCAGAGATGTTGATGCGATGGAGGGGAAAACCCTCTTAAAAAAAAAGTAAAGTAACTTTGTAGGCTTGGGCACAAATTCACATGCACCTTGACTGGATCATGAAATGGCTGCAGACAACATCACTAAAAGATGAAAAACCTGGACAAATCTAGAAATGGTTTTGAAAAATTTCTTCTGCTACTTTTTTTTTTTAAATAGTTGAGGAGAAAACCCCCAAAAGGCAGAGGTCAGGAGGGAAGACTTTCTTCCCAATTTTCCTTTTCTTCCCTACAGGGGCCACATCTTCATGTGATGTCACTTTGCTAGAACCACCTGCAGTGAATGAAAAGCGAGCCCTCCAGGGTGGCAGTGAGTCTGGACCTCCACTCTGAGGTACGGCTGGCCTGCGTGAGCAGGGGGCCCTCTGCTCTCCAATGGCGCAGCTCACAGCCCTCACCCTCGCTCTGCAGGGTCAGGGGAGGGGCATGGCCTGACCAGCACAAACCAGGAGGCTTGGTGGGCTTTGTACCTTGGACAGCTCGAGGTCCTGGGCCCCACGCGAGTCTCTAGGGCCTTAACACAACCCAGGAGCGTCAGGGCTGATGAGGACCCAGCAGGGACTGGTCATGCTTCCTTGATCTTGTTCTGGACCTACAGCTTCGGACGTGAAATCCTGTCTAGGCACCAGCTCAGCGGTTTCCAAGACCAGGAAAGGAATAATCTGATTCCCCCCGACTGTCTGGAGCAGCAGTTTTCAAAGTGGGGTCCCTGGTCCAGCAGCATCAGTGCTGCCTGGGAACTGGCTAGAAACATAGATTTTCAGGCCTTGCCCGGACCTGATGACTCAGAGTCTGGGGGTGGGCCGGGCCATCCGCACTCCAGCGGGCACGCACTGCCTCTGACGCACCAGCTGCCGGGGTTGTGAGGCTTCCTGGACTGGGGGACACAGGCTTTGTGATGGGTGAGGGCACCACTGTGTCAAGGCGGCTTTCTCTGCCCAGACTCCACTTCTGACTTGGGAAGGAAGAGGTCGGGAATCTGAGGCCCCAGAGGATGGCCATTTATCCTGGTTTCTTTGTTAAAAACCTGTGCTCTCTACAGTCAGAATCCACCTCACAGATCCCTGATGTTCTATTCCTTCCATTTTTCTAAGGAGTATGGGGAAGCAAGAGGGATAGGAAGCCCAGGCCACAGCATCTCCTGCTGGGAAGACAGGAGGAGCCACAAAGAAAGATGGACTCCAGGTGACTTGGAACTAACTCCCACAAAACAAATAATGGACGGACTCAAACTCAGACCTGTGGCTTGCTATACACAGAATGGAGACACCGGGAGTCAGGAGAGTGGGGGCGGTCATGGCCAGACCTTCCCATCCCATGGATGAGCTCTGGCAGGAGGCTCTGGGGCACAGACCCAGAAGCTGGCCTCCACCCGTTGCTGGTGGCGGCTGCTGTTGCAGGGAAAGCGGAGAGCGGTAGTCTGCTGAGTGAAACGTGGCCTCGTGGCACTTCTCAGGGACATCTGTGGGGCGGCTGCTAAGTGCACCTTCTTCAAAGCCAGCCTCAGGGGACTGAGTGAGGAGGGCGACCCCCTCTGCCCGTCTCCCATCCCGGCTGAGTGCGGGGCAGGGCCACCTACCCAGGTCGGCGTCCGTGCTCTTCTTCATGTCCTTCTGCAGACGCCGGGTCTGCTCCTCCAGCCTGAAAGGCAGTGGAATGGGCCTGGAACCTGGCATTGCTCGGCTGCCTCTGCCCCTGTTCGCCCACCCATCTGAGCTGCACCCTGCGTGGGACTCGGGGTTCCCGCCAGGAGGAGAAGGAGGAGGGGCCCTGCTCTGCAAGGATGTTCCTACTGACTGAAGGGCCACTACAAGCTTGGCGTGAGCCCACACACCCAAAGGCTACGAGATAACGACTCTCAGGCAGCCACCCCTCAGGGCAGAATTTCTGGCCAGTGGTGGACTGAGCTGCCCTGGCTCCTGGGATGCTGACAGGATGATGGTCAGTGGATGAGGTGATGTGGGAAGCGAGACTGGGCAGGAGACTCTTTCCTTTCCCGAGCAGAACCCCCTTCCCGCCCACCCTTCTCGGGGCTGACACTCACTGCTGGAGTTTTCCATACTCTCGTTCAAAGTCTCTCTCCACCTAAAAAGGAAGTGATAACTCAATCACTGGAAGACTGACAGCACGTTGGAAAAAATCTGCCACCTACGAAACTCTTGGCCCGCCCTCCCCGCCACCCCTTCTGCGGAAAACAATGCCATCCAGTCCACACAAGCACTGCTCACGACACAGGAGCCTTGTGTTCCCAAATTAATTGTTTGATTTAGGGTGAAGGCCTCCCCTCCTAGGCAGGCCAGCCAGACAGGTACCAGCAGATCTCAGCTCTGTCTGACCCCGCAGGGAGTGAGGCTGGGCTGTGCTCCCTACACCCCTCCCCTCCCCACAGGTGGGGAGGCAGGTAAGGGGCTCAGAGTGTGACAGAAACTCCTCACCCAGGCTTGGAGGAAAGCGGGCGGGTTGAAGTCTCATCCTGGCCCTGTCCCCTCCCAACCTGTTTCCTCACAAGTCCCGAGCCTGAGAGGTTCAGGTGGATCGTGAAAGACACAGGATCACTGCTCTGTGAGCTGGGATGCACCCATCACAAACACCATCACAGACTCAGCAAGGCTATCTAAACTCTGGGTGAGTTACCAGGTCTCCTCGATATTTAAGCCGAGGGAGTGTGTGACTGGACCCCAACTCCTTGGCTGACATGGCAGGTGAAGTGAGGAAAGCCGCCCGCACTTCGAGAGCCTGAGTCTCCCCACGGGTCGCGTCGGGCCCAGGCAGTGGTCTCAGGAGAGTGGCCAGTGGGGTCCCGCGGGACGACTGAGCCTTGCCTCTGTCTCGTCCTCCCCCAAGGAGGCCCGACTGCTCCCCGCAGGTTCCCGCAGCTGGCCGGTCCTCCATCAGTCACTCGGCAGGCAGGCAGGTGTGCTGAGGGCCCTCGCCACACCGAGGTCCCCGGGGTCAAGGTCACACCGCTACTGAGCGGGAGGCTAGGGTTTGAGTGTGGACACGGCAGCCTGGCTCGCGGGTCTGTGCCCTAAACTGTCATGCTGCAAAAGTGGGGGAAGCCCCAGCTGATGAACCGAGGCCAAGACCTCCGAGAGGGCCTTCCTGGCGGCCACCCAGAGACTCCTGCGAGGCAGAGCCCTAAATCCTGTCACTGGACATACAGGTTAAAGGTGAGGCACGCAAATCTGCGGTTATCATCAGAGACCCATGCGCTGTTCCCCCACACTGGCCTCACGCGCCACGTATGGACGGAGGTAAATTCAGCACAGTCACACACTGGCAGGACATTATCCAGGCCAAGGATTTCATGTGATAAGTGAGGAGCATGCTGCCAGAGGGAGTGATTTACTTCAGGACACAGGCCTCATTTGTGGGATAGCAGGGCTAGAATGCAGACTCCTAGTTCAGGTCTTTTTTTTTTTTTGAAAACAAAACAAAACAAAACTACATTCACAGGACTTGCCTGTGACTGGTCCTGTGGCTAAGACTATGAACTCCCAATGCAGAGGGCCCAGGTTCAATCCCTGGTCAGGGAACTAAGATCCCATAAGCCACTTGGCACAAACAAAAAAAACCCCAAACTCCCAAACAAACAAAAAGCCTCGTCACTGGTGCCCCAGCAGAGTCTTCATGTCTTACAGGCATTTTTTTGGCCAAAAAGATGTAATTGAAATGAAGGTCACCATGGCTGGAGTTTGCTCTCCTGAAGATCGAGAGCAGACAGGAGGGGCCCTGGGAGGTGGCAGGGAGTGGGGGTGGGGGAAAGGGGGGACGGAGGTGAAGGCCTGGCTTGCAGCATGCTCTTGTGCAATCCCCAGGGTGCTGGGTGGGGTGTCGGACAACCTGGTCTCCCTGGGTGCCACTGCTGGTCCTTGCATGTAGAAGGACTGCAGCTTTCCAACTGGCTCAGGAGAATCTTGGGGACCTTGCGCTGGAAGCAGAGAAGTGTGTTGGGTGGGAACTTGGGGCTCTTGCTCTGCACACTGACAGCCTAAGAGAAGGTCGAGGATGCTTCAGCTCCTGTCTCTGGCAGCCACCTGGGGCTACTTCCAGAGCTCACTGTTCCGGAGGTCTCTGGTCCCCGGGGGAATGATCTGGGAGGCAGAGCACCCGGATTCCAGGCTCTCAGACGATGGCTTAGGGGATCAAGGGACACACTGAAGGCTCGTTCCAAGGTGCATCCGTGCTGAGGAAAGGAGCCAAACACAAAAGGTTTGAACATCTTTGGACGCCCGATGCCTTTGCCAAAAAGGCAACTGGACCCCAGTCAACAATGCAAGCGTAAACACATGTGTGCGACTGTCGACGGGTCGGGCCTGGCTGGCGAGGTCAGCGCTGGGAGGATCAAGCGCCGAGACCGCCTCGGCATTCACGGAGGCTCGGGGTGGCCAGAGGGGCCGAGCGGCTCATGGCTCATCTCCAGGGCCTGGGCCAGGCTGCCACATGGTAGGAGTTCTGTGGCTGTTGAGTGAGTATGGGGCAGAATTTCTGCCCACTCACATGCATGGGGAAGACAGGGAGGCCCATTGGGCAGGACCAGGCTCACATCCTGGGGCTATAAACTGAGCTGAGGAAACAGGAACCCTGGGCCAGCTGAGAAACTCCCCTTCCAGGAAGCAGCCTCTCTTAGATTTGTTACAAAGGGTCCCTTCACTTTGCATGTGGAAACAGTTCTCAAGGGAAGGATCAACCTGCTGTGACTCCCATCTGCTTTGACCTTCCAGAATGCCTGCCTGCCTAGCTGGGACTCTGGGTGTGCACAAGACCCAGGGAAAGCCTTGCTTTAAAGGCTGAAGTCTGGAACATCCTTGGTGGGCCAGTGGCTAAGACTCCACGCTCCAGATGCGGGCAGTCCGGGTTCAGTCCCTGGTCAGGGAACTAAGATCTCATGCTGCAACTAAGACCTGGCGTGGCCAAATAAATAAATATTAAAAAAAAAAAAAAAAGAATGAAGTCTTCCATCTTCCTGTCTATAGAGGGAGGTACAGTTTCTCTTCTGCACCAAGACACTCCAGCTCCTCGATGGGCTGGGGCAGTGGGAGGGGACTATGCAGAAGCTGAGAAGTAGGAGGTGGGCGAGTGCCCGTCCTTCCATTTCTGTCCTAGGGGTCAGCCCCTGCAGAAAACACACCCTCCCAGCCAAAGCTTTGACAATCCTGGGGTCTGTGTTAATAACCTGGGCACAGGAGAACGGGGAGGGCAAATGCACAAAGCTTTCTTTGTGTCTGATGGTTGGGTGCCTCAAGCCAAGAAAACTCCTGGAACTCCCTGAAGATAACATGAGCACTTCTTCCCATGACAAGGGTGCTGCGACTTCCAATAACCCAGGCAGCCACATCTGTTCCCTCTCCGAGAGGGCCTGGAAAAACAGAGTGCGTCACCCGAGTTCGGGGGCAGCTGCCAGAGATGCTGAGACAACTGCACGGCCTGGGCCTGTGTGGGGGCCAGGAGGGGGCTGGTGGGGTGGAAGAAGAATCTAAAGAGGCAGGGTCTTGCTACACAGATTCAGTGCCTCTGGGGAGTCGAGGAAGCAAAGGCCTCTATTCCAAGCCATGAGTTGGCTCTGATTTCCTCTTGATAGACTGAAGGCCTAGGTGACTGGACCGGTTGGCTGCAGTGGGGAATCCAGCTGTTTGGGACAGGCTGGGCCCTTGTTGGTTTATGCAGTCACATCAGCTATCATCTCATTATGTGAGTACTTGCCGAGAGCTCACCCCCTGCCAGGTACTGTGTTAAGTGCTTCATCTGCTCCTCCTGTGAGATACATCACACATCAATGACATAGGAGCGAGTAACATCCTCACTTCACCAAAGAGAAAATGAAGGATCAGAAGGGCTTCCTTGGCAGTCCAGTGGTTAAAACTCCAAACTTTCAATGCAGGAAGGGGGTGGGGTTTGATCCCCGGTTGGGGAACTAAGATCTCATATGCAGTAGGGTGGCTTGACCAAAAAAAAAAAAAAAACCCACACAACCCTCTCCGAAACAAAGGCTCAGAGAGGGTAAGGAACTTGCTGAGACTCACAGCCAGCACGTGGCAGGGCCAGGACGGGAATCCAGGCAGAGAAGCTTACAAATCCACTCCGTGCTACCCAGTCTGTCTGGAGGAGCTGATGCCAGGAGTGAGAGGACTACAATTCTGTCCCAAACATGACGGACTCTAGGGAGGGAAGAGGGAGGCCTCGGGCCCATCCACAGGCACAGAGTCTGCCATCTGCCCTTCGCCTGGGGAGTCCTGGCCATTGCCTCGAATAGAAGACCCAGAGACTTTCCAACAACGAAGTCTGCCAAGGAAGCTAGAAACTGCATTCTCGTCTATACTTTTCCATGGAGGACAAAGGCTATTTTGACAAAGGCTGGGATGTTAGGAGACATTTTTGTTTCTTTGCTTGTTTTTTGGTAGTGAGTGCTGGGAATAAAAGACCCTTCTCGAAACCACTTCCCTTTCAGATCTGCCCTGGATTAAACTCTGGAGACTCAAAGCCACACCTTCCCACTTCCTGTGGCCGGCTGCAGCACGCCCAGATTCTCCGCGCCTCAGCCTCCACAGCTGCTCAGCCTCTGCATGGGAGGTAAGCTCTGAGTCTGTCCCTGGCCTGCCTTTGCTTGAAAAACAGGAGGGGTCTTTTAACGTAGGCCCATTTTCTCCTAAGTGACCTGACGGTGGATTTCCCAAAGATGAAGCCAGTGCTCAGATGTGCTCAGAACTTCCCTTGCCGCCAAACCCAGTCCTGAGTCCTGAGCCAAAGTTACTAAGACAAGAACCGCCAGTGGCTGGGGAGACAGTGCAGCACCTCCAGCAGGCTGACGAGTGCTGGGCTTACAGTTACGGTCTCCCGCGTTAGACCTTTAAGTCTTACTCAGATTTGTGGGTGAGGGCTTGAAGAGGCCATTCCTCACTAGAATTTCAAAATCTCAGGCCTTCACAGTCCAAGTGAGAGCACATAAAGCAACGGCAAGAGTCCTGAACATGAGTCTTAATTCCAGCTCTGTCAGAATTAGGTTTAAGACCTTAGAAAGTCACCACAACTCTACGGCCACTGGTCTCATCAGGAAAACTGGAGGCTGGACTGGACAATCTCTAAGGGCATGACACGTGGGATCTTAGTTCCCTGACCAGGGACTGAACCTGCGCCCCTGCAGTGGGAACAGAGTCCCAATCACTGGACCAGCAGAGAAGTCCCACAGTCCCAACTTCCTAAGAATCGAGATTTTCATCCTCTCCTGTTGGGATGATAAAATGGGGATAAAAGCTGTGAGCTTACAAGAGGGTTGCTGTTGATGAGTCACTAAGTCATGTACGACTCTTTGAGACCCCACGGACTGTAGCAAGTCAGGCTTCCCTGTCCTTCTCTATCTCCCAGAGTTTGCTCAAACTCATGTCCACTCAGTCAATGATGCCATCCAACTATCTCATCCACTGTTGTCCCCTTCTTCTCCTGCCCTCAGTCTTTCCCAGCATCAGGGTCTTTTCTAATGACCTGGCTCTTCGCATCAGGTGGCCAGAGTAGTGGAGCTTCAGCATCAGTCCTTCCAATGAACATTCAGGCTTGATTTCCTTTAGGATTGACTGGTTTGATCTCCCTACTATCCAAGGGACTCTCAAGAGTCTTCTCTAGCACCACAGTTCAAAAGCATCAATTCTTCAGTGCTCAGCATTCTTCATGGTTCAAGTCTCACACCTGAACATGATGACTACTGGAAAAACCGTAGCTTTGACTATATGGACCTCTGTCAGCAAAGTGATGTCTCTGCTTTTTTTATAAGAGGGCAGGAGTCAATCACGTCCTTCCTCTGAGTGGCTCTGGGTCCTGGCTAAGAATGAATGTAGCAGCAGAGAGAAGGGGACCTGGGCATCCCAGGGAGGCTCCCTGGGATTTTACGCAGACTGAGGAGGCCGGAGATATGGGTCTGGGGCATGTCCCTGGTGAGTTTACTGAATGCTTTCAGTAAAGTGCAGATTGTCACAACCAGACCTCAGTGGCAGGCTGCTCAGGAGCAGGGTGTCCGTCCTTACCTCCTCCTCCCAAGGAGGAGGGAGGGCCCAGACTGACCTGAGGGAATAAAGTGTCCTGGGACAGGAGGGCCCTGCAAGCCCCCGCCTATGAGAGGTCCTAGAGCGACACGAGTGGGCTTAATAAGACCCTGGTTCTGCTTCTCCAGTCCCAGGACCCTGAGTCAAAGCTTTGACCGCTGAGTCAAAGCTCCGGTTCTATACAAAGGCCACGTGAGTCTCAGAGTCAAAGAACTGGTTACTCACTGTTTTGGGGACAATCTGTTTCTTGGGCTGCCCAATCTTGAAAGGAATCCTGTGAGAGAGACAGAGAGAGACGAAGAGGGAGGTTAGGAGAAACGGGGAAGGACGTGGCTGAAGAGATTCAATGAGGTACGGCCACTTCCCTGCTGGAAGCGGTGCCTCACCTCAGGGTACACCACATGCCTGTGGGTCGAGGACCATCGGCAGCCAGCCTGGGCTCCAGGGCAACGGTCCTCCACGGACACGCAGATGGAGGTGCCCCTGAGCACTACTGTCTGCTGTCTAAATACACTGCAAAGGTGAAGCCAGGAAAGGCGAGACACTGGATAGTGACAGTCACTACAAACCGTGCGTCTTGGGGAGTGGCTAGTTCAGAGAGATCACAAGCTCACCTGGACAGTTCTCATCCTTGAAAACATGCCTTAAAAAAACCACCACAAAACCCACTATTATCTCCCCCCAAATAAATACATAAAAGACAAACAAACAAAAAACCCACTCTCATCTGCAATAGGTGCTTCCCTATTTTTCTACAGAGAGACACACTGTGGAGAGCTTTTTTAAAAAAAGCTGATTAAAAAAAAATATATATTTATTTATATATTTGGTTGCAGCATGTGGGGTCTAGTTCCCTGACCAGGGGTTGAACCCCGGCCCCCTTCATTGGAAGCACGGAGTCTTAGTCACTGGACCACCAGGGAAATTCTGAAACCGTGGAGAGCTTCTTGTGGGGCTGGGGAGAGATGACAAATTGCAGGGGCATTAAGGATCAGTCAGGCTGGGTTATGTCCCGCAAGAACTGACAACATCTAAATAAAGCTAGCTTGGTGAAGAATCTGAATTCAACTCAAGGTTGGCTCCAACTTGCTGGGAAGCTCTGCCCCTCAGGCTGTCCACCTGGAAATGGAAGACAGCTTCCCCTGACGGGAGGAAGGTCATGGTGGAGGAGTCTAACCCCACCTCCCCTCTCACGGACAGGCTGCCCTTCACCAGGACTGTGCCAGGACTTAATCTCCTACTCTGGGAAACCAGAGGGTTAAACTGGGAGTCTACAAGCTACCTTCAGGTGCTGAAAATTCTATGATCCTACAATTCTGAGAATTAAAGAAGCCACAGTGCAACCCAACAGCTACAGAAGCACAGGCTTCTCCCACCCAGGCAGGAGGGAGGGGAGCCTTCCTGGCTGGGATCAGCTCAGGGAAGAGCCCTCGGGGTGCGGGTTGGAACCCCCTCAACACTCTCCTTCCAGGCTCGGGACCAGTGGTCCCTTCCATTCAAACCTCCCGCTCCCACCGCATCCCTCACCCCACCCCACCCCACACACACCCCTCTCCCGGAGCCCAACTTCTCCTGGCCCTCGCTGACCAACACTGCCACTAAACCCAATGGTATAATTAACCACCGATAATAACCCCAGACAACGATCTGGTTGAGAGGATGGGCCAGCCTGAGTCACAGTGGTTTAAATTTAATTTCTGGAGGACATCCTGTTTATTGTTAACCCAGCCCCGTAATTTGGGAGTGTTAACCCTTTGGGGGCTGGCTCATTCACGTGGCTTCCGTAAACAAATCAGCTCTGGCTGTGTCATTACCAGGGGAAGGGAAGCAATGGAACTGAAAAGGAAAGGGGAAAAAAATGAAACTGCCATTTCCCTTTCGCAGACCTGAAGAAGACAGGTTAAGAGGAGAGCCTTAGACTCCTCCCCCACCTCCCCCCAGTTACTTTTCCCCAGATCAGGGACTCAAGCTGATTGACACAATGGTTGTGGACAGCAAGAAACTGCCTTCAAGGACCGTTTTGGTAACAGTGCAGATGAGGTCCTGGTGGCATTGCAAAAGGACTGATCCTGCTCTGTGGCAAGCATAAGGCCTATAAGAAGCTCAAGACCAGGAATCAGAAACCCCGGTCTCTGCCTCTGGCTAGTTTCTCAGACAAACTATAAAACAAAGGAGTTGGACTAGATGGCCCTTTCAGTTTATCTAAAACTTGAATTCTACACTGAACCTCCCTTCCAAGAATGTGGGGAGCAGGATGAGAATGCTAAACACGACTCAGAGCAGTCGGCAAAGTGACGCTAACTCGGCGTCTAGTGCTACTGCCTCCCCCGTGGCTCTCGTGGTGAAGAATCTGTCCGCAGGGAGACCTGGGTTCAGTCTCTGGGTTGGGAAGATCCCCTGGAGAAGGGAATGGCCACCCACTCCAGTATTCTTGCCTGCGAAATCCCATGGACAGAGGAGCCTAGAGTGCAAGGGGTTGCAAAAGAGTCGGACGTGACTGAGCAACTAACACACAAACATTATTACCAACTAGAGACAAAAGGAATTAGGAACTTTGATTCCATTATTTGTGGTGCCAAAGCCTCTCTCTCTCTAAATCTTAATTTAGAATCACTGTATTTTTAGAGCTGCGAGTTACCATAGAAATTTTTCCAGTTCAACCCTCTCATTTGGTGGATGGAGGAGATATGGAGGGGCGCAGTGACAAGCCCAGGGTCACGTGACGACAGGACGCAGAACAAACTGTCAGGGCCTCGATTTGTTCATATTTATCTCGGCTACTCAGAGTGTAATAATCTTTCACATGAACACATTCCTTCACATGTATTTGAAGAAACTAGGAAAAACCATCTGCCCACAATACCTCATGTTAAAATACTATGGATTTTACAAAGGGTTCATGGTTATGAGATGGGAAACGAAAAGAGGACTGTGTTATCTGGAGAAGGAGACTGCTGCTGAAAGGGGTGCTTCTACACAAATGAGAGGCTCCATGCACTGTGTAGACAGAGCCAGGTCTCTGTAATCTCACTGTCAGCAACTGACAATCACCTATAACTTTATCATTCAATTCTGATCAGGTTTCAGTTCACCTCTTCAAAAGCCATCTCCCTGCCAGAAGAATGCTTCTCTTTAAAAAAAGTTACTTTTAAAAGTTTTAGGTTTACAGACAATTGTGAAGACAGTCCCTAACTCCATATATTCCACACCCAGTTTCCCTTATTATTAACCTCTTTCAGTTGTATGGTGTATTTATTACAATTAAGAAGCCAATCCTGAGATACCAAAGCCTGTGCTTTACTCAGATTCCCTTAGTTTCGACCTCAGGTCCTTTGAAGTTCAGGATCGCAGCCAGGCTGCTGCATTCCATTTAGTTGTTAAGTCTCCTTAGCCTCCTCCTGATCTTTTCTCAGACCTTCCCTGTTTTCTGATGACCCGGACCATTTTCAGGAATGCTGGTCAGGTATTCTATAGATGGTCCCTCGGTTGGGGTCCATCTGCTCTTTTTCTCATGACTGGATTGGGGTTACTGGTTATAAGGGGAAGAAGTAAAAGAGCCATTCTCGCCACACCGATAGCTTTCTAAAAAAAAAAATTTACCATTGGAACTTTCTAAAAGTTCTTTACTGACTTTGTACACAATATTGATTCTGATCTATGTTTTGCTTTTTTTTTTTTTTTGGCCTCGAGGCATGTCGGATCTCAGCTCCCCGACCAGGGATCCATGGCACCCCCTGCACTGAAGGTGCAGTCTGAACCACTGGACTGCCAGGCAAGTCTCTCAAAGCGACTTCTTACAGGTGATGTGAGCCTTGGTCACGGGGCTGAAGCAGTGTTTTCCAGGATTCTCTACTCTACAGTCACTTCCCACCCCTGCACCCTGGAATGCCCCCTCCCCTCTTTGGAAGGAAGCCACCAGGCACAGCCCATACTTGAGGAGGAGTAATACTCCACCTCCTGGAGGGCAGAGTATTGGCACAAGTTATTTGGGATTCTGCACGGGAGAATTCTGTTCTTCGTTTATTTATTTATTTATTTATTTATTCAGTCATTTGTATCAGTATAAGTGCATGTTTATTTTGTATGAGTTATAATCCAATACTACTTTATTTGTTCATCCAACTGTCCCAGCCTCGGGAGCTGCTCTAGTTGGCCTCTGTGCCTTCTGACACACCCACGTCAGTGTGAGTGTTCTGTTTAGCACTTCCTTGCTTTCTGGACAACAAGGTGCTTATTGTGTGCATTTCCTGCACCAGCCTCAGAACTGGTGAAGGAACTCCCGAAACCAGCAGCCACTGCGCCTCCATAATATGGTCTCGCTCTGCTGTTTAGCTTCCTTTCTCTTTCAGCCAATACAACTGCCACCCTGGTTCAGCCGAGTGGCTGTTCATTTATTCTCCAAATCTTAACTCCCTGTCACAAAGTGGGACGTCCTTTTTTTTTTTTTAAGCGTCAACACTGTCACTTACAATTTCATCAGGACAAAAGGTATAAAACTTGGGGCAACTGGAACATACAGCCACCCCACCCACAGGGAACCCTTCCCTTCTCCTGGTTTCATCAAAGCTGTTCTGAGTCTCAAACTTTGTTGACCTTCTTTGAAATGTCGATGACTTTATTGGCATTTAAAAATATTCTACCTTTTACAGTTGATTACAGTTTATCTCTTTAAAAAGTAAAACATGCTCATCAGAGAAAACTTAAGAAATACAGAAAAGCCTAGAAGAGAGAAAAAAGAGAGAGAGAAAGAGGAAGAAAAGAAAAAGAAAAAACCCCAAACAGCCACCAGTCTCCTATTGAAAGACAACCAAGGTTAATGTTTTGGTGTTAATTATATTTTAACATTTGCAGGAAAAAAAACAAAAACACAAAAGAAAACAAAGCTTGAAGCAGATACGCCAAATGTTAGTAGTTAATTCCGGGTGGTGAGAATATGATTACTGTTCTCTTCTTTGCACTTCCCCTATTTCTCAAATAAACTTAAGAAAAAACTTACTTTTTTTTCTTGACTATAAAAATAACACCTGATCAGTGTCAAAAACTTGGAAAACTATGAAGAACACAACACGGATACAAACACACAAAATCCCAGAGAAAAAGTACCACCTCAAATCTCAGTGTACATGCGTGTGCACACGTATACAGTAGATGCATTACTTACACAACTTTTAAAAAATAAAGGGACCATGTATCAGGAGTGTTTTTATATGCCAATTTAGTTTTCATTGGCCTTTTTCTTTTTTTATTTTAATTAATTTATATTATTTGTTTTTA